TAGGTTTAGGTGTTATTCATAAGTATTTTAAAACAAATCTAATGGAAAGAGGGGAGGGGGCTCGTGAGGTGGGGTTTAACCCTAACATTTTTATAGTTATTATTGAACTCTACCTGAAGGGAAATGCAAATCTTATTCACCTTATCATATCATTAACCATATTAAGCAAAAAATGTGCAAAAACAATGAATACGCAAAATATCGAGTTTTTGTCACAAAATGTCGTAGACCTTTAATATTTAAAAATAATACTAAAGTAAAGGGATTCGAAAATTTCTGTTTTTGGCCAAAACTTGTAGTTCCTTATACATTTTAAAAAAGCTCCCAACCCAGAAAATTTAAATATCAAAAATAAATGNGCACATTTCGCTGTCAAAAATAAGGCATTTTATACGTTCACGGGGTCGTCTGCCCTTAGAGTTGAGATAAGGGAGTGTGATACATGTCAATAGTTTAACTATTCAACTTTAATGGTTAGGGTGTAAGGGAGGTTTTAAAAAAAGTTCAAAAAGTATGAAGAACAAATTTTTTACAAATAATTATTTTTACTTATGACAAATATTAACATGTGACACATGTTATTAAATCCATTTTTCAAGGGTTTTTCAAAAATCAAACTTTTAACACTGTAGCTTGATTATTGACCATTTCTGATTTTTTTAAAACACCAACCCGCTCTTTGGCCGTCCTCTATCCTACCCTATGCATTAAAAAAAACATGTTTACAAAACTATTATCTTGAAAAAGTGAAGAAGTTTCAGCATTCTAATATAAGTCGATTTAAAGTTATCCAGAAAAAAACCACAGGGGGGGATGGAAAACACCCCCCCCCCCAAAGAGGATAGGGTTAAATAAAAACTGAAAAGGTGCAATTTCACTTTAAAGGCGTCTGTGTTAAAACTTGTGCAATCTGCTTTCTTTTGTTTTAGGCTGAACGATGTAGAAATTCTTCGACTTCAACTCCTTCAACTGTATCGAAATATAAATGATTTAGTCTGATGCATCTAAACAAGGCATTCTGGCAGTATGTTTGAGGCAGTAGGTATTAGTTTAAAAAAAAATTAAGATTTGGTAACCTGAAGACCAATACTTTAATACTTTTTAAGTTATGTAAAAAAAGGGGGACTTATACCTGTGTTTGTTGAATTTACCAGCTGGTTTTTTCTTTTCCTTGCACTTATTTGCATTCTTCTTAACTTTCGTTTATTTTTAACATATAAAGCATGCTCTTCTCTGGATTTAAATGGCATTCTATTCTGAAAATGAAGATAACAAACTTTAAAATGTAAAGTTGTTGTATTTCATCATTCAGAAAACTGAGACTTTCAGATTATAGGAAATCAAAAAAATTGTAAAATCAGCGTAATTAAAACATAAGAGAATTTATAGAAATATTGTACATGAAAAAGATGAGAAAATTAAAAGAGATGAGCATTAAAGCGGTCTCATTAGATCAAGTTTTTATACTATCTTAAATGCCGATTATATCGTTACAATATATCACCTAAATTAAATTCACTTGCTAGCTCTCTTATCAACTAGCATTGCTGGACTCAAATTAGTATAATTTTTTAATTTTGTGACCGATTGGTCTCATGAATTCTTCTTGGTTTAAATCTCTTCTGCCTCCGTAATGGCTAACCTTCGCGATATAAAGTAAATAGCAAAACATTTGGCATTACTCTGCCTATCATTTTCCCCATGGAACCACCCGAAATTTTCACTATAATTAACAAAAAAAATTGAAGTTCTATAAACTCGGAATTATTTGCGCCATTTTACACCAGGAGTATCTGAAAATGCGCGTAAAAAAGGTGAACAACGTGGTGGCTCGGACGAGAAAAAGAGGAGAATGTGACTCGGATGATAAGTTGTTCTGGTTGGCCTTCCTCCCCTCTTTCAATAATATTTTGAATATCATATTTCATTTTCATGTTGAATCAAATAAGATTACATTATTGCAATATAAGACCATAGAATATAAAACCATGAGACTCTACGCACAAACTACACTGCCTGCTTATCTCCTTTTACAGGGTGAGCTACGTAGGCCTAAGTTGACCCGACACGACATGCTACGTTTTTATAGAGTGCCATCTCACGGCCACTTGTTGAACATAGTACCTATTCAGGGCCGTTAATTTTACAACTTTTAAAGAAATACATAAGGATGACAATTTATGAACTATCTTAAACTCAATAGAAAAGACAACATGTAATGTAATCTTCTGCTTCGATTTATCCCTTTAAAGTCTCTTATAATAACTGAAGTCTGAATGATTTATCCCTTTAAAGTCTCTTATAATAACTGAAGTCTGAATGATCTAGTAACATAATGTTTGGCAAATCCTGCATTTCATAAATTCTATAAAAGTTGTTAATGTAATAAGCACAAAAATATATGTTGACCAATCTGGATGAAAAACAGATAACAGAATTCGTAATTTGAAATATCTAAGCTCTACGACATTGGGTTGCAAAGATATAGTGATTAGAAATTTAGAGTTTGTGGTTATAAAAACTTCATTCCTTTTGTGACTATTTTTACATATAAAATGGAATCCAGACCAGTTTCTCAGTTCACAAGAAATTTTGAAGAGCAAAAATTGAAGACCACATTTTTAAATTCCCAATACTTCTGGATTTCAGTGTTAAGCGTTTTAAATGGAGTACTAAAAAATTGTTTTCACGAAAAAATGGCGCGTTAAACAAAGACAAGATTGATTATGAAAGTCTTTACTTAGTCTCCATGTTTATCTGAAATTATTTTATATTGCCTTGGATTACCTCAACTTCTCTTTAATTTATATAGATGTAAATAATTATAACTTAACCGAAATGTTCTGATTTGGAAATTAAATTTAACAGCTTAAATCCGGAAATTAAATTTTAAATAAATCCAAGGATAAATGTAAATATTTCGTTCAATTCAACATAAACATTTAGGAAGGATATTATTTAATGTACAGGGTGTCCCAAAAAACATGGGAATTCAGTGACGAATTCGATATCGTCTTTTTGAATAATTCTTTGATTTAGTATAGTGATACCTACTGAGAAAGCTGTAATCTGTAAGAGTTTCGTCTGCTATGTTTACATTTTGTTTGTTTGTGTTTTGACTGCAAATTTTTGGGACACCCTGTACTAGTACTTTATGCACAAATATGGATTCTCTGGTTTTAATCTTCAGAGCCTAAAGAAAGTGTTACAGAGTTGGGCTGCTACGGGTAAAATGTACACGACAAACATACAAACATAAATATTCTCACATTCTACATTAACATTACGAATAATGAACTGCCAGCGCCTATCCAACTTGTATCTATATCTATACTTTGCGTGTCTGCTCCTTTGTTTGCATCCAATAAACGTTGAAACGGGTGAACCGATCGGGTACGAATTTATTATTACTAAAAATGCACTAAAGTTAACAGAAAAATCGCGAAAATAAGATGTTTTGGAGAACGGTGAAAAAATGGGGAATCGCAGATCGAGCTTTAAGTTAGAATGGATATTAGAAAAAGGGGCCCGAAGCGCTCTACAGACTGGTCCATAAATGTACTTTGTCTAAATGTCTTATTTGTTGAAAATCCAATACACGTCCAACCGGCAGAACCGATGAGGCCCACATTTTTTGTTCCACCACACATGACCACAGGGAAGGTTTATGCATGTGTGACTAGACAAGGGGCGCGGAAATCCTTAAAAGCTAAATAATTTTTTTTAATCCAACGAATATTCCGATTTAGATTTTATTGATAAAATTACTTTGATTTACAAATCAACAAATGTTAAATTAATAATTCATAAAGAAATGAACATTTATTTATTCCAATTGCAAGCTGTAGATAAAATATTTTAGGCTTTGCAACATTATGTATTAACTAATATTGAATACTATAGCAGGCTTAAAAAAAGAAATGTCAATTATCACACTTTGCCATAATTCATTGCACAATTTTCAAAAATAATTATAAATGTAAAATTTGTTAAGTCAGAGTATTTAATGTAAAGATGCTAAATTTATTGTTGTCATTTTTGATAGTTGCAGTTAATCGCGTCATAAGTTTAAATTTTCAGATTTTAAAGATATTTAACATAAAAATAATAAAATCAGAGTTGACTCGTTAACTCTTTCGTTTCTTTTGTTTCTTTCGAGTCCTTTGTTTCTTTCATACTTTCGTCAGGTTCGGAGCTTTTGGACATTTTTCCATCCTTACTCTCTTCCAAGTAGGAGATATTTACTTCACCTATACCCTGCTTCTCTAGGTCTTCTCTTCTATACCCAGCAGCATTAGACTCGTCCTAAACCATGGAATTGGTTAAAAATCTTGTCAATTCAAATTAAAAAAGATTAAATGAACTTACAAACTTTTCTCCTATTTCATTATAATAATCCATGATTTTGCTCCGAGCAAATTTAGGCCACCAGAAGAAAAAGTATGGAAATGCAGGACTGATGAGTCTCTTATCCACTAGTCTATGGTCCTGTATAGTGAGCCATCAATTAATAATTACAAAATCAAAAGTAGAATTTTATATTAATCGTCATAAACGGACCCCGAACAAACCATTAGCATGTGACACCTTTTTATCTCCATTGGCAACCAAATCAGGTGTAGGACAGTTATAATATTAAAATCTATTCAAAAGTTCTAGACATAAATAAGAAAATGTCTTCAGCTTTTTATTTTGCAACTTCATCTTTATCATATTTTAGATAATGATCATAAGTATCAAAATAATTATGACAAAATTATGATAATATTGATATCTTTAATAATTATAATAAAACTTTTAAGTGTTCTACCTGAGGTTTATATAAACTGAGTATAGCTCCGACTACAACACACCACAGACAGGCTATAGCTGAGAACCACATATATGAGACCTCGTACAAGGATAGATGAAGGAAGTCTGGAGAAGGTTGGCTAGGTTCAGGAACTGTATAGTTTAACCAGGACTCAGGACAGTTCTCTATACTTACAGGTTTAGCAGGAGACCAGGTTGCCCCGTCATATGTATGTGCTAGTTTGGAGACTGTTTGTCCAAACCCCATCCACATTGTAAATATAAGGGAGGTCAGGGTACCAACGAAGGTGGCCTGAAAATATGATCTAGGTTCAGATTCTTGTTTGTGAATTCATTTTTAATGCATCTTTTCAGTGGAAGGAACTAATTTCTTTGAGCGCGCGTCTAATAAAAAAACAAGATCTGTAGGCACTTTTATTTTGAAGATAATTCTTAATCTCTTCATTTCAATTATTACTCTCTAGTATGATTTCCATGTGCAATAACGAACTTAAAGATTAAATATATCTGCAGATTAACAAAAGATCAAGCATTGATCTCGAAATCTACAGTACAAGAGTTCCCCCACTGATTCATTTACTTGCAAAATTCAAGAAAAAATTGAAATATATTAATGTTCACTCCTTTTTATAAGTGCTGGGGCAATGGAGCATAAAAACAGGATGAAAAGGGGCAAGGGGAATAGGATAACGAATATTTAACATAGATGGGAACTCTTGTATTGTGGATATTGATCTATTGTTCATCTGCAGATTAATTTAATCTTTTTCGATATCCTCAGTGTGATTGTGAAGCGATAACTGATAGAGATTATGAATATTCATCACAAAAAAAGTTCCCAGCTCATAATTCTTCCTCAAGATTAGCTTCCCCATTGATTGATTAAATCCTGTGTACGCCCTTGAATATGGGGCTTAGAAAAGTGGGTTTTCATCTTCATTTACATAGCTGAAGAGTATTACAAATATTAAGATGTTTAATCGGATTTTCAGTAAAAAGAGTTAAATATAGAATCTTACCAGACAGTTTGAGTATGGGAAGAACATTCCCAGGACGAAAGCTCCGAGTACGGGTCCCCCCACTATACCAAATATACCTAGAGCAGCCTGAACAAAATAATATTTATTTTACAAATTCTAAATCATCTATTCAACTTTTTATATAACTGTTTCAAACATAGATTTCGCCAATACATTTTTTTCTTCTATTTTCATAACACAGGCATAATTGTCTTTAGACAATTTGAATTGGTGTGTTTCTTCATTTTTCGTATCCAATAAACGTAAAAATGTCTAAAGAAATCAGGCCCAAAGTAACTCACATGAACAACAAAAAGACTTGTTGGAAATCCATTAAAGTGAACAGAGTCTAAAACTAAAGAATGCGCGAATTTTAAGTTCGAGGTTAAAAGTTCTGTAAAATAATGAGTAACTACTTAAATATTAAACTTTCTCAATTTTAAATTTGAATTTCCCGGGAAAATCTGAACCAATCAGAGAAAAGGATTTACGGAGAATATTACATAACCATCGCTAATCAGCTGTTCTTACGTAACCGAAAACAAAACATACAACCGTTTTTTGGGTTTACATCCAAAAATTAATTTATCTAAAACGTGAAATTTCTTTAACAAGGTTTTCACTTTTAAATGTATCGTAAAGTTGAATGCCGCTTTCTCAGCTTCAGCTGAATGATGATTGAATATTAGACAAATAGGGAAAATGCAGGATTTCAAGATAATTTAAACCTCTGTTTAAATTTTAACTCGTCGATTTCGGCGAGTTAAATATTTAACCACAGGGTTAAATATTTAACCTCACGGTTAAAGTTCAGGTTTAAATTAAGTCAGAAGTGGCATTTAACCATGAACTTAAAATTTAAGTCAAAACTTTTCGTTCTTTAGTTTTAGACTCTGATCAGTGACATTTGTTAGTTTTATTTAGATGTGAGCAAAAAAATGGCGGCTTAAAAAGCAACATTTAAAAGCAAAAGTTTTTATCAGAAAATCCTTTTTAGAAAAGTTTTTAATCCTTGTTAGAAAAGTTAACCTCAAGAACTCCTCCGACATTTTTGACGAGGAAGACGAGAGCATATCCTAGGAGTCCGAAGAAAACACAGAGAAGTTTAGTCAGGATATTTGATCGGCTGTCTGTCAATTTGATGCCAAAACCACCCTCGAGGAAATCTCTAAAATACAAAAAATGTATTTTCTAATCACCATATCTTTGAAACATAATGATGTAAACCTGTTGTATTTAACAGAATTTATAGTTTGAAGCATCAAAGATTTACAACGTTGGGTTCGAAAGATATATAGATTAGAAAATCTGAGTTTGTGGCAAAAAATTAGTTCCTTTCCCTGAAACATTACTACTTATAAGTTAAATCAGCAAGCCAGAAAAAAAGTTGAATTTGAAGTTATCATGAAGTAAAATGCTTTAAAGATGGTTAATATTTTACCCTAACCGACAATCATCACCTATCAGAAAATGTTATGTAAACTAGCCGAAAACTCAAGTAGACTGGCAAATACATACATATATTCAAGAATGTAATGCAAGGAAAGTTATTTCAGAAGTGTACACATCTTTTGTACTGCAGTGTACTGTCTCTGGGCGGTAATGTAAACACGAGACGGATGTCAAAGCCTGACATGGGATCCATCTTTCACATAAAAAATCAATGAAACATTCTGGTCATAGGAAACTATTTTGTGAATTATCAAAATTATCAAAATTTAATGCTTTTAACTTCCTCGGATACTTAACGAACACTGATGCATCTATTCTTGTTTACAAATTCCGCCCAGAGAGAACTGGTTTCAATATGTACGCAGAGTATACTCGACCGCAATTAACTTTCCTTGCATTACACCCTTGCATATATTAGAATATTAGGTCTAGGGTAGGATCTAATTGAATATTGATATAACCTGAGACAAACAGCAGAGAGACTATTAAGGCCTGAGCTGACTGTGCTTAAAGCCCCGCTAAACACTCCTGCCACAAACAAGCCTGCAAACAACAAACACCATTTTTAATCATTTTCTTTATGTTGAGATCTGTTTTTTCAGGAGGGGGCGGCATACATGGTAAACAAGGGGGGGCAAAGCCCTCTTACACAGGAAAAAAGAACTTAGTTCACCTTAAATTTAAACTCTAAGAGAGGGGGGGGGGCGCACCAGTGTGCCTTCCAAGAGAAATACGGATAATTTACCAAGAAATAATTAGATAATTTAAAAATGTATAATATGGGATGGATGTTTCCGATGATTAAATTAAACCGCCCGAATGAGAGCAACTCCACTGAGCCGGTTATAAGCAGTTTTGAACTTTTTTTTTAAGTTTTAGAAAATTTTAAATAATCAAAACTGACTTTACAAGAAATGTTTCAAAATAATGATTTATAAAAAAAAACTTAACACCAATTGACGTTTTTTTGCAGTTACTCACATCTTAAAAACTGCCAAGAAAGCTTTGAATGAAGAATAAGAAAATGTTGAAACTATCTCTTTCTAATAATCTGGCAAGTTTACCTGGAATCCCTGGATAGTCTCCCATCACCTGCATCACAAACAGAGGGAACAGCTGATCCTTGCTGTTCACCTGCTGTGTCATCAGCGGGTCACAGTCGTGGTAGAAGGCGTACATCACCATTCCACCATAGCCACAGATGAGGAGTAGGCTACCAATACCCAACACATTCCACCAGATGGCTCTAGGTAAGTTCATCAAGAAAATAAGATAAAAACCTTTTTTTTTAAATGCTTACTTGACAGCCTGTGACGGTTTCTTGACCGTAAGATATCTCTGAACTTGTGTTTGATTGATCCCGTATATAGATATCCAGGTAAAATATCCTCCGACAACCAAAGACCAGACAGTGTGTCTCATCCTTGGATCCGGGTTAAAGTTGAATAGCTCAACCCGTCCTGATTGATAGTTTCTATCAAACACTACTTTAGATCCACCTGCATCATGGTTCCCCTTGATCACTATTGCAAGGAAGGATCCAAACATACAGAGAGCCTAAAATATATCAAATCTAGCTTGGATAACAAATATGAAATATATAAATAATCGGGAAAATGATTTATAAAGAAATTGAGTTTTTTCACCATGTCTTTGCATCTCGATGTCGTACACCTAGATTAAATAGTCAAATTTTGAAATTTACTTGAGTTAGTGGCAGGAGCTCAGTTCCTTTGAACAACTTTAAAATCATATTCCAGGATATTTTTACTGTAGAAATATAAACCTTATTACTAGATATCTAAACTTTCTAATCAATGCTATTTCGTTTACATCTTTCATGATATGTTATCTTCTATCTAGTAAGTTAATATTTTACCTATAGTAAGTTGACCTCCTATCTTGTAATATTGCCCTCCACCTGGTAAAATGACATCCTGCCTTGATATGTAATCTTCTTTAAGATAAGACCACCTCCTGCTTTAAAATATAATCTTCTAACTGGTAGAATAACCTCCTGCTTTACTACAAATCTCCTAACTGATAAGATGACCTCTTGCTTTGAACTATAACCTCCTATCTAGTAAGATGACCTCCTGCTTTGATATACTGCCCTCACCTAGTAAAATAACCTCTTGCTTTGAACTATAATCTCCTAACTAGTAAGATGACCTCCTGCTTTAATAGACTGCCCTCTACGTAGTAAAATAACCTCTTGCTTTGAACTATAATCTTCTAACTAGTAAGATGACCTCCTGCTTTGATAGACTGCACTCTACTTGATAACCTCCTACTTTGAACTATAATCTCCTAACTAGTAAGATGACCTCCTGCTTTAATAGACTGCCCTCTACGTAGTAAAATAACCTCTTGCTTTGAACTATAATCTTCTAACTAGTAAGATGACCTCCTGCTTTGATAGACTGCACTCTACTTGATAACCTCCTACTTTGAACTATAATCTCCTAACTAGTAAGATGACCTCCTGCTTTGATAGACTGCACTCTACTTGATAACCTCCTACTTTGAACTATAATCTCCTAACTGGTAGGATGACCTCCTGCTTTGATAAACTGCCATCTACTTAGTATACTTAGTAGAATAACCTCCTGCTTTGAACTATAATCTCCTAACTGGTAAGATAACCTCCTGCTTTGATAAACCGCCCTCTACCTAGTAGAATAACCTCCTGCTTTGAACTATAATTTCCTAACTGGTAAGATAACCTCCTGCTTTGAACTTTAATCTCTTAAATAGTAAGATGACCTCCTGCTTTGATAAACTGCCCTCTACCTGGTAAGATAACCTTCTGCTTTGAACTATAATCTCCTAACTGGTAAGATAACCTCCTGCTTTGAACTATAATCTCCTCTGGTAGGATAACCTTCTACCTGGAATGTATCTGTCCACATAACTGCTTTAATGCCTCCAATAGCTGTATAGAATATACAGACAAGGAAGATGATGGCGCAGGCTAGATCTACATCCAATCCGGTCACCTAGACATAGTAGATACATATATAATATATTAATCAATATACATTATACATTTACAAAAATATTTTAGAATTATTTTTTAACATTTTAATGATACTTCTAATCCTGCATCGGCAAGCATAATTTTATTTATTTTAATGTACCCATGAGAAAGGCTAGAGCAGGAGTATAAACTACATGATATATCCATGTATACCTGAGCTAGGGCTAGAGCAGGAGTATAAACTACTATATATCATCCATGTATACCTGAGCTAGAGCAGGAGTATACACTACTATATATCCATGTATACCTGAGCTAGGACTAGAGCAGGAGTATACACTACTATATATCCATGTATACCTGAGCTAGGACTAGAGCAGGAGTATACACTACTATATATCCATGTATACCTGAGCTAGGACTAGAGCAGGAGTATACACTACTATATATCCATGTATACCTGAGCTAGGAATAGAGCAGGAGTATACACTACTATATATCCATGTATACCTGAGCTAGGACTAGAGCAGGAGTATAAACTACCCTATATCCATGTATACCTGAGCTAGGACTAGAGCAGGAGTATACACTACTATATATCCATGTATACCTGAGCTAGGACTAGAGCAGGAGTATACACTACTACATATCCATTTATACCTGAGCTAGGACTAGAGCAGGAGTATAAACTACTATATATCCATGTATACCTGAGCTAGGGCTAAAGCAGGAGTATACACTACTATATATCCATGTATACCTGAGCTAGGACTAGAGCAGGAGTATAAACTACTATATATCCATGTATACCTGAGCTAGGGCTAAAGCAGGAGTATACACTACTATATATCCATGTATACCTGAGCTAGGACTAATACACTACTATATATCCATGTATACCTGAGCTAGGACTAGAGCAGGAGTATAAACTACTATATATCCATGTATACCTGAGCTAGGGCTAGAGCAGGAGTATACACTACTATATATCCATTTATACCTGAGCTAGGACTAGAGCAGGAGTATAAACTACTATATATCCATATATACCTGAGCTAGGACTAGAGCAGGAGTATAAACTACTATATATCCATGTATACCTGAGCTAGGGCTAAAGCAGGAGCATAAACTACGATGGCCATATATACAACCATCTGGAATGTGAAACATAAAGAGGAAATTATTCGCACACTCTTACCAAACCTAAACAAAAACATGTTGCAAAATTAGAAAATTTTTGCATTCTATGTACAAAAATTCAAATTTAAATTTTAAGATTCTTGCTAAATACTTAATTTTAAAATAAAAATTCTAGAAGTGAGTAAGTTTAATATTCATGTATTCAGTGAATTAGACAAGCTCCGGTAAATAATCAATTTATTTGTGAAGAAAAAATATTAACTTTTAAAATTTTGATAGTATATAATAAAATGAAAATATTTGTGTTTACAACTGTGAATCCTTCTACATGTCACAAATTGTAATTTTTCTAGTAAAACTGTGATTCCTTTCAGTAACAAACTGTGATTTCTTCTACTAACAAACTGTGAATTCTTCTAGTACCAAACTGTGATTTATTCTAGTAAAAAACTGTGATTTCTTCTAGTAAAAACTGTGATTCCTTTCAGTAACAAACTGTGATTTCTTCTACTAACAAACTGTGATTTTTTCTAGTAACAAACTGTGATTTATTCTAGTAACAAACTGTGATTTCTTCTAGTAACAAACTGTGATTTCTTCTAGTAACAAACTGTAATTTCTTCTAGTAACAAACTGTGAATTCTTCTTGTAACAAACTGTGATTTCTTCTAGTAACACACTGTGATTCCTTTTAGTAACAAACTGTGATCCTTTCAGTAACAAACTGTAATTTCTTCTAGTAACAAATTGTGATTTCTTCTAGTAACAAACTGTGATTTCTTCTAGTAACAAACTGTGAATACTTTTAGTAACAACCAGTGAACCCATCTAGTAACAAGCTTTTAATCCCTCTAGTAAAAAAAACTTTGAATTCTTATAAACTATGAATTCTTCTTTAGTAACAAACTGTGAATTCCTTTTGTATCAAAATGTGAATCCTTCTAGTAACAAACTGTGAACCTTTTCGTAACAAACTGTGAATTCTTTTAGTTAGAAAATATAATCCTTGAATTGGACCAGGATGGTAGGATTCTGAAAATGAACCATGATAAAAAGATCTCTGTGAATCTTTTAATAGGATCTGGATAGAATGATCTCCTTGAATCTTCCAATATGTCCAAGATGGAGGAATTTACATGAATCCTTAAAAATGAACCGGATAAAAGATCTGAATGAATTATTAGATAGGATCCAGATAGAAGGATCTCCATGGTATCTTTCAATATGTCTAGGATGGTAGGATTTACATGAATCCTTAAAAATGAACCGGATAGAACGATCTCCATGAATAGTTCTAGGATGAAAAGATCTCCGTGAATCCTCAAAAATGACCCGGATACAAAGATATCCGTGAATCCTTGATTGGAATCTCAAGGAATCTTTGATAAGGAATCGGATGGTAGGATTTTCATTAATCCTTGAATAAGACCCAGATAGGGGATTTCTATGAATCCTGGGTATGACCCGGATTGTAATATCTATGTGTCTACCTGATCTCCAGGTACTCGTAGCTAGTGGTGATGTTTAATCTGTTGAATACTGGAAGGAAGAAGTGAGCTGCTGAACCCATTACAAAAGGATAAGAAACCACTAGAGCACAATACTGTGTACCTACAATGCAAATTTTTCATGGAAAACAATTTTATTAATCATGAATATATTAAAGTAACTACAAAGATAAATAATTCGGCACCATTTTCTACATATGGTTATAATATGGATACCAGAAAATAAAGTACTGGAAATTAAAGATCTGTTGGAAAGCATGCAACATTTAAATTACTATGGGACAAAATTTAATTTAGGTAAAAGTAATGTCAAACACTTCTTCACTTTTCTTATGTTTCTCCTGTAATTTATAATCTACCTGTAACATACATCTCTGCTGGGGTGCCCAGCAAGGTGATGGCGGACATGAACGACGCGATCAAAGACAGGGTCATTGGTAGAGTTCCCATACTTCTCCCCGCCATCAGAAACTCTTCGGCATTCTCTTTACTTCTCCCTCGCCACCAGAAGAACACTCCGATAACAGCAGATACTACAATAACAGCAGATACTACAATAACAGCAGATACTACAATTGTGGCAGATACTACAATNCAGATACTACAATAACAGCAGATACTACAATAACAGCAGATACTACAATAACAGCAGATACTACAATAACAGCAGATACTACAATAACAGCAGATACTACAATAACAGCAGATACTACAATAACAGCAGATACTTCAATTGTGGCAGATACTACAATAACGGCAGATACTAAAATAACAGCAGATACTTCAATAGTAGCAGATACTACAATAACAGCAGACACTACAATAACAACAGATACTACAATAACAGCAGATACTACAATAACAGCAGATACTATAATAATAACTGATTCTACAATATCAGCAGATAAAACAATAGTAGCTGCTACTAAAATTACACACACCCCCCTTCACCACCACCCCAAGTCCTCCCCTTCCTGCCCATGGTGTCATCTTTGCCATTTAATCTTTTATTAATTTGAATGAATTGAACGATATTAATGCTGGAATGTTATATGTCAATATTTACCTATTAACATCGCTGCAAATACAATATAGTTTGCTGGGTTATCTGAGAACTTTAAAATTAGTTCTTCTTTAGTTAACAGATCATTCCTGATCTTTCCTTCATCCCCGGACCCATCAGTCGAATCAAGGGTCGTGGTTTCGTCCATTTTCTTCTGAAGACATAGTAAACGTATGGCTATTTTTTTGCATTTTAACTCTCTTTGATTCAAACCTCGTCCCTCATCCCAACACCTAGCATATGGGAAAGTACACCAGACATATGCCCGGTTCATAGAACAAGCTGTAACTTGCTGTAACTACGACTATGATTTCCAGACATAGCTCTGTGCTCTGATTTCAAAATTGGATCACACCTCGTTCATTAGTCTCAAGTCATAGCATTTGATAGCTGTGACTTCGAGTCGCAGCTAAGCTGTAATCCAAGCTGCGAAGTCATAGCAATTTGACAGCTTAAATTGAAATCTTACTGGGCATTTGCACAAAAAGCGATCTCTTTAATAAAGTCGTCTTTTAAAAAAGGACAAAATTTTACCAAAAAAATTTGTATTACAANTAATCCATCTAGTATATTTGAAATCTAATCCATCTAGTATATTTGAAATCTAATCCATCTAGTTTATTTGAAATCTAAAAAAATTAAGAAATGGTATTTATATACATAAAGTAGTGAAATCTGTTTGTTTGTCTATTTGTTTGTATGTCCGATCATAACTCATGAACCCCTTTGACCAATTTGCCTGAAATTAATTGTGGAATTCGTGGAACTACATGAATATTCTTAGCCAAGTAGATTGTCAAGTACAATAGAATTTGTACACTCTCAGTACAAATAAAGTTCTTCAAAGAAACGTCTATTCTTACGTCTGCAGTGTCAACTCAGTTTTTGTGTCCGACAAAATCACAGTGAAATGAGTGCAATTTTATATGTTCTTTATTTTTAGTTTTACACTTTTTTATTTAATCTTAGAAAACATGTCAACTAATGTGAGAAATATTGTTTTCCTTGTTATATTTGACACTTGTGACGTCATGAATAATTGGTCCATTTCTCTGTTGCCACCTATTGTACTTGATAATCTATTTGGTTCTAAAAGCTTGGTTTAAAAATTGTAAAGATCTCCGGACAAGGCTGTGTTTCTAAGCTAGCATTATTTATTATATAATAATGGGACCTATTTCTGTTATTGGGGAATCTATCAAATAAGGTAAAAGGAAGTATTTGGAAATAAGTCTAACGATATGAAGATTGAAGACATCAGAAAAAATTATGTAATCAATCAAAGTCCAGTGGAACTTTTCCAAATATTTAGTTTTTGTGACTTTGTTCAATGTAAAGGAATTGAGTCTTTGTGACAAACTCTCATTTTCTAATACCTATATTTTTACCACCTGATGGAATAAACCTTTGATATTCCAAACTTAGATTCTTTCATCTAACAGAATTCATAGTTTGAAATATCTCAGGTCTACGACATTGGGTAGCAAAGATATAGAGATTAGAAAATTATAGTTTGTGACAAAGACTCAATTCCTTTCTAGCATTTTCTACAGTGAATCCCAGATATATAAATACATAGACCGTCATAAGTTTTTTGATAATTCTAAAGAAACTTTAATTTACCCCCCTGAAAATTCTTCAGGGGCAACTATAGGGAGAGGGGAAAGCTTTAATCAGCCAGTAATTAATTCAGTTTATAAAAAATATTATGAGCTCAATTTTTCTTTTAGAGAGAATTAAAGGGTACACCAAATTCCTCGCCTCTTCTCCCCACCCAGCATTTTCAGGTGTAGAATATATGTTTTTTTATTTGCGCGTAATTATTTTAACAGTTGTGTCGGTGTCCCCTATCCGTGATGCACTCCCCTTTTTAAAATTTAATTTCATGATTTAAACATCTTTATACCTTACTTATCTAGAAGTTGTGAATTGCGTCATATTTTATACTAATGCGCCAGTCAATAAAGTTTTCCTTAAGTTAAATTCATTATATGTAAATTAAGTGTCAACAAAGATAAAAGGTAGAAGTTCAAAATTTAACTTTTAAAAAATAATAAAGAAAGAGTTTTTACGTCGTAATTTTATTTGTTTCTTAGAATAAATATACAACTAAAATTATGATTCAACTTTATTATAATTATTTGACAAAGTTGAATGGGCGCTTTTTATCCTAAAAATTCAATAAATGGAGCCAAAAGCTGTTCCCTCTCCCAATAGTTATATCTCAAACTTTTCCAGGGGAGAGGGGTATGCCATGCCCCCCCCCCCCAAAATTTTCCAGGAAGAGAGCACCACCACCTTTAAGTTGCCTAGATTACACGCAGTGCAAATTCCTGTCCATGATTACATTCAAAAACACTTTCGTAGACTGGGCCGTAACTGCAGGGGGAGTGGCAACGGAACACTTGCCCCCCCCCAAAAAAAAAAAAAATTTCAGAAAGTGCTTTATTACTAAGAAAGAGGGCTTTGCCCTCTCTGTCTACCCTATCATGTGAATGGGACACCTGTGACGTATTGGAAATAGTGAACAAACAAACAAACAATCAATCATTATTCCGTAGAAGTCAAGGCGGAGAGAGCTGAGACTTCTTCAAAAATAGCCATAATGGCTACTAATGTTGTATCGAAACAAAAACAAGATTGTAAACAAAGATCGGAGTTTTCCTGGCAGAAAGGTTAGGAAGGCCCGGCTTGTGTGATGTGGAATCACTGTTCGCCATAGTTATGGTTTATTTACACATTGCACACTTAATACGTCACAATTAAATATATATAAACAATGTTATCCAAAATAACAATAAACCATGTCATCCAAAATAACTATTAGCAAGAATAAAATCAAACCCATTCACGGTCACCTTTTTTATAACGGATATCCCAAAGTCTTATTATTGGATATTTAATAATCAGTGAATGGAGCTAGGAGTGGAGTATATTTGAATTCTAAGTTGTATAGTATACACAATACAGTGAAAGGATGTAAACAATGCAGGTTTGTGTGTTCATGTTGAACTCTAGGTATCCACTGGTCTCAGGGTCTACCCTGTCTACTGTTCCGTGTATCCTGGGCTCAACAGGTTCAAGTAGGAATAAGCTCCCACCTACTATCCCAACACAATATTTATTATCAAATTCTAACTTGTTATCTCCCGGATTTGTGAATTACAAACTACGAAGGCTGAGAAACTTTCTTTATGTTTTCTAAGATAAAATGAGTTCCATAAACCTGAAATGAATGAAACCCTGGAGCACAGAAACTATAAAATAACTTCAAGTGACCCCCGTATTTAAAAATAAGTGGCATGTTCGATTCACAAACCAGAATTGATTCAACTGCAATGAGGAATAAATTGTTCTTTTTCTACATTAAAACGTTGTTAGTTTTGACAGAAAATCCTTCATTGTTTCTTCAAAATAAATCCGCAAGTCACTTTAAAAGCGAAACAACGTTTGAAGGAAATATTTTTTTTAGATAGAAAATCAACAATATTTCATTCTTTTTCAATCATGACAAAGATTTAAAGAGTACCGTTGTTAATCGGAAATGTCCCTCTAAAAATGGAGATTTTTTAGAGGATTTTTGAATAAAGTGGGTTCATTACTTTCATTTGGGTTCTTTTGCCTTTGTTGTCGTATCAAAATCCTTTTAAATCTCATTTTCGAGCAAAACAAATAGTTTTGATTTTACGGACAAATAGGATATAAATCAAACTAAATTGGAAACATTCTACAAAAAAACCAGTTTTTTCTTCTTAGCTCTACCATCAAGGAAATATGAATGAAAACGTGCAAAATTTCAATTCAAATGTGAAATCTGAAACTTATATGTGAGATGTATATTTGGAACAGTTAAAGGGAGAGACTGGGTAGACGACATGGTATATAGTTAAGCTGCGTGGAATTTATTAGGATTCATTTGAGACCTATGAGACGTTTTTCGGTGTATAATTGTTCAGCAAGAGGGTAAATTTAATCTGTGAAGTCCTCCCGGATTGTCCATGCTGTAGGGATGATTTTGAGAATCAGTTTAAAAAAATTGTTCAATAACGACGATGAAAAATGTAAGAACAATTTTTAAGTAAAATAATTATTTGTTTAGGAACTGGCTGAGAAAAAAATACTGACTCTTTTCATAGAAAATAAATAATCTTATTCAGTTATCGGTTCCTGTAACGTTCGATAGTTCACAAACGTTTTCCGTAGATTTCCTGAAACTTTTATTGAAAAGACGACATTTGAAAATTTTGATAAGTTTGCGAACAAATTAATAAAGAATAAGAATTTCAATATAAAAATGATAAAGAAATAATTAATTCTACCATTGATTTCTTCACAAATTTCTAGTTAGTTAATCACACTCAAATCCGTGTTCTCCAGATAGTGTTCGCCTGGCAATGCTTTCAAGAATAATTGTGTTAAATCTATTCTTCATTATTCAATATTCAACCCTGAACCCAAACTTTGCATATCATTAGATTAACTCAGCTGGGGAGGTGAAACAGGAAACTTATTAATTTTCTGCTAGAAGATAAGAAATAATTATAGACATTTTTGTCAGTAAGGTCCAAATACATAATTTAACAAAAACTGAATATAGTGTTTGGGGCATCCTTTTTTCTAGATGTTAGGTGTCACCTTTGTATTCAAAGAAAATTCAAAAATTAAAGGGAGTGTTCGCGAAAAAATGAAAGGGGTTAAGGGTATAGGCTTACGTCGAAAAATATTCGATTGCTATTAATCTTACTCCTATCTGTTGCGTGCATTGTATATAAAACAAATAAATAATATTATGAAATAACAAATAGCAGTATACAAATTAATCGAAAAAAATCGATAATTATAGGTTGTAAGATCTGAATGATTTGTTAGGAATTAAATTGATGTTTTTACAATCCGAGTTGAATATTGCAAGTTTCTGAATTTGTAAGGATGCTACGTTCTTCGGTATGAGTCGTGTTTAATCATTTTTTCCTTATAGACGCAACAGATAGAAGTCCGATTAAATGTTGAATATACTAGAGAGTTACAATATGTTGAATATACTAGAGAGTTTACAATATGTTGAATATACTAGAGAGTTTACAATATGTTGAATATACTAGAGAGTTCACAATATGTTGAGTATACTAGAGAGTTTACAATATGTTGAATATACTAGAGAGTTTACAATATGTTGAATATACTAGAGAGTTTACAATATGTTGAATATTACTAGGTTTAGAAAATTCTTAATCCACTGAGTATAACTAAGTTTAGTTTAACATTTGAGATCAAGTTGCGCTATAAACTCAGAAAAAGAGATTTTATAAAGTTTCAGATGTTTATACAAAAATCTAAAATATGTTTACTTTCTTGCAAGAGTAATATGGGTTGATAAACCAGGGAGGTTGCTTTGAGGTGCAGGTGATGGTATATTCTTTTTCAATTTTTTCAGGGAGAGGGAAGGCTGAATCACCCTGAGCTGAAAACTTTAGAATGCGATATCCTTAATCTCGATAACTTAATCTGAGTATCCAATGGACAAACTTTTGATTTTTTCTTTAACCGTTCTTTCTTGGATATAGTAGAGAACAAATCAAAAACCGGTTTTTTAAAATTAGAGAGTATATAACCTTAAATGGCGCGCAAAATTTTAATTTATCGGGTTCATATTCGCGACTCTGATTGGTTGAATTTTATACACTTTTCAGGATACAAGTGCAAGATTAGGTTAGTCTCGATATTAAGAAAAAGGAAGGATCAAGCATTGATCTCGATATCCACCATTCTAAAGTTTTCAGCTCTGATTACACTTTGTGATGAAGGTGTCAAGTTGAATTTTTGATAAACTTTTTATAAATACTTTTGAATGACACTTTTTTTTAAGTCAAGAGGCAGGTTATTTATAACTTAAGAAGTGTATTTTAGGCTTTTATTGGATTTAAACATAAAAGGAAAGGCGCTAAATCATAGTAAAATGTGCAGCTATATTTTTTTTCTCAAATCTTTACAACATTATCTTACTTCATCCAGATTCTGTTCTAACTACTCATGTTAAATTACAAATTAAGGATAAAGATTAGGGTTACTGTATACTGCGGTGCAAATGCGGGACTTCAGATTCAGTATTTACAAGCCTTTACTATCTTAAATACCTAAAGAATATATTAAAGGCAGGGGGGGGGGGTCATACAGGTTTTCTGCTTCATCTTAATTTAAAAATAAGCTTCTAGAGAAGTGATGAACCCAAAAGATTTGCATTTTAGATACTAAAGCTTAATTGTGAGAAATGCTAAAGGGACTGTAAGCGAAATTTCAAGTGATCATTCATGCAAAGATGGGGATGTGGATTCACGACGGTAGCACTGAAACCTATAACTAATCATTAATGTGGACCAGTTATTGTTGTGTTTCTAGGTTTAAAATTGTTTAATTCTGATAATTCCTCTAGGTTTTTCCCTAATAGGAAGGCGCAAGTCACTTTTGGAAAGAAACCAGAAGCGAAAATAATTAGTTTTCAAAATTACAAACATTGATTAATGCTTGATCAGACAAAGCATAATCACGTCAAACTAAAGTAAAATTAGTAAAATTGAAATATTCTATATTTTTAATCATAATTCCTCTTACCAAAGAGCTATTGAGAAGAACAAAAATGTTTTGAATCCATAATATGTAACAGAATTAATTGATTTTCGTACATTTAAGCGTTAAATCAGAACTAAAGGAGTAACTGAGTCACAAAGTTGTAAAAGTAATATCAATTGAATTTGACCTTCTCCTTCTGGTTAGTTTGCAGTGTTCACTCATGTTCATGGTACCGTTGTGAATTTGGCATTGCAGTCTTTTCATGGAGGGTCACTTGAAATTACGCGTACAATCCCTTTAATTCAGGATCAGAGAATAATTCTGTGATTTACAGAAAATATTTTATTTCTAGATTTTGTTGTTAAAGGAATTGTCGGCGTAGTATTATGTAGTATTAGCATTTTTTCAGAGTGTGTCATGAACGATTCACAACGGTACCCTATAAACTTTTTTCCATCAAAATCAAGTGGAAAAGTCTATTTTTTTAAATGAAATATTGAATCTTCGGATAGTTTTTTTATTACATAAAAGTGTAACAGATAATGTACTGTTCCAAATCGTTCTACCGCTCTTTGAAATTCCGAAAATTTGAATTAAATATTTAAAATCTCTTGTGTTGTTATTTACAAATTCAAATCTGTATCTCCATGTATTAAGAAACTAAAAATGAGACGAGAAGAACAATTTTCTAAAGGTTTTCTACATGTTTCTGAAACTATTTAAACATTCAGGAAAAAATTGAGCATTTGCAACAGGCTCTGATTTTTTAATCCCTTTATTTTTGCAACCTGATGGTGTAGACCCTTGATATTTCAAACCATAAGTTCTTTAAGGGACAAAATCTAAGTTTAAAATGTCACAGGTTAACATCATCAGATTGTTTTACATATTTAGAAATTAGAAATTTTGAGTTTGTGCACAAGCTCAGTTCCTTTGCTAAAAGAACATTGATAAAAAATAAAGAGAATAATAAAATTGGAATGTATAAAAAGAACGGGCTTGACGTAACTATTCGGCTTTATTTAAATTTTTAATTTAAATTCAATTATATCATTCTACTTTAGTTCAGTTTTTCTATTCTCTTTTAATCTCTGTTTCTCCATGTAAATATCAGTTTTATCACTCTCCTTCACTCAGTGGTTCTTAATCTAAACAGTTACCTTATCTTTCCTTTAATCTCTGGTTCTCAATCTAAACAGTTTATTATTCTCCTTTAATCTTTGGTTCTCAATCATTATTCTCCTTTAATCTCTGATTCTCAATAAATATTTCAGTTTCATAACTCGCCTTAATCTCAGATTCGCATTCTTAACAGTTTATTATTCTACTTCAATTTATAATTCTCAACTTAAATTCAGTTTTATCATTCTCCTTTAATCTCTGGTTCTCAATAACAATTTCAGTTTCATAACTCTCCTTAATTTCTGGTTTTCATCCTTAACTTAAGCTTTATTATTCTCCTTTAATTTTAGTATTGTATACAGAAAAAAGTACGTTAAAGATAGTGTTGATACAAGGAAACTTGAAGATATTATCTTGGAGTTCGGATTAGAAATTCCATATAGATCCAGGTTAAACTGATATTAGAGGTTTCATATAGATCCAGGTTAAACTGATATTAGAGGTTTCATATAGATCCAGGTTAAACTGATATTAGAGGTTTTATATAGATCCAGGTTGAGAGTCTTTCCAAGGATTTTACAAATCATAAAAAATTTACAAATTTTCTTTTCTCTATTTGTGCACTTTGCAGTTTCTCAATCACAAGAGCTGATATCATTGATGGGACTGATGAGGAAAAAGATCCAAGGTAAATTAATTTTTTACATTTTTTCTGGACATTATGTTTTTTTTAAATTTTCATTATGATATCAGGTTTGCAAACTTTCTCCATCCGCACAGAACAGTTTCCCAGACCTCGAGGTCAAAGTCGAGGTCAAGAATAGAGTCAGCAGGATCTCAAATATCCAGAGAATCCGTGTCTGAGATATCCGGTAGATCCATATCTTGGGTTTCAGGCGAATCCGGAGAAACTGTGTTCCAGGACGAAACCGTTTCAGTTGGAAGTGAAACCAATAAAACATTTACAGCTGGAGTAGCTGGAGAAGACAAAAATACAGGTCTTCCTTGGAATACAGTGGTTAGGGAGTGACCGGCAATTTATGGTGGTTGAACTGAGAATGTAGTAATGTGGAGAATTTTTTTAGGAATCATTTGAGACCTATGAGACGTTTTTACGGTGCATATTTGTTCAGCAACAGCGCAAATTTAATCTTTTAAATCCACATAGATTGTTCATTTTTGAGAGATGATGTTGAGAATCGGTTTTTAAAAAATTATTCAAAAACCGCGACGAAATATATAGTAAAAAATCTACAGTAAACTAATTATTTGTTAAAGAACAGGTTGAGAAAATAAAAATAAACTATTATCATCGAAAATAAGTTTCTAATCTTATTCAGTTATTGGTTTCTGTGATGTCTCATTGTTTACAAACATTTTCTGTAGATTTCCTGGATTTTTTTGAAAAGACGAAATTGTGCTTAAACTCAGTGAATGAATCCTAAACATTTTCTCCACAATACTACATTCTCAGTTTAACTACCATACATTGCCGGTCACTCCCTTTAATAAATTCTTCTTCTGCGCAATGATCATTATCATTATAATTATATTTAAAATAAACCTCATTTTTAAAATTCGGGATCGTTCAAATAGATTTTTGAAGTATTTGTGGATTTGATATTTTAATTATTGTGATCTGTGCTCGAAATAAAATTCTAAATCAAAAAAATTTATTTGTTTAGGCGGGTCAATATTGGACAAAATTTTGAAATCAAATTTTACAGACTATCTTCAAGATTTAGGAACTTAATATAAATAAAAGATCATTTTCAGAAAAAAAAACGCCATGGTAAAAAATCAAGTTATTCGTTCTGAACTTTTTCACAATGGGCATAAGCATTCAAGTTGTCATAATCTTAAGAAGAAAAATACGTTATTATAAGTTTTTATTGGCTTATTTCACGTTTGTATACTTTTTATAACAATTGAACAACAACATGTTCGATCCAACTAAAACTTAATTGGTCACAATTTGCAGCCTACTTTCTTGGAGTCCAAATAAAAACATTTAATCGGGCTAATGGTCATTTGTCATAAAATTTGCCTTTAGGGGAGAAAAGGAGAGTTGTTTCTTTAGCTATTAAATAATAAGGACAATCTTTCTTGTGAGAGAGGTCGAAATTTTTTTAGTTAATCTTTTCAGAAAGTATTAATCCGTATCTTTTGTAGTCCGACGGATTAAGATAATGTCTTAAATAATTCCAAAGGTTGTATCAATCCGAAGCCACAAAAATTGTCTCTTGACCAATGACAGATGGCGAAAATCCGTATAAACTTTTTTAAAGGATTAAACACTCAATCGGATGAAATCAAAAGTTTCAGTTGTTGCTATAGTTTAGGCGCTAAAGTTCCAACCTCAGATAATATTAAGTCCGGAGTCTTGAGTCTACCCGTATTGTGAGATTGATCAAATCTATCCTTGAGGTTGTATCCTTCCAACGAGAGGATAATATCAAGAGAGATCTGGAGATCAGTCCTGTAGTGCAGAACCAGGATCTTAGTCTTGAACACTATCAAAGGTTGGATTTTTTTGTCATGTTTTGTGTTTAAAAAATGCTTCAACTCAAGAATTTTTTCTGGAATTTTCGGGAATTTTCCTAAATCCTCACTCCGTGCATTCTTAAAATAAACTCTGGATTGTTCAGCAGATTGACCTATCCAACATCTCAAAACAAAACAGTTGAGCATATAACTTAAGATTTCACTCTCATATTTAACATTTTAACTTTGGTTTTCAGGATCTTATATTTTGATTATTTCAACAGGAACTCTGACATTACCTGATTTTTCCTACTGAGTTTACTGGCGTTTAAACCATTTACACTGACCACAATTACAGCAGCACCTAGAGGCAGCTACACAAGCACACTCGCTACATATCTGCGGTGTTTGTTTAAACTTTTTTCTAATTTGAATTACAAAAATCACAGAACAAATGTGGAATTATCAAAAAATGTTCTCCGCCAAGTTTAAAAACAACTTTTATTTTTTCTTAAACCAGTTGAAACTTGCTATCGGCAAGGATCGGACCTGCCAATAGTGGCTCCTGGTTTCACAGTTAGGAGAGCGCTGCGTAAAATTGCTCATGACTCATCCTACAGGGGAGTAGGGAAACAAAGGATTTAAACAGTTAAGAAGTGTGGGTTCTCTCTCTTCCACCCCCAATCTCTTGCTAGGAAACAAAAAAAAATGAAACTCAAAAACTAGAACCCCTGATAGGTTTAGAAGCCATGCACAATTATACAGTTTTTTTTCTCTGCTGGCTGTGAGGACTGGACTACTGTGGAAGATTCCACCTGATGCGGTTTAAGCCTTCAACTCCCCATTTTGCATAGGCGGTGCAACTGTAATGGTAACCTAAAATGCCGCGTAGTGGGCAACACTTTAAAACGAAGGAAAGAAGGGATATTCTACTGAAATCCCTCATACCCTTCCTCCTCCAAACTTTCTTATCTTTTTCCTCTCCTGCTCCATAACTCAATGTCACAGGGAACTACTTGGAGAGGTCTCAAACTGTAGAAAACAAGAAGAAAAGAATAAAGGAGTAACTGATTTGGGGCAAATGGGGATTCCCCCCCCCTCCCCTTCCGTCCAGCCAGGAAATATGATGCTGACTAACATGTGTGAACAGAACAGAGTTCATTAAAATAGTAATGCAGGAGCATCTCCAAATAGTTCTGAACTACCAGCCTTGCAACTGCTGGGATGTCCCAAAATTGTTTTATTTTTTTTTTTCAAAATTAGCCAAAACATGATGAAAAATGCACAAAAAAGAAGAAAATGGAGAACAAGAAATATAGAAATGTCAAAATATTTGCACCTGCTATCATCTAATTATTTAAAGAATATTGTTAAAATCAAAATAAAATATTTCTTTAAAAAAAATTTATACTTAAACAGAAACTACTATGTTGTTAAGGCTTGAAGATGCATTTTTACTTCATGACTCCGACAGAAAGGGTTTCATGACCAAATCTGAATTAAGGTGAGAGAACCTAAAATCTGTAAAATAGCAAGACAATATTTAAACATTTTAATGTTTATTTGATGTTGTTATAAAGCAAAAACTGCATGTTGAGTGAATTGGGTGTGTTTTTTATTCATAGGACTACTTAAGATCAAAACTTGAGTTCTAACAGTTGTCTTCCTATTTCAAAGCATTATGTAAGACTAGCTCAAATGCCTGTCGAATTTTTGAAAAAATGGAATTTAAAAATAGTTTATTAAAAAATCAAATTTTCTAGCTTAGTTACCCCCCACGGAACCCATGGATTCCCTCAAAAAAATTCAGCCAATTCAAAAAAATTGTGATTTGCAATGCCTGGTAAAAAATTGTATGTTTTTTGTGCAACTCTCCTGTCTGGTGTTTTTTTTCAATATTTTTTGAAAATTTGTAAATTTTGTTATGTACTCCAATGGCCTAAAAAAATCCGCGAACCTTTTTTCTCTCAAAATCAAAAGTTCAGAAAAACAAAAATGTGTAAAATATTTCTATTAAAATCTAAAAATTTTTAAAGATTGAATCACAGAATTGCAGAAAATTTGCAAAATTGTAATAAGAAAATTCGCAATTTTCTGCTCAGGTCTAACTAAGAAGAAATGAACTAGATAATTTAAATAACTTTTCCTTAAAATTAGACCAGAACTAAATATTGTGAATCTAGTTATTACAATTTTGCCAATTTTCTGTGATTCTGTGATTGAATCTTTAAAAAATTTTATATTATATATATATTTAATAGGATTTATTTATATATATAAAAGCTGAGAGGTGAGATTAAACACTTTATAACAGAGAAAACGTAAAAAAATATTTTACGTTTAATTCAAAGTTTGATTTTCATCCAGTATTCATGCAGCCTCATATAACTAGATTAGCAACATTTTTGTCGAAAATAAAAAATAAAAAATTTATGAATTCTTTCCCGGAAATTTGCAAAAATAAACTTAAATCCACAATAATATGAAAATAATGAAAAAAGTAAAAAAGAGGGATTTTTACTAATAGAATTTTCTTTATATTTCTAAAATCTTGTCAAAATATAAAACTAACATCAAAACTAGAATCATTTAATAAATGTAAAACACATAAGTTTATGCATAAAAAAATAGTGTTATAATTACAGATAAACCCTAAATATTAAATACATCGAAAGACTTTATCAAATGCCGTATTCTTCACTTTCTGATAATGATAATGATCTGAAGCTCTTTAAAACTGTTCCCGCATATTCATTTCCGTAAAATAATATAAAACCCATTGAAAAATTTTCAAGACGACATTTCATAAATTCTTTCGATGTATTTAATATATTTAGGGTTTAACTGTATGAAAACTTCTCCATAGTGTCTGAAGCAAAATCATGGATATTTATTCTATTGATACTTTAGGCAAAGCTTTTAAGGGTACCGTTGTAAATTGGACATGACATTCGAACAACTTAAAATTTCGTTAACAGTCCCTTTAATGTTGTAAATATCTATCAAAATAGATTTATGGCATTTCAGGTATATACCACACCCCGGATTAACCAGAGTGTGCAGCATTCGGTTTGAAATCAAACGTATTTTTGTCTATAATTCAACAATCTTTTACCTTACAGATTTGTTTATTCTATACTTTTTCATTCAAAATGCATATGCCGACAAATGTACCCAAGAAAAAAGGCTAAAAAATTATTTTTAATGGGTCACATTGTGATCGAAAGTCACAGCTTTCTGGCGCGAATATTGACAGAACCGTTAAATCCACGTGACCATATACATGGTTACTTGAGAGTTGTTATTCCTACATCTCTCTGCTGCCATGCATTTGAAAAAAAGCTTTTTTCTTTGAGTAAACCATTAAAAGACTTGTTTGAAGGCAGGAGACCAAATCTAAGATTCAGATCGTCATATTTAAAGAGAGTTTTGGTCGTCTTTTTAGTCTCATTTTTGTGAATAACCTTGTATGTAAACTTGCCAAATTTTTTCAAAATTGATTAGAGTTGTTCTCATTCAAATCCGCTACAAAACCAATACTAAAAGAGTTAATACCCTGGCTCTGATATAATATTATTCCTGTTTGAAGATCCTGTTTACTGGTTCTTGGACAAAACCCAACGGAGCAGGAGATGTGGAAGTTACTGGCTCAGGTTCAATTTTATCTTATTATTATTATATACTAGCTGAAGTGCCCGACGTTGCCCGTGGAATTAAAAAAATTAAATTTTCCAGAAAAAAAACGATTTTTTGAAAAAACTAAATTTTGATTTTTGAAAAAAAAATCTCAGCCAATTCGGTCCAGCCGTTTGGATAGCTCTGGCTATATATATATATATATATATATATGAGCGAAGAGGTTTTAAATATAGATTTATTTCGTTCACATAACGGTACAATAGATTAAATATAGGATATTTGAATTTTCAAACTACAAGACGTTCGTAAATGATATGTATAATATACAAAATAAAAGCTAGTAACAACACAATAAAATAACATACAGAGTGTCCCAGCAAACAGATTTTTTAATTAGCTTTTACAGTCGATTAGTTGCTTTGTTTTGAACGTTCCGAAAATATCTTCTCTAACACTTAGAAAACTACGAGGATTGTGGAAAATATAAATCAGGCCAAATTCTAAATAATTACTTAGTAAATCTTGAAGGAGTATTAGTTTTCAAGAAGGTTTTAGAACTTTTAAGTCATGCTCACGATCAGCTTGTATTTACTTTGCACGCACTACTTAGAAAAATGTTTCATAGATAAGACAATGACAAATGATACACAAAGAAAAACTAGTTTTCTTATAATACCGTTAAAAATAACAGTTTATCAGTTTATTTTATAAAATAAAATAATTTACCTTATCTATAAAAATTTTTAAGAATCTGTTTCACCATTATTTTTTCTCTTTCTATAAATTATCGTGTCATGAAATGACGTATCTATAAAACAAAAATCCTGTCTATGAGATGTCCTGTCCATGAAATCTCCTGTCCATGAAATGTCCTATCTATAAAATGTCCTGTCTCTGTAATGTTCATCTATGTCCCATACACCATTGTATAGTGTTCGTTTATGGGCTAAAAAATACTGCAAACAACTCACATATCCAACAATATAGAAATTAATCCATATGATTTATAAAAAAAATTAATTACAGCACTGTAAACTCTAGTTCTATTCAAGTACTGGGCTGATGTGCAGTACACATACAGACTAAATAAGTCCAAGCGGGACAGTACCAGGGAATAGGAATAAAGGGAAAGGAAATGGCTTTGGTCTGGCATGAGTTGCACTGCTTTGCAGACCAGTACTTTAAACTAATACACACTCTTTTGGTACAGACACACAACATGATTACAGTCAAGGAAATTGCAGAACAATGTTGTCAATTATAATTAAACTTAAATAACGACTATATTTGTTGTAAACTTTAATCAAGTTATATTCTTTGAATGAACATTTGGCTTATAGTGTTGACTTAAATATATAATTAATATGCTACATGTATATTAAACTTGTTTCTAAGTTTAAACAATTAACAATAGACAAATGTACTCTCCTAGACTGTACAAATACCGAGATTCGTATGTACTCTATATACCTACAGTACACATCTTTGGTACTTTAAACTAACACCCACTCTTTTGGTACAGACACACACGCACATGACGTTTCCGCCCCCTGGTCAGTACACCATATGAATTTAAGATCCTCTTCTAGAGAAATTTATGTGACAACACGTGCAATTTTCTTGTTCGCTCTAAGTGTACAGTATCGTTGTTCAATGTTCATGGTGTAAAAAAAGAAATAATTAAGGTTGATGTTGAGCACAATGGAACTCTAGATTTTGACGAGTTTTTTGATTTAATGACATCATTGATGACAGGCTGGAACCCGGAACAGGATCTAGGTAAGGTGCTCTGCAAACTAAACAAGAGGTGGTCAACTTTAAACTAATTACCTTTGCGTCTTTGTGACCTCGTAGCTCCTCAAGTTATGAAAACGCATTAAAATGAGATAAACAAATTTATCAAAACTTTACTTTTCTTTTCAATGAGAAGTGTTATGATTGAAAACATACAAGATTTCAATATTAAAAGGTGTTCAATATAAATTGAGACTTTAGAAAAAAACGTTCTTACACTCACGCTACTCATTCATCTTCAAACTTACACTGTTGAATTTGTAAACACATCTCAATAACGCTATTGAGCTTAGAATTCATTGTCTTCAGATTCCTGAGCACGGGCAGCCGTAGTACATTTGAATTTCCGAGCCGGGTCAACCTTTCCGATCCCAGTTTGTACTGTATCACCAAGACATTGGGTAAATGAAGCAGACACTCAATAGGACTAGCCAGTCAAGTTTGACGGGGTCAGACTTTAGGTTGAATTTACTTTTACTAAAGGGTCAGAGGTGCGTGTGAGAGAAACATTGTTATCAGTTGCTTTTGGAAGCTTAATTTTTAACAGTCTGAACAGTCTGTGGCAGAAAATTTCCCTTTTAGAATTGGCAAGCGATATTAAAAGCTTCTCTGGGTGATAAGCTTTTGACTTAAGACAAATGTGAGAAACATTGTCTCTGGGAATGTATAAAAATATTTTTTCCATTAATGCCCTTAACCTTCAGGGGAAAATATAAATTTATATATTTCATTAACAAATGAAGATGCTCCAAAATCAGGAAAAAAGTGTGTGCGTAAAGTTCTTGTTCCTTTAGCTCTGCTAGCTTTACCCTGGGACCCTGGGCGAGCTGGGGACATGATTTTTGTCTCCAGCATTTGACATCATCCAATTGAAGAGTTATGTGAGCATATTACTTTGAAATTTTTTTAATGCAATTTTTCTTCTGGACACTTCTTTCTTTTGTACAGCTTCTTAATTATCGGACGTTTCACTGTTGAAGGAGGTAATTTCTCAGCTTTCCGACCAGTTCCAATTTTCCTTTTCCCCCCTAAACCTACCTCCTCATACCTCAGAACCTCTTTCATGTCCTTAATCTTCTTTGTGACAGAATTTTCTTCAAAAAAATGCAACCAATTTGTTCTCAGGGCACAGGTGGCTGATCTTCACGTTTTTTTTTTTATTTCCATATTGGTGGACTTACTATTTTATAAGTTCTTTAAAAAAAAAAGAGGACCCTGATATCTTTCAATTTGACGATCTGAATGTTAGATTTGATCTTCTTCCTTCAAATTCTTACTGGTTTACAAAAGAAGAAAACCTTGTTTTAAAATTCAGGGAAGCGTAAATGTAATGTAAAAAGAACTTAATAAATTCCGCACACTCTTCTCTGAAGTCTCATCCTTTTTGGGTAACCCTGTTTATCTACATATCACTGTAAAATTTTATAGTGGGATTTAAAAGTCTATAATATCTGAAAATTTAGAAAGTAGTTTTCTGAAAAGCTAATCATGGTTTTTAAAGGGAAAATGCAACACTTTTACAAGCGTATTAAAGGGAGTGTTAAGTAAAAATTAAAGTTGTCTGGGTTAATATGTAACATTATTTGCAATATATCAGAGCAAATTATGAAAATAAATTTTTTTGGCGACCGAAAAATGTCTAATTTCGTGAACACTCTCTTTAAGATGATATATTACTTAAAATGTTGAAGGTACATGTTGGAGAGCTCTGAACCCTAGAGGGAAGAGCAGGATAAATTTGACCAACCTTATCTTCATACTCAGCAACTATGGAGCAAGGATTAATAAATCGGAACTAGATGAGATCTTCAACCTGAAGCAGAATAGAGAGAATGCAGAAAATACAGAGAATACAGATCTTGAGTTTATTTCATTTAACCAGTTTCTTGCATGTGTAGTGGAACCTGTAAAGGAGAATTGAGATATAGAAGTAAAATAAATTTCTAAATTTTATTTAAATATTTCATAATTCATGCCACAACCCCCAAAATAGTGTACAAACCTTTGATGCCTCAAACTTAGATTAATTGACATAAAAGAATATCTAAGGTCTAAAGACATTGGGTTGGAAAGATAAAGAGATTAGAAAATCAGAGTTTGCGGCAAAAACTCAATTCCTTTACTTCTATTTTATAATGGTATCAAATACGGATGATTAAAAAACTAATCTGGCGTCCATCTGACAAAAAATCTGAAATGATTGAACGAATATATGACAAATATATTCAAACAATGAAGATACGACTCCAAGAAGAAAATAGAAGGATAAAGTGCAGAGGTTGCCAAAATCTAATAAAATATAAGCAAAATATCTCTCTGCATTAAAGTTTTATTTTCTCTTGTCTTCATGTATGCAGAAAACTGTTTGTTTTCCTCTCAGCTTTTTTCTATTTAACTAAGCTTCAGGGCGCTTCACGCTCATATTCAATTTCAATTATGAACATTTTCTCTTTGTATACACTGGAAAACAAAAATAAAAATGTCCGCGGATTTTATAAAATTTAATGAAAATTGAATTTTGTTGGAGGCTACTTTTTGAAATTTTTACCATCCATGAACGTCTCTGGGGGTCATGTGAGGTCCCGCACAAAATTTGGGCCCGACCGTTTCAGCCGTTTTGACGTTTATTGAATACAAACGGACAAACAGACAGACAAACAAAGTATATATAGATATAGATTTAACCTAGTTTTTTTATTAAAATATAATTCTTTATCAGGGTGATATTAGAATAAAATAAATAAAGTCCCAGAAAACTCCGGAATAAGAAGAATACTTTTAGACCCAAGTTGTCTTGAAATAGCTCTAGGCACATAAAACACAGCCATTTGCATTGTAAATAACCCCATTTAACTTAAAATGTGGTTTAAAAAGTTACTAGTTACACTATATATATATATATATTGCCTTGTACAACAACATCAAATTCTCTTTATTATTTGCATTGTAAATAACCCCATTTAACTTAATATGTGGTTTAAAAAGTTACTAGTTACAGTATATATTGCCTTGTACAACAACATTAAATTCTCTTTATTATTTGCATTGTAAATAACCCCATTTAACTTAATATGTGGTTTAAAAAGTTACTAGTTACACTATATATATTGCCTTGTACAACAACATTAAATTCTCTTTATTATTTAACTTAATATGTGGTTTAAAAAGTTACTAGTTACACTATATATATTGCCTCGTACAACAACATCAAATTCTCTTTATTACTTGTAGTGTAAATAACCCCTTTAACTTAATATGTGGTTTAAAAAGTTGCTAGTTACACTATATATATTGCCTTGTACAACAACATCAAATTCTCTTTATTATTTGCATTGTAAATAACCCCTTTAACTTAATATGTGGTTTAAAGTATACTTCGTGCTCAAGTGTATTATATGTATGTTCCTTCCATGATTGCAGTCCTAATATGAAATACGTATGAGTTAAATATAGGCAAACCCCATTCTTAATTCTACCCGGCCTACTGCATTCATTGGTTTTAATATTTTTTGAGAACCGTCTTTCTGACCACGTCCTTAAACCCATTTCCTCTCTTGTATGTATTAAATGTCTTTTTTTCGACTTCGAAATGCGCACCCTTCAGCAGGTGGGCCGGGTGGTGAGGTTCCTCCCTGCATTCTTAATTATAAATAAGGGCGTCTGCAATGTTTTGTGCCGCGTCGTGTTTTAAGCCTCATAAACCTAACTCCTTGTCCTTACATCCGCGATAACACAGAGCCAGTAATCAAAACATTACTTCCTTCCTTCTGGCTCAACAGTTTATAGAATCAAACCACTGCACTGACGATTATGACTCACAAACCTTAGTTCTTTGTTAGTTTTCGTTTCAACTGTTTTAATTTGAGCTATTTCTTGCTAGCCATGCAGTTGTAAATTTTCAAAGAAAAGGCGCGTGCGCGTATAAGGTGACTTCAGCCGTTCCTTAACTGCTTTTGAACATTTTTTGATGAAATCTTGATTTTAATTTTAGACGGAATTTAGACAGATAATGCCAGCCCCGGTCATTGATTACATAGAATGCTTGAAGGATTCTCCAAGGTAATTTTTATATCTATGAAATGGTTGGAATTTAACGTTTTTAGTTTTTTGTAAGTTCTAAGTCCTGTGACCATATTTAATGGTTTTGAGCTACTTCGCTGAACTACCTTCTGCCGGTTCAAATTTTGACCACCGATTTAGGATTTAAACCGGTAGTAAGCAGTTTATCGACTCCTAATATTCATCAAATTCAGCACCAGTTTAAACCCGTACAATTAGGAAAGTTGGATAAGAGTAGGAAAAGAAGGTAGAGAATTTATATAACGAAGACAGATACCTTATTGCAAATTAATAGAGCAATAATTTCAAATCAATGGAGCACTTATTACAACGAATCAATGGAGCACTTATTACAGATTAATATTTAAACGTTTAGGATGATAAATTATAATAGGAACTTGGACCATAGGGTTTTCTTTGAAATTGATATTTTAATTGGGTTTGATTGTATCTAATTTAAATTGATTTTTAAAAATTTTTTAAGAACAAAAAAATTATTAACATTTTAACTGTTATTTCGTTCGGACACAGTTTTTATTCATAAACTCGTTTTTTTCTATATGTAAAGATTTCGTCAGCAGTTGAATAATAATGAGAATAGTCTGGATGAACTTGAAACTAAGATGGAGAAACTTCTCAAGGTAAAATAATAAAAATGTATTTTTAAATATTAAGCTGCAATAAGTTTAATTATTCATAAAAATTGGTTTGATAAACTTAGAAAACTTAGAAAATGATGAAAAATTATTGTTAAAAAGGTAATATGTCAAATCGAGTTTACGTTAAATTGATATGCTAAACTACCCCAAAATAACTACAGGGTCACTCCAAAAGAATGAGACTGTAAAGGCGATCTAATAATGTTTTAATATAAGACGCCGACGGTTAAATTTAGTAATTTTAGCCTCGAACCTAGTTTTTAAATGTTTACTTTTTGAATTGGCAAAGAAAGAAACAATTTTAAAGCTGCGGGGAAACCTGTAAGTAAGGGAAAAAACTAATTAGAATTATTAAAGTCGTCTTTAAGTGTTAGTGGTTAACCCTTTATACATTGATTAGTCGTGTAACACAATGACTGAGAGTGGACGGAACTATATCAGTAACCAGGCGATGTTTATCGCCAGCTTGTGGGAGCTGAGCTCATACTTTTCCGCAGACCAGGAGACAACTACAACTTCTTTTCTTAACAAACTTATTCAAACTCTTCAGGTACAAAGGTTAAATGTTTAACAGCTCATGAAATTAACGATTAAATGTTTAACAGCTTATGAAAATAACGGTTCAAGGTTTACCAGCTCATGAACATAAAGGTTCAAGGTTTAACAGCTCTTGAACATAAAGGTTATATGTTTAACCGCTCATTAACACATAGGTTCAAGGCTTTACATCTTCTTAACACATAGGTTCATGGTTTAACTGCTCATAAACACAAAGGTCAAGGTTCAACAGTGCATGAACACAAAGGTCCTAGGGTTAACAGCTTATTGACACAAAGGTTGAAGGTTTTACAGGTCATGAACACAAAGGTTCAAGGTTTAATAGCTCATGAAAATTAAGTCTCAAGATTTAACAGCTAATGAAAATAAAGGTTCAAGGTTTAATAGCTCATGAAATTAAAGGTCTAAGATTTAACAGCTCATAAACAAAGAGGTTCAAGATTTTAAAGCTCATGAACAAAAGTATTAATCAGATATTAAACATAAGGGTCTGGTTCAAATTTAACATATTATTATAATATATAAGGGTTCAAGATTTTACAACTCATGAACACAGGTTTAAGGTTTTAAAGCTCATGAACAATTTATTAATCAGAAAATGACGGGGTTTCTTCTCCTTAGTACAAAGCATTTTATAATTTAAGTTTTAAAAGAGCGATAGGGGGGGGGGGGGTAAAAGAACAACGCAAGACCTCCCGGAATGTTTAAACTGGTCTTGTGTTCCTTCTTCTTTTACCTTGTACGGCTTGTATAATTATTTTTAGTAAATATTTTGACCTCAAATTTTTTAATTTCTTTAGGAAGCGTTGAAATTTCAAAATGTGATAATTGATCAAACTAATAGCGCAATAAACAAATCATTGTCAAAGTTCCTAAAAGAAGACATGAAAAAGATGAGAGAAACTAAAGGATATTTTAACAAGATCTCTAATGATCTTGACTCTGCTTTGAACAAGAACAGTGCAGCGTCTAAAGGACGAACTACTGATCTAGAGGATACGAGTAATCTATTGACGGCTACTCGATCCTGTTTCCGGTATACCGGGATGGATTATGTTTATCAAATATCTATGCTTCAATCCCAGAAACGCTACATCATCCTGGATTCTTTAGGTAATGTGGCATTTAATTCACAAAAATCAACCTTTAGTCATATTTATATGGTTCCCAGCTAAGGTGCTCAGTTAACGAGTAAATGCATAAACTGGAAATATTTGATATGATTTTCAAACCTTTCATTGTAAGCTAGAAGCTAGTAAGCGTCGTTTTATCCTTTGTTATATATATTCTTTGCGTGTCTGTCTGTCTGTCTGTCCGTTTGTATCCAATAAACGTCAAAACGGCTGAACCGGTCAGACCCAAATTTTTGGTGGGGCCTCACATGACCCCAAGGAAGGTTTATGAATGCTCAAAATAAAAAAATTTGTATCTTCAGTTTTTGATTTTTGTAAAAAGTGCATGAAAAGATATATTAAATCTGCAATTTGGTTTTTGTTTTATATTGTACAAAGATAAGATGCCCACAGACAGAGCCACAATTAAAAGTTGAAATAATTATAGTTTGTTATAAAACACTCAGTTATTTATTGACTGTTTAGTGACAAATCTGAGAAGTTATAAATATATTTTATTTCTCATAACTTTAAAAATATTCCACCAATCATATTCCTAAACGAAAATACGAGCCAAAAATATTTTGCATAGCATGATAAAAACAAACTAAATTTAAAACTATGCCATCCCTAGTTAGGTTCCTATTAGCAAGATGGTTAAAGTTTTCAGGCAAAGATTCCAGAAAATGTCAAAATGTTTGTCTTTTAGGCAACCTGGTCTCAACCTACAAAACCTTCTTCAGACAAGGATTGGATCTGTTTGGTGGGATGGATCCATTCTTAAAATCCTTAAATTCAGAAATAGAGGTAAAAATAGGGATATTTATTTTCCAGGGGGGGGGTGGATGATACTTATACCCAAAAATACATATATTAGATTAGAATTAGATAAGATGTTTATGTTTGTAAAGTTTTAATGTTGGAAATTAATGGGAATTTTATTGTTGTATAAATAACAGCTGTTTCTGAACATAAGATAATTAATATTTTCAGAAAAAGTCAGTGAAATATCTGAAACGCTTGTTGCATTTTATCTGCGAAAATTTTCTCTTTGGTCATTATTGAACAATATACCTGGATTTTGTCTTTTTTGCTCGAGAAATCCTCGACTAGAAAAAGCACGACCATAGAGTTAAAGTTTTAATTTTTATGACTTCTAAATAAACAATTATCATCGGTTTGTAGAAAGAAGGTCAAAAAGTACAATTTTGAATCATTCATTTTTTTTAATGAAATCCGACTTTAAAATTGTAAACCAAGGATCAAAGACAAAAACGTCAACTAAGGCCTAATAAATTCGTGAAAAAAAGCAAACGAATTAAATAGAAAATTGAGTAAACGTACAAAAACCTAAAAGTAAACTTTTTTCAGTAACTAAATTTTGAAACTTTTCTCTTTGTGTTGATTCTATTTTCAGTCAATGATGTAACCAATGCTTAGAACTTCAATTCTTAAGTGTTGATTTTTATTTTCAGTCAATGAAGGCCCAGACCCGTGCTTTAGAGAAGAACCTGGAGAAGCGCCATACCTATGTAACCAAGGACGATGATCTAGTTCTAGCAGAGACCAAGGGAAAACCGATCAACGTGGAGGGGTATTTGTTTAAACGAGGACAGAATGCTTTTAGAACATGGAACCGAAGATGGTTTTATCTGGACAGTAATAAGGTAAAGGCTCTTAGCGAAATCCTTGTCTTTATAGCTTGGGAAATTAGAATTTTTGTTATTGTTTTTAACATTTAAATATTTACAAAGGATAATTAGATAAAAAACACCTTGGTCGAGAATCTGAAAACTTTTAAAAATAAAAAAGGACAAAAAACCTTGATATTAGACTAGCTTATTGTTTCAACCTAAGACTTAAAAACTTGTGAGCTTTTTACCTTGACATTTTGTCTTGATAATTTCCTCCCTTCTTTTCCTGAGTAATTTGTCCGTGTCACCCCTAGCTCCCTCTCCTAGCTACGAGACAATTTTGCCAAGAAAAATAGTTTTTCATTTTAGGTTGAGACGGAATAAAAAAAAAATTAATCAAACATTCAAACACAGTTAATAATATCACTTTTCTCCGTAATACTAATTTTTTAATTTAAAAAAAATATATTTTTTATTTTCATTAGTTTTATTTTAAAACATAAAAAGTTGAATAATGTTATTGTTTACGTCAGCTTTGCTACGTGAAGAGGAATGGCGAGGAAATAACAGTAATGGAGGATGATCTGAGAATCTGCATGGTTCGACCTCTTAATGAGATTGATCGAAGATTTTGCTTCGAAGTGATTTCTCCGACGAAATCCCACGTCCTCCAGGTGCAAATTTACATTTTTATTCGATAAGCACTATTATTACTTCTAATTTTGTGCGTGTTAAGTGTCTGTCATCATGCTAGCTAACAAATTGCAAGAGTTTATTTTTGCACTGTTCTTTTTTTGGAGGGTGGGGGAGGTTAAATTGAAACTATATACCTCTTTCTGGCTGTTCTAGAACTCGCTGTATTTTTATGTTTAAAAAACGTTTTTCAATCAAAAGACGAATTTCAAATCATAAAATGGCATTAAAACTAACATTTTTCATTGGTTCAACAAATCAGTAAACCTTAAAGAAATGTTCATGACCCGGATCCGGATCCGCATCAAAATTAAATTGATTCAAGCACTGATATGAATAATTATGTTAAGTATTATTATTTGATAATGTTTATATTTCGTCTAAGGCTGATTCTGAGATTCTATACCGATTATGGATGTCAAGCCTTCAGCAGGGTATATCCTCAGCTCTACATGAGGTTTATATTAGTTATATTCCTTATCCATGGGCGCAACTACAGATGGGGGGGGAGGAAGGGGGGCTGTGTAAAGGCATTTAACAGGTGTAGCTTATTTCGTCCCCCATGCGTACAACTCAATACTCAAATTTCGCACTTAGCTCTGTGGGCAAAAGATGATGCTGGGAAATATCGTGTATATTGTTTCTATACTATTAAAATAAAATAAATTGTGATTTTTAAAAACTGTATCGGTTTTGTCCTTCTTTTCTCATATTTATCTGTTTTTGTGTGAGATTTTATTTTGCTTATTTTCGTATTTACCCAGGCGATGTCTCCGGAGGTTGTGGCAAACGTGAGCGGAGCGATCCAATGGGAGGATTCTGATACCGAGGAGGCTCAAGATAGTAAACTAAGGCAGAAACCAACCTCTCAGAGGAACGCAAATCAGATTCTAGATATACCTGGCAACGAGGTCAGTCATTTGGATTTTGTTCTCAAGAACATGTTTTTAATAAAAATGTTCAGGTTTGTTGTGATTGCTCTGATCCTAAACCTCAATGGGCTGCGACCAACTTCGGGATTACGCTTTGTATTGAGTGTTGCGGAATCCATCGCTCCCTTGGCGTTCATATCACTAAAGTCAAGTCAATTACGCTGGACGCCTGGGAACCAGAGATACTCAAGGTTATGGCAGAGCTGGGGAACAGTATTGCCAACAGGATCCTGGAGAACCAGGTCGGAGATCATATTAAACCTGGACCTGGAGCAACCAGACCTCAGAGAGAAGCTTGGATTACGTTGAAGTACAAGGAGAAGGCATTTGTGAACAAGGATATTTTTAAAGGAAAGGAAGTTGAGGATAGTGAAGGATGGATTGTCAACAAGTTGCGCCGAAGAACACGGATCAAGAAAGAGAAGACAGAGAAGGCTACTGAGAAAGAGAAAAGAACCTCAGATGAGAAGGATGTTGATACTTCTGCTGCAGATGAGGATGAACCAAGCCTCCTTGAGTCTGTGCTGAGAGCCAGCACTTTGACCAGTAATTCTAAGGAGTCTACTCCATCAGGTTCAACTGTATCTCTTGTTAAACGACGTATTCTAAACACTGAGGTTGTTCTGTTTGGTGGGAGTCTGGGTAAACATCATGTAGCTAGTGTAGAACTAGACAGTGATCAGGTTAGTTGGATATTTTACTTATTTTGACACTTCTATATTTTTTCCTAATACTTTTCTCTCCAGGAATCAACTGATGGAGAAAGTGAAACTAGTTGGAATCCTCCGGTAGACAGTGTAGCAAACCTTACTCCGGAGCTTCTACTCTTCAGAGCTGCCAGAGCACACAATCTTCCCGTCATGCTGGAGGCACTTGCTCTTGGAGCAAACATGGATTGGAAATACCGTGGGGAGCTGATGCAAGCTCCGATACATCAGGCTGTCTTGTCAGGAAGTGTTATGTCGACAGAGTTTCTTATTTTGAACGGAGCAAAGACGGGAGCAGCAGATGGAGATGGGAACACTCCTCTACATCTCGCTGCTTTACATGGAAATACGGGACAAGTTTGTCTTCTTCTTAAACACAGGTTGGTAGCTCCAGATAAGGAACTCTTCTTATCTGGATTTTAGTATTGTTTTCCAACACTTCAAAGTAAACAGATTTTTTATCAATTGGCAAATAGGTTTCGGGCTTGTGTGCTTTATTTTTGCTTTAAAGTTAAACATTTTATTCTACTATTTTTACATAAAAACATTTACATATGACATTTTGATATAATATAGATATATGTGATGATTGATTTTTAAGTTTACATTTCCAAGTTTAACGAATTTCTACTGTGATTAAGCATAATTTTTGTTTTCATTGATTGCATTTAAAGATAAAAGAAGATATATTTTAAAATTATGTATTTTTATAAAAAATTGATCTCGACGAATTAAAGTTCAGGGAATAATATTATTCAAATTTAATGATTGTTTAACCTGAACGATAAATATTAGTTATATTTTTAGCTTTATATGTACTGATAAAATAAAATCATATTTAAGATATTAAATAAATAAATGATAAAAATTAGATTAATATTTAGTCAGAATTCCTGTATCTGACACCCCCCCCCCCAAGTTAAGCGCAATTTTATGTGACCCTCTATGTAAGGATGGTCAAGCCCGATCGGGCATTGCCATCTTTGCATGGAGGGTCACTTGAAATTACGCTTACAGACCTTCTATATGTATACTTTGCTTTTCTGTTTGTTTGTTTGTTTGTCCGTTTGTATCCAAAACACGTCAAAACGGATAATCCGATGGTCCGATCGGGGCCAAATTTTGTGAGGGACTTCACATGACCCCTAGGGAAGTTTTATAAATGCTCAAAATAAAAAAAAATCCTGTCCCAACAGATGTTGATTTTTGTAAAATTTCGAAAATGCGCGAAAAAATATTATTAATCCTCCAACTATTTTGTTGTTGTTTTATTTTGTACAAAGAGAATCCGCACGGATAGAAATAGAAGTTATTAAATAATTGTTTCAGAGCTGATCACCATCTGGTTAACAACTCCGGACACGAACCTCTGGATATCGGAGTAACCAATTCTGACGCGGATATTGTGACTCTTCTCCGGCTTGCCGCACTAAACGAAGAAATCCGCGAAAATGATTTTACAGGAGACGATGACACATTCAACGATGTGGTTCAAGAGTTTTCACAGATGGTTTATACACACCCGGAGAGATTAAATAGAAACAAGAAATAAGTTTCACATATAAATTTTTATTTTAGTTCGGAAAGAAATTTTGGAATAGATTTGGTGTGAATAATAACTAGATCTTCGTAAATATTGACTTTAATATATTCTGCATATTAAAGTAAAATATGACTATCATGACATTTATCTGAAGTCCCTGACGTTTTTTTATGTACTCCGCCCATGGGAGTCCTGAAAGATATCAAAACATAAACTGAAAATGTTTTGCTCACGAATACCCAAAAGATACTTACCTTTAATAAAGGGAAAGTAAAGGTAAAAGCTCAAAGCATGAAAATCTTCAGTTTTCTCAAAACTAAAATTCGAAAAAAAACTCCCTGTAAGGTTGAGGATGAGTACAAAAAGATTCTCCTAAACCTGGCCATATTTTGTATATATAATAAATTTGTCTCCATGTTACTTTTTCCTGTATGAAGGACGATGGTTTACTAGAATATCATTAATCGGATAAAAAAAGGGAGATTAGCTTCTTAAAATGCAAAAAAAAATTATATAATTTAAACCTTATCATTTCACAAGACATGATAAAAGTAAAAGTAAAAGTTCCCAAATGATTTATTTCGGAAACCAATCAATTTTTCTATATTTTGAAGAAAAAATAATCATTAACACATAATATTGGTAACAAAAGTTAGATTTTATTCCAATTGTCTCCCCTTTTTTCCTTCTTTCTTTCACTTTTCGTTTCCTTCTTTTCTTTTTTCCATTTTCTTCTTTTTTTGCCTCAGACAGTGTGCCCCCCTTTGGAGGTAAAAGGGGGGATCACGTGCCCCTTGTGCCTCCCCTAGCTATTGGCCTTTTTATCTCTTCTTTTAACAGATTAATTTATCATTCCATTTTTTTGTCTCTGCAGGAGATGAGAAGAGAAGAAAGAATATTTGTTTTACCTCCTTAATTGTGAAGACCCTCTCCCCCTGGGTTGCAAATAATTAATTTATACACCCTTGTGTTAAGAAGGGATATAAATTGCCAGAGTAGAATAATGTAATTTACTCAGGGGCGTATTCAGGAATTTGTCAATGGGGGGGGGCTTAGATTTTTATCTTTCCAGGGGGGGGGAGCTCTGCATCCGTTGGGGTTTGAAAACCCCCTGAATTCAATAGATTTTATTGGTCCAGGGGGGACTTAGCACCCATAGCCTCCCCCCTGAATTTACTCTTCCACTAAAATTTCCAAGGGGTGGGTGGAATAGTTCAAAAAGATATTAAAATGTATAATGCGTAGAAGTGAAAATTAATGCATAACTTTCCCCAATGTTTGCGTGAGTGAGTCGAGTGAGAAGTTGTTTTTTTATTAAACAATATATACAATATATACTCATTACTCATTTAAAAAATTAAATTCATTAAATCATCAAACTGTAATTTTTGAGTCGTCTTCTACACGATCTATACCGCTGTGTGAAGTGTACACTCTAGTTCCATGAAGAGCAAGATTTCGGCAGTCCGGCACATTATTCACTAACCAAACCAATACTTAAACAAAGAGAAAAATTAAATTATTCTTCTATACAAGAATGCACGAATTCTACATCTAAAGCTGTAAATGTAATTTCTAGCATTAAATATTTCAATTAAGTGTGAGAACTTGCATAATGCCTCAAAGTACAGAACGATTTTTTTTTATAAATGGACCCGGCCCGAGAAATAGTTCTGAAAGGATTGAAGAAGGATTAGTCTTAGTTTTTCTGTGTAAGAAGCCGGAAAATGTTATTTGGGTTGGGTTTTCAATTCTTGGGGGAACGAACTTGCTATTTTTCAAAATATTTTTTTTTCAAATTTTCAATTTTTTATAGAAATGTTCCCTCATGAACAGAACTATTTTTATTTTTTTTCATACAATGCATTGTTTTAGAGATAGGGACAGCGGTCGATATCGACCGCTTCGTCAACACGGGATTTTAAAATGGCCAAAATCGACCGCTCCGGAACAAAGCAAAGATTGTGATTTTTTCTATTTTAAGTAAATATATCTACAGTTAAACATTGAAAACAGCTTGTTTGTAGTTTGTAGTTCAAATATCTTGACACACTGAGGGCAAAAGAGGGAGGGGAGCAATTACCCCCTCCCCGTCTCCCTTTTATAACTTTACTCATCCCCCCCTCCACCTTCATAACATTACTCAGCAGTCAGCCCTGGTTAAGTCAAATCTTGGGGGGGTTTTCAGACCCCAAAGGGTTCTGAGCCCAATCCCCCTTGAAAAAAAGTTTTAAGTCCCCTCTGGACAAAATCCTGTATACGCCCCTGTTATCTTCTAGAACTAGTTTTCATAAAATTTATACTAAGTATTATATATACCGTTCAGAAATTATTCATTTTCTCCCGTACATTCACATAAATCATGTTTCCTTCCCATCCCGTCCCTCCCTTCCCATCCCTTCCTTCCCATCCCATCACTGCCTTCCCATAAATAATAGTATTGAGTTATTTACGACCCAACTTTAATGATGTGGAACACTGTGTAGTTTTTTTAGTTGAAAGTTTAAAGAATCCAATTAAAGTTTAATGAATTGTTCAGATGTAAAATGTGATGGAAGAATCCTACCACGTCTGCCAGATCTGCTCCGACCCGTTCCACACCAAGGCTGGGTTGGAGCTCCATCTTCTCCAGCACACTTCCACACAGTTCTCACACAAATGCTCTATGTGCGAGAAGGTTCTGCGGGATGAACACACACTAAAATGTCACGTGAAGACGGTTCATGGCGAGAAAATATTTTCCTGCGATGTTTGCGGGAAACGATTTCCGCACCGGGGAGTTCTCAACGCACACAGAAAGACCCACAACAGGCCTCTGTTTACTTGCGAGGTTTGCAACGAAATCTTTAAGGATTCAAGTTATTTCAAGAAACATGTTAAATCTCACTCAGGATCTAGGCCCCATGTCTGTAAAGTGTGCGGGAAAAGCTATCTCCAAAACTCTCATCTAAAAGTTCACATGTCCCTTCATGCCAAAGAGAAACCCTTTGAATGTAATATTTGTCAGAAATCCTTCAGGTTGGCTCGACCCTTTAAAGAGCATTTAAATATGCACAGAAAAGTGAAAAACTTTAAGTGCACAGTTTGTGAATATTCTAGTTGTTTCCATAAAAATCTCGAAGCTCATATGAAGAATCATTTAAAGAACGAAATCTCTAATCGGAAAGGAATGAAGAAAAGTATTGAAGTACCCAGTAAACACGTGGAAAGTAAAAAATCAAGCTTACTGAACGGATCACAAGGTTTGAATGAATCATTAGATTCAAATTTTTTCGTCGAAAATATACCTTCGAGTGTCCCTGGTTCCAGGTTCAAAATTAAAGCTGTTTCATCAAGATCTGATGGTGGCGAGGAACCTACTCTGGATCCTAAATCTAGTCCAGGTTTGGAGCTAGGAGCCCAGGCCGTGAAAACAGGGATTAGTCTCGGGTTGGAGGAACAATCTCCCGTTTTTCTTTTCGTCAATGTTCCGGACGGAGACAATTCTCTCCGGGAGCAAATATTCTCCATCTCCGACATAGATTCCTTAGAGATGGCTCAGGAGCTCTCAATATCAACCCAACCACAAGATTATTCAAATAAATTTCCTTGTGACGAATATCGACCTCTTGACCTTACAGTACTACCACCAGCTAGATCTAATCCTAATAAACTCACGCTTCAACTGAAAAATGAGGATACCTTTTTCAATCAGAACTCCGGAGAAGATTCTCCTGGTTTCGTGGAAGATCCAGGATTTTCAACCCGGACAGAGGAACACTTCCCAGTATTTTCTCTGCGAGGAGGCGAACCACTTGAATTTGAACCTAGGTCCGGAGAAAATTCTCCTGGACTGAACGGAAGATATTTGGACTTCAGCGTGGATAATTCCGGTAGGAGGAGATCAGTATTCCTAGCAGAGCAGTTGGAATACGAACATCAAGGAGAGATGAGGGTTGTGGATCCAGCAGAGGTTACTGGGTAGTAGAATATTCAAGTAGTTTCGTTTTAAGTAAGGGTTGGTTGGGGTTGAAGGGGGGGGGGAGTCATAGGTTTGGTATATTTTGAGGATTTTATTAGTCGAATGTTTAAATTTGGTGGGTGCGAATGGGTTAGAGGGGGAAATATATCCAAGTGAGGCCAAAGGATTGTTAGTTCAAGTCCCAATTTTTATTCCCCTCCAAGTTTATGAATCTTTTTCCTAAGAGTTTCTCTAGAATTTAAAGGGATGGCCCACGATTTTTTCTAGGGGGGGGGGTGGCCCTGTTGAAAATTTTCTGTGAAGAAAATATCTAAAATTGGAAGAGTATACTCTCCGAGTAGTCTCCTAAATAATATTTTGGAACCGCAGAGAAGGTTAAAAGATAATGTTAGTACTATATTTTTCCACCGTGTTAGTACTATATTTTCCCACCGTGTTGTTCCATTTATTCCCACCGTGTTAGTACTATATTTTCCCACCGTGTCAGTTCCATTTATTCCCACCGTGTTAGTACTTTATTCTTCCACCGTGTTAGTTCCATTTATTCCCACCGTGTTAGTACTATATTTTTCCACCGTGTTAGTTCCATTTATTCCCACCTTGCTTCTCATGTCTTTCATCCTTATGTAATCTGTTTATTTTCCTTTAAATCTGGCTAAGCTTGTCAACTAAATTCAACTTTTCAGAGGCCGAATTTTAAGAATTTAAACCGCGTCGCTGAACCACCGAAAACCGGTTTTGAAAATTTGAATCTATTCCATTGATCACTTGGAGTTAGGTCTCAGCATGAAGTTACGAGAGAATTTTATAATCATATTCCAGAAAAAATAAAAAAATCCATCAAAATAAGTACGCTATGTTAAAATAATAGATATTGTATTAGTAAATAATGAATACCAATCAAATATGTACTGTCAATGGTTGTGAATGATATTTTATTAAAATCTATTGTTATTTGTTGTTTAATATTGTTTTTTTTGTTCATCTTTATAATAATCTAGTCTTAGATAACTTATTATTATGTATTTCATGTAAAATTTATCTTTTTTTCAGAATCAAAAAGAAACTTGGTTTAAATGGTGGACAATACACAGGTCAGTAGAATTTTATCTCTTTAATTAAAATGTGTTATATTCACTGGGGATATTGGATATACTAAGTAGGGTTCCGACCCTATTCTTGTAAATACATTCACAAGGATTGTCTTCGCATCCAGGGCGTATATTTTCTTTAAAATATATTTTTTCCTCCAGAAGGGATGTATTTTTGTGCGGAGCGGAATTTTCGTTATTTCGAGTATTTTTCGCCTGATGGAAGAAAAAAATGAAATTAATGGGAAAAGGATTAAAATTTTGGGAAAAAAGGATGCAAAAAATTGTCTTACATAAGATGTTAAACTTTTCATTTTACCCGAGGGAGATGCATAATTTTATAAAATATATTTTCAAGGGTCCTTGTTTAGTGTTTATATTCTAGGGGTCCCTATTGCTCCGGAAGCAGTTAGCAGAGCTGAACAAGAATCCTGTAGAAGGATTCTCAGCTGGTCTTATAGATGATGATGATATCTTCAGATGGGAGGTGAGTTAATAATACCTACCTAGATGGGAGGTTAGTTGTTAATACCTACCTAGATGGGAGGTTTGTCATTAATACCTATCTAGATGGAAGGTTAGTTATTAATACCTCACTTGATGGGAGGTGAGTTAATAATTCCTCATTAGATTCGGAGGTTACTCATTAAAATCTCCCCAGATGGGAGGTTAGTTAATAATATCTACCTAGATGAGAGGTTATTTATTAATGACTACCTAGATGGGAGGTTAGTTATTAATACCTACCTAGATGGGAGGTTAGTTATGAATATCTACATAAATGGGAGGTTAGTTATTAATACCTACCTAAATGGGAGGTCAGTTATTAATACTTACCTAGATGGGAGGTTAGTTATTAATACCTACCTAGATGGGAGGTTAGTTATTAATACTTACCTAGATGGGAGGTTAGTTATTAATACTTACCTAGTTGGGAGGTTAGTTATTAATACCTACCTAGATGGGAGGTTAGTTATTAATACTTACCTAGATGGGAGGTAAGTCATTAATATCTCCCTTGCTTGGAGGTTATCCGGGTTCTTTATCTAGATAAGATAAGACGTTTCTCTCCGTTTCTCTCTCACCACCTTTAGACTCTGTACCAACAGGATACGTTTCGGAACCCAGCTTTGCCTGGAAGCTAAACTTACTTAAAATATTCAATGCACTGCAACTTAGAATTTTAAACCAAGCTAAGAGCATTCACCAGAGTTATGATCGGACATCCAAACAAACAGAGATTGCAACTTAATACATATATATATTTTTTTCTCTTTAGGTTATGATAATAGGTCCTCCAGATACACTGTACGAGGGAGGATTCTTTAAATGTCACCTTCTGTTCCCTAAGGAGTATCCTCTAAAACCTCCAGAGTTAAAAATATTTAATAGGGTCACTTTGAAATTACGTCGACAGTCCATTTAGTGATGAATAAATTGATTAAATAAACCTATTGTTTAGGAGATGATAGATACGGATATGAGAAGGCTAGTGAAAGATGGCTTCCAATACACACAGTGGAAACTATCCTCATCTCAGTGATTTCAATGCTAGCGGATCCTAACGACGAGAGTCCAGCAAACGTGGACGCGGCCAAGGAGTGGAGAGAAGCGTATCCAGAGTTTAAGTATAAATACATTTTTTACATACTTAAAATAAATCTACGAAACTTTTCCTTTTTTAACAGGTTTCCCCTTTTCATTGATAAAAATCATTATTTTTTCTTTTATGTGTTTAACTTTATCACACGAATATTATCTTTGCATGTTAAAAATGGAAATTTAAAATTGAGGATAGTAGATCCATGAGTGTATATTTTCTCGAAAAATCTTTTCCCCCCCCTTTTTTTGAAAATCATTTTTTCACGAGTAGTTTTATGTGCTTGCGCGGAGGGCAAAAATTTTTGGGGGGTTATATTCGTTGAAGTGGGAAAAAGTAATTGTTGAGATAAAACAAAAAAATTATTTTTTTGGTAAAAGTATCAAAAAATATGAAAATATTTGCCTTTTGATATTTTTTCCCCAAATCAGGGGGGGGGGGAAATTCTGGAAAATATACACCCATGAATAGAGCTTTAATTCAAAGGGATGGATAACGCCAATATTAAAAATTGTATGTTAATATTTCATCTAGTTTCGGTTAAAAAAATTTACTTTGAAGGAATTAAAATTAAGCATGGAAGAAAACTTTTTTGATGACAATTTTTTTTTCTACGTTATGTTTTAAAAGATGAGTAAATGAATTAACTCAAGGTTTCATCTTGGAATTTTGTGGCGGGTGTAGTGCATTCCTTTTGTGGCAGATTTTCGTTTTGTGGCATTTTTAAAAATTTTGTTAACAAAACTAGAAGTTGAATTTAATTTTTTGCTACATTAATATGTTATTGTTGGTTGCTTTATCGCCAAATTTTGCATTTTTCGCGAAAATGAAGTAAGCAAAAAATGCAAAGTTACAGTTGTTTTTTTAAATCTAAGGTCTATTTTACAGGCTTTTAAACTTCCTACTTTTCCCTTCCCTCCCCCCTTTCCACCTTCCGTCTTTCCCCTTTTCCCTTCCCTCTTTCTTTTTCTTCATTTTTTTCCCAAACCCAATGAAAGCTCATAATTTTTTGGAATTTTCTACTCAGAGAGCTCAGAGCTCAGCATTAGAAGTTTTATTATACAGTGGTAGGCGATAATAACAATATAATGAAGACTACTTTTAATCTTAGTTTTGATAGTTAACAAGCTTCTTTCGAATTACAAGTTTACAAGTAATCAAAGAGAAGTTTTTTAGGTGATAGCTTCTCTTGATCTCCATAATTATGTGTATCCATGCTGTTTTATAGCTTGATTTAAATCAAAATTGAAATCGAAAGTCGTTTTCTTAGTATTGCTGTAATCGCCTACCACCGTATCGTAATTAATAATTTCTTTTTCGTTTTTTTTTCGCAAACTTTAGTTTGTTGCAGATTTTTGAGCTTAGCTATAATTTGTGGCAAATTTTATGCATTTAGATACTATTTGTGGCTTCTGAGCTTTAATGGCATGTGTGTCAGATTTTTCTTGCCAAGACATAATTTGTGGCATTTTTTTATAGAAATTTATGTGTTACATATTTTTTGCTTTCGGTTATTGTTGGTTGCATAATTTCTGCATTTTTGGAAGATTTGAACTATTTTTTTGTGTGGCATTTTCTTCCAAATTAAAATTTGTGTGTGACATATTTGGCATACAATGTGCACTCTAATTGATCCTAGATAATACCCTGAATTAACTGAAAATGTTTTTAGGAAGAAGGTTGCCCGTTGTGTGAGAAAATCTCAAGAAGAGCTGTGATCTAACACCAACCCTGAGATCAGAGCTGTGATCTAACACCAATCCTGAGATCAAATTAAACCCTGAACATGAACATCTCTGGTTCTTTCCTTAACCTGATCAGAATGGGGTGTTAAACATGTAAATCGTTATTTTTCCTGAAATTGTCTAATTTTTTTCCATTATTTTCATCAGCATTAAACTTCAAAACACCCCTCGATCTCTAAATACATAATACATTCATTAGAAAATCAAGATTATGAGAATACCTTAAGGATATTTGTGCACACTGAACCTAGTTTACCAAACATCTCTTGGCGTAAACGGTTCTCTTGTCGAACATCAGCCCTAGGTCTATTCACCTTAGGCGTCTATTCATTTTGATATTTCCATTTCCCAAGCAATATTTTTATTTCAGACTTGTTATTTCCCAATATCTGCATCGTGTATTTAGGCTGCTATAAATAAAAATCAAATCCCCGAATTATCTCAACAAATTAGATTTAAATTAAATGTTCTCGTATTTGACCATCATGAACCGTGTAGAGCAGATCCATCCCTCCCTCTCCTACCTTGGTTCAACCCAAACCTACATTTTGCTCCAGCAGTTCAATTAACTGATGCTTACCATATATTTTGCTTGTTTTAACGGTTTAGAACCCGGAATATCTTGTGAATTGTACCGTTCTCATGGTTAGTTAAATATACGTGATAATTATCTTTGTTTTCCCCGCCAATATTACTGGATGAATTTCAGAAGAAAATGTTAGAATATGAGAACGAGATGTTCCTCTCTGCTCTACAGGAGGATGGATTAACTATAGTAGCGAAGGGATTAAGGCTGGAGAATGTATTTTTAAATCTTCTCAAGGTGTTGTTTTTGTGTCTTCAGCTTTTTTTCTACAAATAATCTCTTAAAAGATTTTGGTGTTAAATAGTATAAAATATGTTTTGACCGATAATTCTGCGGAGAAATATTAAGGAATTAAATCTTTGCCACAAACTCTGATTTTCTAAACACTATATCGTTGGAACCAAATGTTGCAGACCTTAGATATTTCAAACTATGAATTCTGTTAGATCAAATAATCTGAGTTTGAAATATCAAAGTTTTACAACATCGAGTTCTAAAGATATTGTGGTTTAAATATTTGATTTTGTTCCACAGACTCAATTCCTTTGACTGAAGTCTGAAATTTTCTATGTTAATTGAATCCTTGAAGATATCGTCGTTTTTCTAGGTTTAAAATTGTATAGTTATGATAATTCCTACATTGTGTTCCTCCAGTTGAAATGCAGACAACAGAATTAAAATTATAATAATAAACCACGTTATCTAATTCATAATTGATCAGATAAAATCAAACGTACATCTCTAAAAGTGAAGGGTCATTTTGAAATTAATTTTTCTATAACATGAAAGAAAGAGTGGGTAAAAGGAGTCCGGTGTAGGCATCTCTTCCCCATCTACAATTATCCCCCCCCCCCCACACATTATTCCGTATTGTTCCACATTAAAAGCACTGTTAAAACAATATAAAATATTAAATTGCATCAATAAAAGCAGTTCATTGGATAAAGTATTATAATGGGGTAAACGCAGAAAAATTTAAAAAGAATAGAGCTTTGTTAACTCTAAAAAACGTACCACATATGGTTAAAAATGTATATGCTTTTATTTTATTTATATTTAGTTTGTGAGTAACTGGAAAATTTTAAGGTTCATAGTTTAAATATTTATAGAAAAGGAGAATTTACTAGTAAAACACTTGTGAAACTGTACTGCAGAGCAGATCAGTGTACTGGTAGGACAGTGTACTATTATAACGCAAGATAAACTGTACTGTAGAGTTTATTAGTACACTGGTAGGACAGTGTACTATTATAACGCAAGATAAATTGTACTGTAGAGTTTATTAGGACACTGGTAGGACAGTGCACTATTAGAACATTAGATAAACTGTACTATATAGAGTATATTATTACACTGGTAGGACAGTGCCCTATTAGAACATTAGATAAACTGTATAGAGTATATTATTACACTGGTTGGACATTATACTATTAGAGCATTAGATTAACTGTACTACATAGAGTGTACTGGTACACTGGTAGGACATTATACTATTAGAACATTAGATAAACTGTACTACATAGAGTGTATTGGTACACTGGTAAGACATTATACTATTAGAACATAAGATAAGCTGTACTAGAGAGTTCATTAGTACACTGGTAGGACAGTACTATTAAAACATTAGATAGTACTACATAGAGTATATTATTAGACTGGTAGGACAATGTACTAATAGAACACTAGATATACTACTACAGAGTATATCAGTACACTGGTAGGAAAGTGTGCTAAAATAACGTTTTAGATTAGCGCTTTTCAATGAAAATTGTTTTTGCCCAAAACCTTTAGGCTACGCCCTCGTGGTTATCATTGAATCCCTCGGGGTTTAAATTTCCATGGTTAAAATTTTTAAGTGGAACTGATAGATTTCAGCAGTGTTTTAAAAATATTGCTTAATGCACTATTTACATTTTTCTTTTCTTTATTTATTTGCATTATTTAGACACTTAAAATTATTAAATGATCAGCATTCTTGTTTTTAATCGAAACATTTTATATTTTATATTTTTAGGTGTTAATTCTGCACTTCTTTCTCAAAAATAAGTGCTATTCCTTCAAGTTATATAATATTTAAAAAAGCTATGTAGAATTTTGTTTAAACATCTGAAAATAGAGATTCCCAGGAACTAAAAAGCTAATTTAATAGCTAGTTGGTGTTCAAAATTAATATTATTATTATTAATGATAGGTTTACGCTGATCCTGGGAACCTGGTTCTAATCCTGGGATGTTCTGATCAAGAGGAGGAATATTTCAGGTTTAGAAAACTTAATTAGGAGATGGGTATTGGGTCTGCTTGACTTAATGAATCCCAGAATAGTTCAAAACAAGAAACTAGTACTGAACGTTATTTTGGTTTAATCCAGCTAAATATGAGATCTCAACTTGTAATTGATTTTGGGGGGAAATTGGGTCAGGTCATCTGAACTTTCAATTTTTCTTTCAAAAAGCTGTGCTAAGTAGACGACAACATGTTAATTTATCTTTATCTATAATTGAACTAAAATCTTTTTTTCAATTTTGACTCTATTTCTGTCAAATCATTACAACCTGGGACAAACCTTACCCCGCCTACTACATGTATAAATTTAGAAACACTTGGTCAAATATCAATAATATATCCTTTTATTCCCAGACTGCAGATATCTCAATGTTATATTATTTTTTAGACTTAGACTGGAGAAGGACGGCTGTACTAACCTTCCAAAAAAGGAATAATTAATGTATTCAATGAAGAGATTTAAGAGACTTGTTTTAGGATTTTTCTTAACCAGGTCAAGAAAATAAAAAAATTTTTTTTTCTTGAAATCAATGTTCAGAATCCGGATCAAGATACTAATATTGAAAACATATTATGAGCCAACAATGTCCTAGATGCCCTTAACTTTTTACGGTTTAAAATGATTGTTATATAACGGTCTTCATATTAAAAATATCTTTTTCAGCTAAATATTATTTTTGTAATTGAATCCATATCTGAATCAAAAGTAATGGATCCTCTGCATTATGGGAAAAATTTTAATGGAAGAAATGGACTGGGGGCATATATTTTATTTAAATCCTGGTAACTGAAATATGTTGGTTAGATTAGTACTGATGTTTCAACAGGAGACAGAGAAACAGTTTACAAGGAGGGAGGCATTCTTTATATTACAACCAGGAAGCCTTTAATATAAGAGAAATATTTAATACAAGAAATAGATAACTGTACTTTTCACTCATAATGTCAATTTCTCTCTTTGTTTTTAGAATTTGAGATACTTCAAGAGAAATAATAATTCTTTGCTCCACAGTCCACATGCCTTCTTCAGCATATCAGTGGCAAAATAAACATAAGAACTCAATTATTCATCAACTTTCACCTTGCTGTACTGCCAATACGGAGAGAAATTGCTTAAGCTTTATTTAGACACTGACAAAAATGCAGTTTGTTACTTTTTCACTGAATTATTTGCGAAGTCAAGTTTAGCTAAAGAAATAGTATATACTCTGTTGGTTTTGTATACATGATGAGAAACTCGCGGATTGATGAATATGTTTGCAGATATCCTTAAAATCTCATGGAAATAAGGTTATTTTAAACCTTTTTTTAAACTTGTTATTGATTGATTATTGATATGAACTTTAGAATAAAGGTTAATGGTGTAGAATTCTTGTAGTAGATCTTCTGATATAGGCTGTAGAATAAAAGGTTAATGGTGTAGAATTCTTGTAGTAGATCTTCTGATATAAGCTGTAGAATAAAGGTTAATGGTGTAGAATTCTTGTAGTAGATCTACTACTGGAAAGGATTCCTGTTAATAATGTTCTCAGCGTCTCCTGTATCCTTCTCAGCAGGGTTCTGCCAGGTTTGAATTATATTTATACAATATGTTCTCAGAGTCTCCTGTATCCTTCTTATTGTATAATTGTTGTAAAATCCTCCTGAATTGTTCATTCTGGAGGGATGATTTTGAGAATCGGGTTCATTCAAAATTATTCAATAACAACGATGAAAAAAGGGGATGGTGGAGATATCCTATTTGATGTAGGGCCTTCATTTTTAGTTCAAATCATCCAATTTTTTTGCTGCACGCCTTATTAATAATTTATTTTCCTGAAACAAAAAATATTTAACACTTATGACCTCTAATGACCTGAAATGACTTCGACAATTAGAAATGGTTTCAAATATGGCTTCATGCATATCAAACGAAAGCTAGGAACCTAGGAAATACTGTAGTTTGGCCTTCTAATGACCTCTAACGACCTATAACGACCTCTAATGACCTTCAAATTGAAAATGTTATAACTATGGCTTTATGTATATCGAATGAAAGCTAGGAACCCAAATAATACAGTAAAAGCAACGAATTCACTGTTTGACCTTCTAATGACCTCTAATGACCTTCAAATTGAAAATGTTATAACTATGGCGTTATGCATGTCAAACGAAAGCTAGGAACCCAAATAATACAGAAATAGCAACGAATTCAGTGTTTAACCTTCTAATGATCTTGTAACGACCTAAGACGACCTCCAATGATCCTCAAGTTGAAAATGTGCTTTATCAAATCAAATATTTATTGCACGAAGATTAGAATTTATACAATATAAATATCACATAGAAAAGTATAATCCTCGTGAGGGAAAATTAATCTGGGAAATTCAGTACTTAACCTTCTAACTACCTCTAACAAACTCTAATGACTTTCAAATTTAAATTTTTATTTAAAGTTGACATGCATGGAATGAAAGCTAGGAACCCAAATAATACAGTAAAAGCAACAAATTCAATGTTTGACGTTATAATGACCTCTAAAGACCTATGACGACCACTGATGACCTCCAAATTGAAAATATTTTAACTATGGCTTTATGCATATCAAACAAAAGCTAGGAACCCAGCCAAGAAATCGGAAATTCTTTTAATATTTTTGATGTTTCTTCTTCTAAAGTTTTTTGGTTTTCATAGTAAGGTTAAAACATTTTCTTTTTGGAGGTCAGTAGAGGTCGTCAAAGGTCGTTAGAGGTGAATGGAAGATCAAACAATGAATTCGTTACTATTTCTGAATTATTTGTGTTCCTAGCTTTTGTTTAACATGCATCTATCCATAATTATGACATTTTAATTTGAAGGTTATAAGAGGTCATTAGAGGTCATTAGAGGTTATTAGAAGGTCAAACAATCAAACAATGAATTTGTTGGTGGTTACTGTATCATTTTGGTTCCTAGCTTATGTTTGATATGCATAAGGCACAGTTATAACATTTTAATTTGAAGGTCATATTATAGGTCGTTATATGTAGTTAGAGGTCATTAGAAGGTCAAACACTGAATTCGTTGCTACTACTGTATTGATTGGGTCCCTAGCTTTCGTTTGATATGCATGAAGCCATAATTGAAACACTTTCTAATTTTCAAGGTCATTAAAGATCATTAGAGGTTATTAGAGGGCATTAGAGTCAAATTTTTTATTTTAGGGAAATAGATCACTAATTAGGCGTTCAGCCAAAAAAAAATGGATGATTTGAACCGAAAATGAAGGCAGTGCCCCCCCCCCCCATACATCAAATAGGACATCTCCACCATACCCTTTAAAGTAAACTAATTAGTTGTGTAAAAACAGGTTGATAAAAAAAATTACTCTTATCGTTGAAAATGAGTAAGCTTATTCAGTTATCCGTTTCTGTAATATTTTGTTGTTTACAAAAAGGTTTTCTGTTGATATCCTGGAATTGTTATTAAAACGATGTCATTGGAAGAATCTGCGAACAAATATGTACAATATGGACAATATGTACAATATGTACAATATGTACAATATTTACAATATGGACAATCCAGGAGGATTTTCTAGACTGAATTTGCCCTCATGCTGAAGAACTATTCACTGTAAAAAGGTCTCAAATAAATTCTGAAAAATGTCTCTACATTACTGCACTTTTAGCTCAACTACCATGTATAGCCGGTCTCTCCTTTTTATCCAGTATTTGACAGCAAATGTTTATCGAAAATTAAAGGATGGAATAACACATTTGCGCCAGTATTCCCTGCACTGAGGATGTTTTTTTTTCTGAAAAGCAGATAAGAGGGTGTTTGCTAAAAATATAAAAGGGGGAATAGGATGAACCAAAGAATGTAACAAAAGTGGTAATCAGTTGCAGTTTTGTTTATATTCCTCCCACTCCCAGACACTGCAGTCTGCAGTACACTTATTTTGTAAACTAAGATACGCGTATGAAACCAGTTCCTCAATTACTGACACTTGACTGACTTCCTCTGTGTAAAACGTGGATAGATTCATTTATTATATAATTATCTTTCTTCCCCCCATCCATCCTTTTCTCCGCGAACAAACCTAATTTTTACCAATTCAGTCGAAGACATAATTCCCATAAAAAAAACTAATAAAATGATAATAATATTGCCAATAATATTAATAGTTATGATAATTTTACTATTCCAAGGTTGAGAGGGTCATGAAGAATCTTTTTATTAAAAATCTGCATTTATGGCCAAGGTTAGTATTATTGTATTAACCAATTATTAATTTATCAATCATTTATTAATTCGTTAAAATAAATCAATTTATCCATTTATAGATGAACCTTTACTTAACTTATCATTTACAAGAGTCATTCAATAAATTGATGGATCAGTCAGTCTCAGTAACCTATCCATTAACAATTCAATATCAATCATAAAATATTTAATTATCAATCTGTTTACCATCATTATCAATTATCAATCTGTTTACCATCATTATCAATTATCAATTAATCGATCAATAAATCAAGCAATCAAGAAATGTATCATCAATCAATCAATCCATCAATTCATAATTAATCAATTAATGTAAAAATGTTGATTCAGGTTCCATAAAACTGTATCCAATAGTCTCTCCATGTGCCAGCCTGAGGTTGTAGAACTACATCTAGAGATGACGGATAAGATGAAGGTGGGAATGAATTACTAAATAAATAAAATTTCTTAAACCTGTTGGAAATTGTCGGTTACAAAATATTTTAGTTATAAGTTACAAAAAATCCGCCAATCATTTAAAACGAGACTTCCAACTGGATCTATTTTTTACCTTTTTGGATAATTTTCCCCGAAGAAATCATTTTCTTTAAAAATATATTTTAGGAATAATGATTTTTTTAAGAAGTGGGGGAGGGGGGCCCTTCAAGAAAATATTTACCCCTTGAACTTAAATCTGACCTAGAATGTTCTAGTTGATCCAGACAGCCGTTCTAGACCTGATCAGCTTCACTGTGAAGGAGATCAAGAGATTAAACCCTCATCTATCCACGGAACAGCTCACCGTAGAGAATACTATCTCGAAATCTTTTCATAAAATCCTGCAGCAAGAGTTAAACCCTATTTGGCATCAGGTTAGTTAGTTAGTCTGTTCTTTGTATTATCAAATAAACACTAAACAGTTATGTCAAAAAGTTCACATATAAGCACTAATTTTTTATTTAAGTTTACAAATGAAAAATTGATCATTAGATCATCTTGAAGTACATTTACAATAAAAACTTCTTACATTTTTCTAAAAGGTCGTTGGCATGAATGTGATGATAGTTAAAAATGATTATGAAGGAGATGGGAGAATATGTATAAGACTAACGAAAAATGTGAAAAATAGATAAGAAATGTAAATGAAAGGGAAAGTGGAAAAAAGATAAATGAATGAATGCATTGGAATAAGAAAAGAGAATCTTCGGGAGGATACAAATAAGAAAATAAAAAGAAAGAAGAGGATGAAGAAAGAGAATTGGAGGTTTTGAATAAGAGAAAAGAATAAAAGGGTAGAAATGAGAAAATTAAATGAAAATATAGGATAGGAGTTAAAAAAATAACGGAAGGGTAGGAATAAGAAAAGAAAATGAACGTGTATGAATAGGAAAAGGAAATGGTAGGATAGGAAGAAGAAATATTATGGAAGGTTAGGCAGAAGAAAGAGTATGGAAGGTTAGGAATAGGAAAAGAGATTTGAAGGAAAGGAATAGGAAAAGAGAATGGAAGGTAAGGAATAGGAAAAGAGAATGATTAGCATGGGAATAAGAAAAGAGAATGGAAGGACAAGAATAAGAAATGAGAATGGAAGTATGAGAATTTAAGAAAAGAGAATGGAAGTTAAGGAATGAGAAAATGGAATGGAAGTATGGGAATTAGAAAAGTGAATGAAATAAGAAAAAAATGCTTAAGAACTAAAGCAAAAATATGTTAAGAATGAAAATAAGAACTAGAAGGATAGGAACTACATACGACACAAGTATGGAAGGGTTGAACAATGAATAGGAAAAATACAGGGTAGCGAGGTAGCAAAGTAAAAACTAGAAGGATAGGAACTACATACGACACAAGTATGGAAGGGTTGAACAATGAATAGGAAAGATACAGGGTAGCGAGGTAGCAAAATAAAACTAGAAGGATAGGAACGACATACGACAAGAGCATGGAAGGGTTGAACAATGAATAGGAAAGATACAGGGTAGCGAGGTAGCAAAATAAAAACTAAAAGGATAGGAGCTACATACGTCACAAGCATGGAAGGGTTGAACAATAAATAGGAAAGATGCAGGGTAGCGAGGTAGCAAAGTAAAAACTAGAAGGATAGGAACTACATACGTCACAAGCATGGAAGGGTTGAACAATGAATAGGAAAGATACAGGGTGGCAAGGTAGCAAAATAAAACTAGAAGGATAGGAACTACATACGACAAGAGCATGGAAGGCTTGAACAATGAATAGGAAAGATGCCGGGTAGCGAGGTAGCAAAATAAAAGAGTATCCAAGGATATTTCTCAGATTAAAAAACATAATTCATGATATTTGTTCTTACTCATCTTGTTAACCCGTAGTTGTCTGGGAAGACGAAACAGCTGATCTCTGATCTGAAAACTATGCGGAGTCTTATGGTTTATCTAACACAGTATGATTGCATCACATTCTACAGCCTGGTAAAGCAGTTTTTCAAAATTGAAAAAAATAAGATCTTTTATTTTTTTCCTTTCACAAGAAAAGTGGAACATGAAATGGCGTGTTTTGATTTTAAACTTATCCAAATAGTTTTATATCTTTTGCAAAACTTTGCGAAAATAAACTTTAAAAAGATCATCTTGAAGTCCATTTTTGTTAAGATTGCTGCACAAAGAACTGCTGAGAGTGCTTTGAAGAGTAGCAGTGGTTGGGTTACTCTGGATTCTGCTGAATCTCTCTTCCTCACATCAAAGGATCGAGTGTTCTCCGCCCTTGAGGAAACTACTGCTAAGAAGTCTAAACCTGAGAAAGCTCATGGTATAGAGGAGAATCCTAAGTGGAATATTATCTCAGAAATATTGGGAGAAATCAGAGATGAAATGAAGGCAAGTTGAAATTTTAGAGAACACACAAAAATTTAAAAAATACATTTGTGATAAACAAAAGAATAGAAAATTAAACTTAATTCCCAAATGATAACACTTAAAGGGACTATGGACGTAGTTATAAGTGACCCACCAACATGTTTATTTTTGAGAGTTGCGTTCCCTATATTCACACCTTTTGTCAGGAACATGTTGTCAAATAGCTTAAACAGTGTTGAATTTTGTCAATTTCCTCCTTCTGTCTAGACTGCCTAAATCCGCAAATTACTATTTCTGAGAAACAAGCAATAAGAATATCAACTTTCTAATAGAAAAAAGATATCACATTTTCACTCGAAGGTTTCAAAGGTACTAATACCATAGTGTCAAGGGTACCGTTGTAAATCAGTCATCTCCCGCATAAGATTGAGGATTACTTGAAATTACGTCTTCAACTTTTGAGAAACCCCTGAGGTTCAGCGAGAAATGAAAACTTGACTTAATATTCTCCTATTTTACAGGAATTCGCGATTAGTGAATCTGCGGAGACAGTTCTTATCATCACTAAGGAACAATCAGCAACCTTAATAAAATATTAATTTGGATAATATCTGACTTTCTTCCTTAGTTAAAATTGTCAAGTGCTAATAAAGTAGTTAATACTTTCTTTAACTTATATTGTGCACCTGTAGACTGTACGTTGTACGTTGTACGTTGTACGTTGTACGTTGTAAAGTTTATTTACAATTTACAGCATATAAACTATGTGTCTAGAATATTTACAACGTACAATAAAAGTACACAAGTGTATGTACAGTTTACTATTTATGAATGCACATTGTCTTATGTCTTATGTGCGGCTAATAGCAGACTACTCAATGTGGAGTACAGTGATATTACTGCCATACCTCCGAATTTATTTTTTAACCCTTTCTAATTAAAAATGAACAAATATTAAAAATCAAAAATGTTGCTTTGTTGTTCCAGGACGAAAGAACATCGAACCAAGTTCGAGATTATCTTGAATTAGGTTCCAGTAAACTCCTGGCTAGGATGTATAATAAAGCTCTGGGTGAGAAGCATGGATTCCTTCCTGATGATGAGATTAAACCAAGGGAACCAAAAAATAAAGGAATTGGGAAAAGTTCTGTAAAGTCCGTCCCACCAGTCAATGTTCAAATGGAAATTAAGGTGGGAAATGATTTGATGCACCAAATATACAAGATATCATTATTAGGGTGTCTCAAAAAACATGAATTTTTCAAAATCAGCGTGTGGGCACTTTTTTCCCATTCTCCCAGGTCCCCTGAGTCAATTATAGCATTTAAAAGTTTGTGAGACATCAAAAATGAAAATTTTGAAGTTTCACCAAAATTCAATTTTCACAAATATTAGGCGAATCTTTCGTTCAGCGCACAGTCTTGATGAAATATTTGAACTTTTCATAAGAATCTGAAGTTTCACCCTTTTTCCACATCTCCGTCAGTAACCTCAGCAACCTTTAGGAGAATTCAATTCTCTGGTGTGACCAGCTTAGTGTTGACCTGGATATGACCGGTAGCTCAGGTTTAACTAACCTAAACTGTTATGGGACGTCATACTGGAGCAGCTTCTCTAGCATCTTCAGTTTCTCAGCCTCCAACATCATCATCGGCTATAGTAAGCAATGCAAGCTGCCAAGTTAGATACCAGTAGTGCTGTTGCATACTTAGAAGAAGTGCTTGGCCTAATTTTGGAAATTGATCTCTAATATGAAATGCTGATTTGAAAGCAGCTAGATCATTGTTGGTGGATTTTTGTAACCATAGATGGGGAATATTAAGGATGTATGTGAGAAGTGCTATAGCTCCATCAAATTGTCCAGTATTTGATGCTCTAGTGTTACAGCAGACAGCATTAATCTGGTTTACATTAACATAATATTCCAGCATAATAATGGTCACTTCCTGTGGAGCTCTTGACCCGGACTACTCCTAACAGAATGTCATTTGAATCTTGAATAACAGGAGATATGACACTGATATCGATCCTTTCCGCATTTACAGTGATGCAAAGGTCTTCTTCGATATCTTGCCTTATCTGGTCACCTAGATTCTTAATCTTCTTAAATCTTTTTCTATGATAGATAGATAGAGGGATATCATCTAGATCCACACTAACTTTGTTACAGATTGCTGCAATTAATGATGTTTGTGGATGGATTCCTGACCTATCACCGATAATGAGCTGATCTGACACTGCAGTCAACCAACTCATGAGCACTTAAAAAGCATTATTATTTAGTTAGAAGGTAAAGATGAACGTTGAAAGGATTAACTTCATCTTCTTCTGAGGAAAACAAGTAAACTTCTTATGACTTAGTTCCAGAACTGACAACCGAAGCAAATGAAACTTCCAGTTCATTTCTGTCTGATCTACCTAATAAATATTGAAGACAACCTTCAAAAATTATTAAATAAAATTTTAGCATCTTACAATTTATTAATTTGAGGTTTTATTTTAAGTGTTTTGATAATTGCTGAGCTCACACTTACAGTAGATGTAAGATAAAAAACACTGAAAATTACACTAAATTCTATAAACATCTAAATTCTCAGGTTTTACATGTACCTAAGTGAGTTGTCTCTAAGACTTTTTATTACTATATTTGCACTCTGGGAACCTACGAGAATGGGAAAACCTGCCCATATAAAAAGTTTTGTTTTATAAGACACCCTAATCATCATTATCAAAATTTAAGTTTTTATTTTAATACATTTTATTTTCATATCATTATCAATTTTACCGCATTTAAGCGAATGTAAAAAAAGTTCTACAATAAACTACAGACGTCATGTAAAGGAACATGTTGAGAAAATAATAAAATTCAATATGCTATGAAAACGAAACAATCGATAATCATTGATTTATTGACAAATTTCTTTTGAGAATTATGTTCATAACCATCTAATTAGATTACTGTATCATTTTTACTTTATTTTTCGTTGTCATTATTTAATAATTTAAAAAAATCTAATTCTGAAAACGTATCCACCCCTAAAGTAGGAGTTTTGAACGTCGAATTTGCGCTCAAACTCAGGATTTACAAATCTTTAAAAAGTTTAATAGGTCTCAAATGAATCCGAAAGAAGTTTTCCACAACAATGCATATTCAGTTCAACTACCTTACATAGCCGGTCACTCCCTTTGAGAAATGCTGAAAGTGAAAGTACATGCTTGTTGCTGGACATTATGGTCTATTATGTTGTCTGTACTGGGATTGTTATTATTTAGATTTAGTTTAGATTTCTATATTTTCAAGAAAAATATTAATTTTTAGGATCTGGGTGTTAAAACTGTAGTTCACGGACTAGAGTCTAGACCACACCTGGAGAACTGGAACCTACTGGAGGAAACCTCTCCAAGGTTTATCATCCTGTATGATGCCGATGTTAGTTTTGTTCGCCAGATTGAATGTTTCCAGGCAAATAATCCAAATCTCAAGATTAGGTTAGTATTTATTATTCATCTACAGGGTTACCCACAAAGGATGAGACTTCAGAGACAAGTAAACAGAATTTGTCTGATCCTTACATTCATAACTCCCTGCAACTGTGAACTTGTTTATTTCTTTGTCCAATCTGTAAACAGGCAACATAAAGACTTTACTTAACCTTGAAATCGTCATATTTTAAGAGATTTAGGTCGTCTTTATGGTCTCACCCTTTGTTAGTAACCCTGTAACAGGATGAAACTTTAAAAGGTACTGAACACGTAATTACTAGTGAATGTCCGATTTACAACGGTATCCTTGACATCTTTTTATGATCAATGATTAATCAGATATTTTAAAAGTACATTTATTGCTTCTAGATATAAATACATGATAAATAACGAGTGTATTAAAGGAGAGGAAGAGGAGCAGGTCTTCTCTGGTTCCAGGATCCGACACTACTGATTTGTCGATTTTTTAATCCTTTTTCGGGGATATCATCCTCTACAATATCTTAGTTTTTCTGTGAGCAAGTTGAAAGTTTCTGTAAAAGTGACCGCAGTGCAGTTGTCAGAATTCGACACTTTTAAAGACAGAAAAGGACGATATCTTCCTCAACTGTACTCGGATAATAGATTTAATGGGTATTGTTGTAAATCGGACTTGTCACTTCTACATGTTTGGTAACTTGAAACCAGATAAGATATTTTCTCTATTTCAGGGTTTATTTTCTCATGTACAAAGGATCTGTAGAGGAGCAGGCTTATCTCACAGTTCTCAGGTTATTCTTTTCCATTCTGTTGAAGAAATCTGCTTCGGACAGTCCGCCTGGGTTAGGTATCCTACGGCAAAGCCACTTTGTATACTATCCATAGATAGTGAATACGCTTCGGTGGCAAGAAGCGTCGACCACCTATTTCTTTGATTGATGGGCTGTCTGCTTTATAATATTAATTATTTTGTTTAATTTACGGTTTCAAAGTTTAGTTGTATTTTTCATGACACAATATAATTTATCACAACCACTCCTCAATTACTATTTATTTGTATCGTATTCGCCTTTTTGTAATTTACATGCTACCCCTGCTTGGATCTTTGAAAAAAGTTAATATGTACTCTTTAATATTCACGTCATGCCAATGTGGGCCAAAGCCACTATCCTGTCCTTTGAATACGGTAATATATGGTGTCGTCCTACTGTATTATGCGCCAATCTTTTAATCAACCATTTTGAATAAAATTATTGATTTATTTGCAGGCGTGAGAAGGAAGCTTTCGAAAAATTAATATCAGAAAAGAGTGGTATGGTGATACCTGAAGATAGAGAAGGTAAGGATAGTATGGTGATACCTGAAGATAGAGAAGGTAAGGATAGTATGGTGATATATGAAAATAGAGAAGGTAAGGATAGTATGGTGATACCTGAAGATAGAGAAGGTAATGATAGTATGGTGATACCTGAAGAGTGAGATTGTAAGTGTTTTCCTGCAACTTATGCCAATTTGAAACTGTACCTGAGCTGGGAACTATAGAATTGTCCAAACCTTAATCCCGATCGCTTAATCTGAATATCCAATGTGGACACTTTTATTTTCCTGCTTAATCCACTCTTATTTTCTCTTTTTAAATATCCACCAGATTCAGACCAAAGAAAGTTCTCTCATTTAATAGTGCGCAAATTTCCTGGCTTCTGATTGGCTGTTTGGGATTCTGCATACGCCACTCTATTGGTTTTATTTTACACGTTTCTGGATACAAACTAAAGATTAAATGAATTTTGAGTTTAATCAAAAGAGGAGATCGAGCATTGATCTCATTATTCACAATTCTAAAGTTTTCAGCTCAGACCTACTAATTGTATTCAGGGAGGAACCTTGCTTAAGTCTAGTGATACCTAAAGATAGGTTTAAAGCCATGGTTTGGAGCTACGAGTAACTAATCCTTGTTTTTGATCCAGGTCGAACTGTGGACAATGAAACCTTGAGCCGGAATAGTAAGAAAGCATCAGATATTTTGATGGAATCCCAGAACTCCCGGAGTAGGAAGGGTGGAGCCATCAACCAGATCGTATCTGCCAAGGTTATAGTGGATATGAGAGAGTTCAGGAGTGAACTACCAAGTTTGCTCCACAAGAGAGGGATTGATATAGATCCTGTTACTCTAGAGGTTGGAGATTATATTCTTACTCCGGAGATATGTGTAGAGAGAAAATCTATTAGTGATCTTATAGGTGAACTATATATTTTTCCAAAGATTTTAAGGCTATATTAAGTTTTTAAACAATTCATTCTCCCTATCCCGGTTTTTTTTTCAATTAAACTTTTTGTTCCACATAATGATTTTAGTGGTATATTCTTTAAAATAACTAAAATATTATCTTTTTAGGGGAATTGCAGGGTTTAAATTAAGAGGGTTCTTTCTTTCCTTTTATCACTTTTCATTTCATATTTTTGATTATAAATCTACATTCTAGTCAGCCTTAGAATTAAAATTCATCATCGGCTAAACAACTGATTAGTTTACTGTAGAATTTTTACTACAGAGCGTCTCATTTCATATTAGATTATCTCCAAGCTTTAATGTCAAATTAAACCCATAATACTCGAAAACCCTAGCAGTTTCCACAAGAAAATTCTTATATAAGCATATTTTATTTTTTAAATGATTCATTCTAATTAAATTTTCTGATTAGTCCCGAAAATCTTAATTTAGACCCATTGACGGTATAATTTGATGTGGGACACCCTGTACATTTTTCATCGTCTTTAATGAATAATTTTTAAAAACATATTTTCAAAATCATCCCTCAAAGATGAACTATCTATGAAGATTTTGAAGATTGAATATGCGCTCTTGCTGAAAAAATATGCACCGTAAAAACGTCCGGAAAAAGGTCTCAAATGATTCCTAAAAATTTTCTCCACAATACTACATTCTCAGTTAAACTACAATACATTGCCGGTTACTCCCTTTAAGAACCTGGATTTTTTGCGCAAAAGATGTTCGGAGAAAGATTTTTACTTTAAAAAATGTCGTGTTTAGGTAGTTTGGGCTGTGGAAGGTTGTATAATCAAGCAACAGCTATGACTAGGTTCTACAACAGTCCTATGTTACTCATAGAGTTTGATGATAAGAAACCTTTCTCACTCCAGGGCAAATATTATCTATCCAAGGATTTACAGTCTAGTGATATTGTTGCTAAACTTCAGCTCCTTACTCTGCATTTCCCAAAACTCAGGAATATATTCAGATTTTTTTTATCAGATTACTTTTTTTTACAAAAAGTTGACTTTTTTAAAATTTTGCTACTTCAGGCGTACCGGAACCTTTATAATTTAAACGTTTAGAAATAATAAGTGTTTATAATCTTTTGAACTTCAAGAGGATTTAGAATACAAATTTTGCCACTTCAGGCGTACCGGAATTTAAATGTTTAGAAAAAAGTATTTAAAATCTTTTAACCTTTAAGAAGCTTATAAGATGATCAAAATTATTCTTGAAAGATTGAAATACAAGAATTTTAAAATATTTGAATATATCAGGATATTATGGAGTCCTAGTCCCCACGCTACAGCAGAACTATTCGATGAATTAAAGCAGGGAAGAGAGCAACCTGACTCTAGCAAGGCAGCTACTATAGGAGTTGATATTATTGATGATATTAACGTGGATAAATATAATCCTCAGATCCAGGATTTCCTGTCTAAACTCCCCGGGATATCAAGCAAGAATATATATGCGATCATGAACCATTGTGAGAACTTATTAGATCTTCTGGAGATCTCAGAGGTATACTTCCATACAGATATTATTGCAACTAGAATTAGATTTGAAATCTATCTTTCAATTTCTTCAGTCAATGTATTTATGGTATTTTTTGTTAGTTTTTGAATAGTGAAAATAAACAAATTTTTTGATTTTTCAAATTATCTACAATTAATTTTATTCTTTCATAGAACTTACACATTTTTTTTTTTTACTTAAAGGTTCAAGGATTGTACGCGTGCCAAATGTTAGGTTTACGAGTAACTAGTTTATACGGTGGCTTTAAGATCAACTTCAAAATGTTTTACTTTATATTATTTTATTTTTATTATATCTGAATTTTTGCTAACAACATTTTTTGTCTAATTCCTACAAAAGATATTGTTGACAAATATTTAGCTATAATCTTTTAAATTTGATTGATTGTCGTTAATTCAGGAAGAATTATCAAATATTCTTGGGAGCCAAAATAGTGGGTCTCAGCTCTACCAAGCTCTACACTCCGATATAGAAGTACCTCAGCTTGAAACCAAACCAGAGAAAAAACCAGTTTTCAAATCCAAGTTTAAATCTAGAAAAGTTACCAAGTAACTAAAAACTAGTTGTGATGAGCAATGTTACTCAATCTAATTTGTTAAAAAGACTGTTTTCAAAGTTTTATACCGGTCAATTATGTTATTTGTACCTGTTTTTTAAAAATTATTTTTATGATCTCATCATTATTATTAATAAAACTATATTTTCAGAATGAGTTTAAAAAATGAATCAATTGTGAATGATGAAGGAAAGAATATGAAACAGATTAATTGTGTTCAATGCAAATCTAAAATCCTGCCTCCTAATATGGGAACCTATGTCTCGGTAAGAATTCTATCAAAATATTTGATTTAAGATTACTTGTGCTCAATGCAAATCTAAAATCCTGCCTCCTAATATGGGAACCTATGTCTCGGTAAGAATTATATCAAAATATTTGATTTAAGATTACTTGAGACACTGGGAACATAATGCTGGTTGACTAAACTCAATTCACGATGTTTAATTTTTGATAAATATATTGAAATTGTAACCGAAGTTTTAATAACTGAACTCTGTTCATAGGCGTGAAAATACACAACGTTAAAACTGGTTAGATAGTGACTAAATCTAAAAGATAAACTAGATGTTGTTGTGTACATTATTTATTTTATTTCATTTATATCGTCTTAAAATTAAATCTTTTGCATACATATTCTAGTACCCATTATTTAACATTAATAGTTTTGTTATATTTTCTTTAAGTTTATTTTTTTAATCAATAAAACTGATGAAATAAAAGTGGTATCCAGAAAAAGTGGAAATGGAAGGAATGGTCGAAATTTTTTTGCTGGTTAAAAGAAATTAACATCTTAATTATTTCTATTAAAAGATGGCAGGCTTATGATTTTGTTTCGCGAGTTCATATCGCAATCTTGTTTGGTTTAAATGGACTGTTAACTTCCTTTAATGAATTAATTCTTCTGAAATTGAACGCCCTTTTTCCCTCAACTTGCTGTATGTTACAGTGATAACCAGAAAACTCTGGAATAGGGAGACGACTTTTAGACTCAATTTATAACTTTTAATAGTGCAATGAACAGGAGACACCACAATTGTGCGTTGTAATAAGGTCCAATTCACTTAAAATTATTTTATAAGTTACTAGAAAAACTATTTGCTTTGTAACCACATCAATTAGAATTAAATATTGCTTCCTACTTCCTATTCTACAGTTTTCTGTTTATCATTGTATGTTGCGGATTTTGTTTACTAATACTGAGCGTACTGCACTATGCTCGAACTTTCCTTTAAATTAGTTGGTATGTTTTGAATATTGCTGCATGAAGGTTCTTTTTGTACTCCAGAGCGTCATTGGTATCTAAATTAATCTTATTTCGTATTATATTAATACGTTTTTAGTGATATTTTATATAAATTTTCTAATTGTAGAATGTAGCATATTTTTAGTGTATAAACAAGTGTAAAAACTTTTCCTTCTACCGCTCTGTAACTTCAGATCTGAGAGAAACCATTCCAGTCCTTCATGTTAACTTTAAAGTCGCCGATTGGCGCGAATCTTGTATACCTAATGACGTTCTGTAGTACAACTAGATCCTTCAATAATTCAGTCAACACTGACTGGTTTAAGGATAAGTTTGTATATAGTGCAGTACGGTCAATGTTTGTAAACAAAACCGGAACACAATATACAGCAAATCAAGGAAATGGGGACGTTTAATTTTCCTTATGTTAATTCATTAAACCACAAAAGATCGCGATATGAAAACTCGCGAAACACTGGCCCTAAACGGAAGTCCCAATTCTCTAATTTGACAACTTTTTCCCATTTTTCTCTTCTGTACTCTCCCAAAAACCGAAAATTAAGTAAAGTAACCTCTAATTTAATAAAGGGGGGGGGGGGTAAAAAATGGATGATGGAAAGGTCCTGAGTTGAATAATTTGTTCACTAGCAATGTACGAGAATGGTTTCCGCTACAATTAGTGCGACTAACATGGAAGTATCTACTCTAGGAACCAGAGTTAGAGTTGGCGAGCTTTAAGACTGAGAACGCCGGGCAGCTGGAGAAGCTCAATGAGTTCTTCAGAGTAGAGGACATGTTCGACTTTGATAATCTCGGATTCACGAATACTATCGACAATTTAAAGGTTGATATTTCCTTATTATGACATTCTCATTCTATTCAGTTAGATCGAAATTTACAAGTAAAGGGAACGTTATTTAAGGTTTATTAATAATTAGCTGAAGGGCTCGGCATTGCCCGTGGAAAAAAAATTTGAAAATAATTGAAAAAAAAAATTTTTAGCCTATGACCCCCACCCCCGGCCACCCATGAGTGTCCACAAAAAATCAGCCCAATCGCTCCAGCCGTTTGGCTATACGCAACATATATATGAATGTCTTGTTTTATTATATAGAAGAAGAAAATGACGTAATCAAATAAATATGTGGTATTATGTACTTTAAAATTTCTACTAATGAAAAAAATTAGAATCAAGTTTAGAATATTTGCTAGAACTATACATGCAATAAACATTTTACATACCATGCTGATTTATACGTAAACAAACATGTAATCACATATCTCTATATCTCTTATATTATTGAATATTGATTTGTTTAGTTTTTGTCGTGTGCTGACTGTAATCTGGGACCTATTGGATACCATGATCTAAACACTAAACTTAGTTTTATAGCGCTCTCCAGAGTACAATTTATAGATTGAAATATTTATATATTTTATATATTTTGTATATTTTCTACAAGAATGTGATTTGATTTTTATTTTGTTTTGTAAAATATATATCTTTGTACAGTGAGCCGAGTTTCTAAACTAATGTAAATATTGATTAGGAACCTGTTTGTTTTAATTTTGGTAAAATTATTAATTAAGTTGTTTGTATTTTGGAATGGGGGGGGGGTAATAAAAAATGAGACCCAACCTTTTTTCAGTCAAAATATTTCCTTTACAGCAAAACTTCATCAAGTTTTTTGGTGCATATTTTTAGCCATTTTAAGTTTGAACTAGGGTTTCCAAACAGAATTCCGTTGCGCGTAATGATTGTTTCCGCTTGCGACATTAACAAAATCATATAAACTTGAACGAGTTCTCTTTAAAACCCTAGAATGTTTTCCCTCTGCCTTATTTCCAAAAATATGGAATTCGATTGAATTAGAGTTTAAAGAAACTAAATCTGCAAAATCGTTTAAAAGAAAAGTCGCCAAGATCTATTTAGATAGTTATGCAAATTATATCTGTAAAAAAAAACTGTGTATCATGTGGATAAACTTAGTCTTTACTATCTTCTTCACCCTGTATTTCATAAACCTGACTTGAATAACTTATGTTACCCTCTGTTCCAACCCTTACGCTGAGTATCCTCCCTTTTCTTTATACTCCCTCACCTCCTCCTTACCTTTTACCTGATTTATTATCATTCTTATGTTTAAAATGTACAATGTACATTGATTTTATCTGCAATTCTCATTCGTTTATAGTGGGCCAACCAATTAAACCAACCTAGTCTGTTTAGGCGGGTCCAAACTACATAGTAAATTGTGATTTTTTAATTTGTATTATCTCGTGCTTTGTAGTTGAATAAAAATATCAATATGAAAATATGAAGGGCTTGCAACGAAATCTAGAAATCAATGATTTTGAACTTACACAACACATTTATGCAGCAGATATTTTGAAATTGAAATTTGTTATCATTTTTCAAATTTAAAGTTTCTTGTGGTTAAGCTATTAATTTATGATTAAATATGAAACATTTTTTATTTGTTGACATTAGATGAACATTAAAATTGAAAACTTTTTTTGGTTAAAATTATAAGGTATTTTGCTATTGTGAGAACTAGATAACTATGGTATAGTAAGAAAATATTACAATGCATTTGATGTCGCCTATGAAGCAAAAATATTAATTAGTAACTTTTTAAATCACTTATACAGTTAAATGGGTCTGCTCGAGTCTAAAAGTCGTCTTCCTATGCTAGAGTTTCCTAGTTATCATGTCATAAATGAATATTATAAAAAAGATTAATTGAATTTTCTTTGCATTGAGACTGCAATGTTAGTGAAGCTCAGTTTATTTTTTGCCTCTACTAAAGTTTACATTGCACTCCATGTAGTTTAACGGAATTGCGCAATAATTAATTGCATTTTTTGCGTGCTATAAGGTTTAAATTAAATTTTCTCAAAATATTGAAACATTAACGCAAGAAAGTTGGACGTAGCGCGCAATTCCTTTGTGGTTATTGCACGCAATTGTTACGGAATTCCGAGCAATTAAATTCACATGCGCGAAAGGGCTCGCAATTGCGCGTAAGTAAAATCAACTTGCGTTGGAAACCCTAGTTTTCTCTTGTTCTTCTCCGTAAAAATCACTAGTACAGGGACAGTAGGTAGGCATAAATTTATTAACTGACCTTTTATTTGTTTAGCGGTGTTCACGGTTTACAACGGTACAAATTATCTAATCAATAATGAGGAAGTTATCGTCTTTATCTTAGATTGGAAGGTATTAAATCCTGATAATTTACTCCCAATGTTTCTGTAACAAAAATGAAAAAAATCACATTTTAAGACAAACAGCCATATCTACGTCATTTCTGAACAGACTACTCTTTTGAATGGTTTTGTCGTGAATCGGACTATGCTACTCCATGGAATGGTTTTGTCGTGAATCGGACTATGCTACTCCATGGAAAGTCTCTCAAAATTACGACTTCAGTTCTTTTACTTGCAATGATTGATTGTCTTGATATTTCTATTTCATTGTCTACGTACAGTGATAACCAGAAAACTGATGAATAGGAAGACGACATTAAAGCAATACTGAAGTGCATTTGATGTGTTTTCAAAAGCAAGCTTTCTCTCTGTAGCAGACAGAATGCCGTCAGATCAGCTGTGACAAGGAGATGTCGAAAATTCAAACTTTATGTAGATACATTATTTTCATAGTGTGCTTATTTTATATATTTAATAAAGATTTAACGAAATTTACGATCATCAGCTGCTGAAGACTGGAGCCTTAAAGAGAGAAAAACCATGTTATGGAAACATGCAGCTAGCTGTTTTCAACCATTAAAAAACGGGTTAAAAATAGCATTCCATTTAAATGATATGGCCTAGAATTATCAAAAAATAAATAAAAGCTTTCATAATACTGCCTCCAAATTAAAGAGTTCTGGCTCTAGGGGGTGCACAGGGGTATCCCCCACCCGCTACGCCACTGATTTCATGTACAATATACATGGTCTTACAAGAAAGGAACTGAATGAAGTTTTTTAATTCTGGCTTGAAAACATTGGTCGGAGAGCACCAGACCTGAAGTCCAATAGATACTGATTTGCTCTGAACAAAATACTTACCATGTTTCTATGACTTCTCAAATTACAATTTTCTCAACCTTTAATCTTTGCAACCTGGTGTTCTAGAATATACCTTTGAAATTTAAAACTATGATATCTGTTAGATCTAACAGTCCACTATTTGAATATCAAAGATTTACACACCTGTGTCATGTATCTTGTAGATCTACATATTAAAACATTTGAGTTTTTGCGCATCTACACAATTTAAGCAATGGAATAATAATCAAGTTTCTGGTGTCAGAAATTATTTTCATTTTATAACAAACCTATCGCTATTGAATTTTTCAAGTTTCATAGATCAAACAAGAAAAATTGTTGACCTAGTATTTGCATATGTTTGCTTTCCACCTCTTAAACTCAGACAACTCGTGTAATAATGTCAAAATAAAAAACTTTATTATGTATTTTGTCTGAAAAATTAGATATAAAAAAACAGGTGTGACGAGACTGGAAGGAGGAGGGGGGGGAGACTAAATTATGGAAAAGAGTAAATATATAATATTGAGTGGGATGTATTGTAAATTAGGAAGTGTGGGTATTGGAACGGAGTGAGACGGACACACGTCCACAAAACCTGATATTCCGCTGAACCGGAGAATCATCTCGAACGGTTTAAATGAGAAAACAATACCTCTCAACCTTATACACAGCATGTATACAATTTCTGGGAGTTTAAATATACCTCAAGTAGTTTAAATGATGAGATTAGGTTCAGCTGAGAAACCTTTGTGCTTAGTTTCCAAGAAATCTCCCACACATGCCCATACTACACTTTATACTAACCTAGAGTTGATACCAGATCAATTTATTTAGACCCAATCTTGAACATGTAGAAATATTCAGACAAATCTACTTAACACTTGGAAACATTTGTTCAGATCACATCTTAAATCCTGTTCAAACATGTTAAAAACTGAACACCGGTAACAAAGGATTTCTGACGCTTCAAATCTAAAGAGACAAAATCTAATCTTTTTGAAATATAATATTTATTAATTTGTGTGTACCCGCCCCCCCCCTTCCCCTTCTTCATGTTATTGAGAGGATAGAGTGGATCGTAAGGATTGGTTTGATGGTTCCAGGTGTGAAACTAGGATGATGGGGCGGGGAATCCCTCTCCTTCATGCAGATTCAATACGTCTCACACACTCGTCGGATACACAGGACCCGGAGCTCAACCTTACACAGTGAACCTCGTCAGCCAGAGATTTCCAATAAGTTAGATTCATCAGACAATTAGAACAGGTAGTTAATATACGGCTCACATAACTGTCATTGTAATTTCAAGTGACCATCTTTTTGAAGAATAGAATGTCCAGTTCACAACGGTACCCATACAACTTTATCTGATCAAGATCGAATGAGATATCCATGTTTTTCTCTTTGAAAATTGATCATTTAAATTCTTATTTCTCTAAAAAAAAGGGAAAATTTTAGAATGAAACACTTTGGAAGCTAGAACAAACGACGATATCTTCCACATTATTTTTCAGAAGAACCTTTTTCGTTCAGAATTAATTGTTCAGGGGCATCAAACCTTTCAAAATGCATAAATTTTATTTTCCTAACTTAAGAACTTTCTTCTTTAAGGATTAACTCGTAATCCTTTAAAAACAGCTTTTCTTCAAGGATTAATTCTGAACCTTGGAGCATTCTTATTAGGAATGTTTCCTACACATGAATAAACGTAATCCTAAGGGACTATGATGCTCCTTAAGAATTAATCCTAAACCTAAAGAACAGTTCATATTTTTAGATTAATTCAAACCCTCACCTTACTTTTATAGGATTAACTCTAAACCCTGGAATTATTATTCCTTGAGGATTAGTTCTAAAACCGGAACTGTTCTTCGGGAACTATCCGCCAAACCCTGAACCAGTGCTTTCGTTATGATAAATCCTAAACTTAGAAACTATTTCCCTTTCAAAATAATTTAAATATAATTGATAATTAAAATATAATTGATTCCTCAAATACTGATCAAGGCAGTACAATGTTTAAGTCCGCGGACATTTAAATCTGGTTTGATTGCAGGATGAGAAGTATGGAGAGAGAACTCGTAAAACTTGAGAGTATGGTTCCTGCTCTCAAGAATAAAGAAAATGAAATGGTGAGTTAATTTTTATATCTCTATGTATTATCAACCTGATGGTGTAAGCCTTTGATATTTCAAACTTAGAAAACTTGATAAAACAGAATTGAAAGTTTGAGATTTCAAAGGTCTAATACATATTGAGTGGCAAACAATTGGGATTAGAAAATCCGATTTTGTTGGAAAATTCTATTCCTTTGGTTAAGGAGGTTAATTGATTTATTGATAATCGTTTATTTCTATATACCTTATTACTGGTATCTTAAATCTTAAGGTGTTTAAGTTAATACAAAAGACAGCATAGCTCACTGAGGATGAAACACAAGAGACGACTATGCTGTGTACAACTTACAGCTGTTTCGTTATTAAGTTAGATAGAAGAAGCGAAAGAATTTTCAAATTCTAGAATGTACACTATAATCAGAGTTAAGTCAGATTCTTGGTAATCACATGTAAATAAGGATTTATCTATTATAAAGATAAATTCTGCATTAATCTTTCTTTTATAATCTGTATTTCTTAATTAGGATGAGATTCTGGAGGGAACAGCAGTATATATTTCCCAACTACAGAGACAGCTAGCGGCAAAACTACGAACTCATGGATCTCGTCACACTCACCTACTTGGTAGAATCAACACAAACACTGCGTCAGCTGATGAACTTATAAAATCTATCAGCATGAGCCTAGCAAGCAAAACGCTCAATCCAAAATAATGTGGAAAAAAAACTTTTTCAAGCTATATGATAAATTCTCAGTATTATGAATAAAAAATATAATATCTTTGTTATGCAAAGAAAGTAATCACTCATATTATTGTTCATTCACAGTAAAAGATATCTAAAAAGGCACAAAATATGTGCTCAAATGTGACTATTGTATTATTTTCAAAATATATCACAGCCAATAAAAGAGAGGTTTTCATGACTGGCTCTTTATGCTATAATGCCTATTATATATTCAAAGAATTTTTTAATTATCCGAAGCAATTAAGTATTGTGAGAACCAGTGAACTTTAGAATAGGAAGACGACTTTATAGACTCTAGTTGTACATTTATAAGAAAATGAATTCTTACAAAACGACAAAAGAGTCGGAAATGACAATACTTGAGTCACAAACCACAGAGTGACAACAAAAGAAATTAATAAGAGCAAAAATGTTTCGAACAAATCATTAAACATTTGAAAAGGAATTGAGTCTTTGCCACAAACTCTGATTTTCAAAGCCCTATATCTTTGCAACCCCTATGTTGTATACTTTAGATATTTCAAACTAAGAATTCTGTTAGATTGAATAATCTAAGTTTGAAATATCAAAGGTTTATACCACCAGGTTGCAAAGATAAAACCCTCTAAACTCCGTGCAATTCCAGAACGGTTGCGCGTAGTAATTCCGCGCAACGGAATTCCGACTGGAAACCCTATTAACCATGAACCATTTAAATCACTTATTAGATAAAATAGGTCTGTTTATACATCACAATTGCTGTGTCTCATGTTCATTGGAATTTTTAAAATCATTACTTGAAAATAAAAGTCGTATTTCTATTCCCGAGTTTTCAGGTTCTCAATTTAGGTTCAATTAGTTCGAGGAACCTTTCTTTCTTTCTTTTAGAATTAAAAAATAAAATTATAAACGAAGGGACGCATTTTGTAGATCATTTTTGTATTTAATACTCGTCGGAATAAAATCTTAAAACTTTAGTTTACATCTTTCAACTAAACTTTGCTATCCTAGTAAATATATAAATAGTTTGTTAAAAGTATAAATTTATTTTTATAATATTATTGTCATTATTTATAAAAATGATTAATGCTAGTTTGGAAGCGGGGATACTAAACTTTGTACTGCAGTAACATGAAAGTTTATGATTATAGATCTCACAAAATACAAATATATAAAATATTAGAGAAATAATTGTTTCTCTCTCGGTCCTTGGTATTCGGGTTCCTCTTCCTTATGCTGGCAATTTTCATGATACATAGATTCACAATGCTTCCTCTCAACATGTTCTCTTGGAACAGTTGGGGGAGGTTCCTTCCAGCTGTGGACATGGACATTCTCCTCAGTATGTTCACATTCCTTGAGACAGGATTCATGATATTTATCAGGATGGAAAACCTTCTCTATGGGAACCTTGTGAATGGTCGGAGACACCAATCCCTTCTTTATATGATATGGATGGTCACATTCTTTGAGACAGGATTCATGATATTTATCAGGATGGAAAACCTTCTCTTTTGGAACCTTGTGCACGGTCGGAGACACCAATCCCTTCTCCATATGATGAGAGTGATCACATTCCTTGAGACAGGATTCATGATATTTATCAGGATGGAAAACCTTCTCTTTGGGAACCTTGTGAATGGTCGGAGACACCAATCCCTTCTCCATATGATGAGAGTGATCACATTCCTTGAGACAGGATTCATGATATTTATCAGGATGGAAAACCTTCTCTTTGGGAATCTTGTGAATGGTCGGAGAAACCAACCCCTTCTTCATACGATGACAGTGGTCACATTCCTTGAGACAGGATTCATGATATTTATCAGGATGGAGAACCCTTTCTTTTGGAATTCTGTGCTCTGCTGGAGAGATGAATTTAAATTTCCTAGTATTAGTATGATCGGAGAAATCTTCATCAAATGGGGAACTGCTTCGATCTGTACAATGTTCATGAAACTTTGATGTTGAATGTTTACGGTCCGGAGATTTTCTTGAAACCGTCGGCGGAGGGGTTTTCCAGCTGTGAACATGAACATTATCTCCGATAGCAGAACATTTGCTTTCCTTGAGACAGGATTCATGATATTTATCTGGGTGGAAAACCTTCTCCTTTGGAACCTTGTGGATGGTTGGAGAAAGAACTCTATATAAATCATGATGTGAAATGTCGCCTTCAAACGGAGAACTGCTTCTGTCCATACAGTGTTCATGGAACCTAGAAGTGGTATGTTCACAAACCGGAGACTTTCTTGGAACCGTTGGGGAAGGTTCCTTCCAGCTGTGGACATGGACATTCTCCTCAGTTATATGTTTACAATCTTTTAGCCAAGATTCATGATATTTATCAGGATGGAAAACCTTCTCCTTTTGAACCTTGTGAACGTTGGCAGAAGCTGCCCCTTTCTTCATGTGAGAAGGATGGTCACATTCCTTGAGACAGGATTCATGATATCTATCTGTCGAGCTAACCTTGTGCTTTGAAGTCTTATCTTCTACCCCTGAGCTTGCCAAATCTTCTTCAGAGGAAGTTGTTTCTAATAACTTGATGTTTTGAATATCTTGGATTGGGTTTGGATCCATATTTCTCGGAGATAGGTTTTAGGCTAGTGTATAGCAATTAGCGTGATATCGTCCAGGTATAAAACTCTTCTCTAGGGTTGGTTTAGGAACAGTCGGAGCTGGAACTCTTTTCTTGGTTTCGGTTCGAGTCACTTCTCTAAAGCACAAAGAATGGAATTTTCCTGGTTGGACTCTTCTCTCCTCCGGCACTCTAGGTACTGTTGGAGATGGGACCAAAGCACTGGTAGTAACAGGGTTAGGTTCTAGGTAGCATCTAGAATGAAACCTTCCCGGCTCTATACTCCTCACAATTGGTTCTCTGGGTTGGGTTGGAGCAGAGCAACTTCTAGCACGAATTTTGTTTGCTTTGATATTGCAGGCAGAGTGGAATCCTTCAAAACTATGAACAGTAACCAGAGGTTTTCTTGGAAGAGTTGGATGTGGTGCCTTACGGTTTACATATTTAGATCCTTGGGTCTCAGATAAACAATCTCCGTGATATTTGTTCTTGTTAACTACTCGTACTGGAGTTCTCCTTGGTTCGGTTGGGAAGGATGCTCTCCTGTCTTCTCTTCTCCGGGTTCCTTCTTGCAAACAGTCTTTATGATAAGGTTGAATGGATAAAGACTGTATCAGAGGACGGGATCTTCTCTCTGGTTTAGTTCTCCAGGTGCTAGTTGGATACTGTAAAGGTTTCTCCCTAGAAAATTGAGATTATCTTTTGAAGGATTTAGAGCTAAGCTTGTAAAACTTCGACAATCTGTGAAGAAATATTAAACCTACCTGGATACAATATTAAGAGAAATATTAAACCTACCTGGATAAAATCTGGGAATAAATATTAAACCTACCCGGATATAATCTGGGGAGAAATATTAAACCTACCTAGATATAATCTGAGAGAAATATTAACCTACCTGGATATAATCTGGGGAGAAATATTAAACTTACCTAGATATAATCTGGGGAGAAATATTAAGACTACCTGGATATAATCTGGGGAGAAATATTAAACTTAGCTGGATACAATCTGGAGAGAAATATTACGCCTACTTGGATACAATCTGGGGAGAAATATTAGGACCTACCTGGATATAATGTGGAGAGAAATATTAAACCACGTAGATAAAATCTGGGGAGAAATATTTAACCTTCCTGGATGTAATCTGGGGAGAAATATTAAACCTACCTGGATACAATCTGGGGAGAAATATTAAAGCTACCCGGATATAATCTGGGGAGAAATATTAAACCTACCTGGATACAATCTGGGGAGAAATATTTAACCTACCTGGATATAATCTGAGGAGAAATATTAAACCTACCCGGATATAATCTGGGGAGAAATATTAAACAAAGATACATTTTGGGAAGAAATATTTAACCTACCTGGATACAATCTGGGGAGGAGAACAAATATTTCTGTCCCACTGAACGTGTCTTCTTTGTACACCTGAGCAAGCAAAACAAGAGATTAATAAAACTCGATTTAAACCTATCACGATTCTTTATTTATAGAGTTGCATGTCCGATTCTCTATTGTTATCTTTAAACCTTTGTCTAATTAACATCGACAGAGCGCGCGAAGAGATCCGTGTTTTTGTCTTTAAACTTTACCAGTAAAGGAATTGAGTTTTTGCCACAAATTTGATTTTTTAATCCTTTTAACTTTGCAACCCAATGTCACAAACCTTTGATACTGGGAATTCTCAAATAATCTAAGTTTGAACTATCAAAAGTTTACATCGAAGGTGGCTAAGATATAGGGGATTAGAAAAATTCAAAAATTTAAGAATTTAATTTCTTTAAATGAAAATATTTATTTTCTGACTCCAAAAAAATATAAATAAATATAATTTAACTAAAAGAAAGCTTGCAAACAAAGTCCTAGGTTAAAAGGGCACAGTAGTGAATAGTAGTTAAAAGGGCCTAAAGTGTAATAGAGAGAGTTGAATGTAAAAAAGGGACTGAACGTATGATTTTCAGGGGTTTATGTAATTCCAATTTTTTTATTCTTTTCCCCGCCCCCTTAAATTTTTTTTGATTTTCTTTCCCAAATTAGATAACAAAACCTTTTTTTAATATTTATATTGCAGTGCATAATAACCCCTAAAATGATGCATTTCTCAAAAAGCATAAATGGCGCAATTTTTTATACTGTATTGTATGGTATGGTATTGTTTTGCTGCAATATAACTATTGGGGAAAATTATTTAGGAAAATCTCTGATTTTAGATAAAGTTATGTAGTTATGTAGAGGTAAAGAGCTCCAGCCCTTCCCTTCACTATATTCCCCTTTCCTTCACTTTTTTATCTGCCAACCTTCCATCGATTCTCTACCTTACCCTTACCCTTACCCTGCGTTCCCCTTCCCTATCTACGCTGCCTTCCTCTTACGTTCCCCTTCTACTTCCCTTCCCTGTCCCTTCCGTATAGTTCCCAATATTCCTCTTTCCCTTTCAACCTTCCTCAATCCCTTGGAACCTTCCCCTTTCCACCCCAACCTTCCCCGTCCCTACTTTTTCTCTTCCCTACCTATCTCTTTCCCAACCTATCTCCTTTCCCGCCTATCCACATCCTTCCCTTCCCCCTTCCTACCTTTCCCATTCTTCCCTTTTTATCGCTGTTACCCTTCCCATTTTCCTTTACTTTTATCTTCCCCTTTTCTTATCATTTTCCCCCTTTTACTTTCCCTTCTTCTTTTATCTTTTCCTTCCCTTCCCCTCCCCCAAGGAGGGAAAAAGAATTTTATACACCCCTAATGGTTTTATAAGATTTGAAACGTCAAAGAATTTTTTAAGCTTAAAATGGTTAAATCCAAGGAAAAGAGAGAAATTTTCACACTCAAAAAAACATTATAAGAATAAACTTTAATGAAAATTAACTCACCTTTGGTGTTTTCTGATAAGTTATCTAAACTGTGGAATCTTCGATTCACCAAACTAAACAGAAAATTCGAAAGATATTTTAGAGAGAGAATTGATCAAAAACCATAAATGAAACCCTTACTTGCTACAGCAATAATCGAAGCAATCGCATTTACACATTGTTTCTAATAAAAAGTAGAATATATCAACCTGAATAGTTCTTCTTGATTCCTTCTCTAAACAACAACTATCAATACCCAAGGATTAGGATACAACTATTACTACTGGATGCGTAGTCCAGGTCCTCAAGGGGCCGGTCAAAGGTTTAATGCGTGTTTAGAAACCAAAATTATGCGCATTAGGATCTCCCTTTTACGCTGAGTGGGTGGGGGGGGGGGTATCTGTTTAAACGCTACCCTACAAAAACCCTACTCTATGAAAACGCTACACTACAAAAACGCTAACAAGGCTAAATTCACTATTTTCAAACGAAAAATATTGTTTATGATTTGGATAAAGCAAAAAAATTTTAATTCAATTAGAAGGAATCGAAACTCCGCAGTCCGCACCCCCTTCCCGGGCCTCCCTTACAAGCTGGCGGTCACCACACAATAGATACTTTTTATATTTATACAATGTTTAGATAAGCATTAAAATTTGTTGATGGTTCTGGACGGTTTTTGTAATATATGACTCCAATAAGCAAACCTGTCCACTGTTTAGTCCAACTGTTTCCTCTCCTACAACTAATATAACTAAAAAGCAATCTAGAGATCGAAAAAAAGACAGATCCCGCACCCTGTTCGGAGTTCGGGAAAGTATTTGTGATATTGAAAACCCGCAAATACTGCAAACTTCAAAAAGAATATTAAAATGGACTAAATATATACTAAGAAAAAGAAGACAGTAGGTCTAGTTTATCAGAGTTCGCAGAGTTGCAATAGCTGTAACTTCGGTTTCTGTTGCTAGATTCTTAATAAATTTTAAAAAAATTTATCAATACAAGAATAAAAGTCCTTTTGTCATATCTGATTGTCTCAGTCTGGACAGCAAACTGGTGGATTTTTACAACTTCAAGAAGCATGAAAAAAAGGCTGAACATCTAGATGATCAAAACCCGGATTTTATTTTTCATTGACACTAGCAATAACTTCTTCTGTTGGAAACTGTACAGAGCGTCCCATATCATATTAGATTATCTCCAATCTTTAGCGCCAAAATACACTTTTAATACTCGAAAAAATATAGCATTTTCTGCAAAAAAAATTCTAATAGCCCTATTAAATTTGTCAAAATAAACCATTCTTCTTAAATTTTCTGATTTGTCCCCCAAATTGTAATTTAGACCCATTGACGACGTCCAATTTGATGTGGGACACCCTGTATGTTTTGTAGTTTTGTTAATCAGTTAGTTCGTCCATAATTCTATTAGATCTCAACCTTCTAGAGAGCGATTGGAAACAGAGAGAATTATCTGGATAAATGAAGATGAACTTATAGGAAATAGAATGCGTGAAACTGGTGAATTCGTAAACTAGTACTGTCTTCATGTTGTTTCTCAACTTAATTGGACAAAGATATGCTTTATATGGGATCCCTGTTTTGAAATCTCTGAGCATTTAGAATATAAAATATCCCCTAGCCTGTGAATTATTCAAATCTATTTATTTCTTCAACATTATGAATTTGAAATGAACTTAAAATTAAAGACAAAAACAGAAGTAGTCAAAAAATTTGTAGCGAATTATAGCCTAGGTAGCGTTTTTGCTGAGTAGCGTTTTTTCAGGGTAGCGTTTTATAGTGTAGCATTTTCATAGATAGCGTATTTATTTCGTACAGAGAGACCCATAAAACAGTGAAATAAAAAGATGGCATTTGAGACAAATCTTACGTGTATTTGACGACAGTGAATTAAAGCAAATAGTTATCAGTGACTCGAAAACGAGCTGATTAAGTAGTCACGTGTTTCATCTTCACTAAACTATTTAAACTCAAAACTTGAGTATAATTAAGTCGTTTAATTCCACAGTTGTATGGGTCTCACTGTAAAAAAAAACGTTTCGTTCTCGTTAAATTTAGAACTTCTGAACTGAATACATTAGAGTTCTAGATGCGTATGTAGAAACATAGATTAAAAACGTTTTATTGAAATTTAGATATCTAGGTGCATATGGAGAAAGAAATGAATATTAGTAAAATAAATGGAATGCGGGGTACAGATAAAATTGCATCTAGATGGATGTACAGAACAGGGTTTCCTAAATAGATAAATAAATTAAGGAATTCAACGAAATCAAATATTTCTACAAAAAAGTTAAAATAACCTTATATATAATATCTAGTAGGATATTTTAGCTTGATATAGAAAAGTTATTTTATATATATATATAAAACTTTTATTTTTCTTTTATCCATTTTTTGTACAACGTGTAACTAACTGAAGTAAGTTCTTTGTAACCAAACAGTTATATTATTCTCAGTAGTCATGCAGTAACTGCCTCAATCCTCAACCTCGGAGAGAATACAATCCTAGCCTTGTAGCAGACTTCATGATTGCTTTCATTACACCTTTCCCCTCTATACCAAGCTAATACAATCCTTTCCTCTCTACCCAGCTAAACTATCCTACTAGATACAATCCTAAACCAACTACACAGCTAAACTATCCTATTAGACACAATCCTAAACCAACTACCGAGCTAAACTATCCTACTAGATATAATCCTAAACCAACTACGAAGCTAAACTATCCTACTAGATACAATCCTTACCTATCTACCCAGCAAAACTATCCCACTAGATACAATCCTAAACCAACTACCGAGCTAAACTATCCTACTAGATACAATCCTAAACCAACTACCGAGCTAAACTATCCTACTAGATATAATCCTAAACCAACTACCCAGCTAAACTATCCTACTAGATATAATCCTAAACCAACTACCCAGCTAAACTATCCTACTAGATACAATCCAAAACCAACTACCCAGCTAAACCATCCTACTAGATACAATCCTAAACCAACTACCCAGCTAAACTATCCTACTAGATAGATCCTAAACCTTCTACCCAGCTGAACTATCCTATCTAGATACAATACTTTCCTCTCTACCAAGCTAAACTATCCTACTAGATACAATCCTTTCCTCTTCACCGAGCAAAACTATCCTACTAGATACAATCCTTTTCCTCTCTACTCAGCTAAACTATCCTACTAGATACAATCCTTTCCTCTCTACTCAGCTAAACTATCCTACTAGATACAATCCTTTCCTCTCTATGCTCAGCTAAACTATCCTACTAGATACAATCCTTTTCCTCTCTACTCAGCTAAACTATCCTACTAGATACAATCCTTTTACTCTCTACTGAGCTAAACTATCCTACTAGATACAATCCTTTCCTCTCTACTCAGCTAAACTATCCTACTAGATACAATCCTTTTCCTCTCTACTCAGCTAAACCATCTTACTAGATATAATCCTTTTCCTCTCTGTTGGAGTTTGGACAATTCTGCACACAAAAAAAACGTCGTAAAGATAAAAATATGTTTTAAATGATTTGATCTCTCTAAATAGTGATAGAATGAAACGTAAGAAATAAGATTGATCATGCTTTACTATACTAATTACAGACTGTATATTAGTTACGAGTCATGCGTACACTGCAGTAATTGAAGGTTAGGGTTGGATTTGGAAAAATTTTCAGGATCAATTTAAAATATCTTAAAATTAGAATTGTTTTTAATTGCAAATTGAACATCTATTTCATTTTTATCATAGTTTAAAAAATTATCTTTCAACCATTCATTAAGTTTAGAAATTTCTATTCACTACCTCTATTTTCTAAGTGTATACATATCTATTTAGCTTGTCTGTCTGTTTCACTGTTGATAAATTTTCATCCAATAAACGTATAAACGGCTGAACCGATTTTGACAAATTTTTCATTGTGTTAAAAAAATGTGGGTTAAACCTAGGTAAATAATTGTGTAATGCGTAATAAACACGAATAAAAGGTTAAACTATGTTCTCAACCACAACAAGAAAATACTTTCTTCTTTATCTCTCATTCGGGGTTTTCGGGTTCTATCAAATCATTGCAATGTAAACATTTAAAACATTTAGTCTAGATTTTTAGATATTTCATTGTCAGATACTGTGCAGAAATTTTAATATCATCGCTTCTATCTATTTTTGATTTAATTACTGCAAACAAAGAGTGGTTTCCATAAAGTTGTGAAATCGGAAGAGCAATATTATGCGGAATTGATTAAATGATTAAGATGATAAAGATGATAGTTTTACGAGTAGCTTAAAACTAACTTATGAAGGGAAAATGGTTTCAAATTAAACCAATCTTTCTTAGGGAGATCAAGGCTGTCCGTGTGATCCAGCTAGTCTGGAGAAAATACTACGCCGTGAGAAGAGAGGAGAAGATGAAGGTGAAATACCAATCTTGATTTATCCTTGGTATCTTAAATCTAGGAGAACAATTTTCAATTGTAATTTGTACATATTCTGGTGGCGCTTTTTTGTGACTAACAATGTTGATACATTTATCTTATAAATAAACTTGTATCATAACTTTAAACCTTCATGGAACTTTATACTATTGAGTAATATTCGGAGATTCATGAGCAAAGAAATGATTAAAATGATTCCGAATGTTACAATCTCTGTATTTTGTTCATTGAAGAAATAAAACCTGTTAAAATACGATAGAATGAAACTGCCGAAAATAAATTAAAGATTACGTTTTTTACCGCTTTTTGACTAACATTTCCCCGACTCATTTGTTGATATCTTCTGGTCAATACTTTGGAAGAAAACTTGAAAAGTGTCTTAATTCTGATAATTTATCCATTGTCTCTGAAGCAAGAAATGCGCAGGCCACTTTTGTAGAGAAACCAAAAATGAAAATAATAAGTTTTCAAAAAAAAGAGGGTCCTTTTTACAGTCGCCCTAGATATTTAAAGAACCATGATGGTTTCCCTGTTTAAAAGTTTTTGATTGTAAAACCTAATACCTTGCTAGCTTATTTTTTATACTTTTTTATATCCTACATGTACATTTATCGCACTTGCTTTTTGGCTTCATTTCAAAAGAAGAAATTGGCAAAAACCTGATAAACGTTCATCGTGAAGTTTGGTATTAATACCAGGAAAACACCAAAACCAAACTTAAGATATATTTAAAAAAATATCTACATCTGCAGCTGCAACTCTGACTTGAGAAAAATCTGCAGTTTGTTCTGATGAGTCTTTAATTTCTTTATGCGGCAGATTTAACATTGCTTCTGAAGAATTATTTTTAAAAACCAGTTTTAGAAGCGATAAATTAATGTCTTAATGATTACCAGTAAAAAGGCCACATTCTCGAAATATCAGAGCTTATAATGAGGAATGAAGGAGTGTACTCTAAACTTGAATGTTTAATTGATAAGATGTTTCTATTTCTAAAAAAAATCAGATATTAGGTTTGCCATTTTAATGACCACTCCCTGTATTTGCGATTACACAGATAGGACAAGAGAGGCAGCCCTTCGAACCAAGATGTGCGTAAAAATCGAGCAGTATTGTATTATATTAACAATCGAGCAGTATTGTATTATATTAACAATCGAGCAGTATTGTATTATATAAATAATCGAGCAGTATTGTATTATATAAACAATCGAGCAGTATTGTATTATATAAACAATCGAGCAGTATTGTATTATATTAATAATAAGCTTCGAAAAATGTACTGGCACAGAATTTCTTCTGGAAAGTTTTAGTCTTAAATCTTACAATCTTTGTACATCCTTGAAATCATCGGTGGATTGTTTAGCAGACTGACCCATCTGTTGACCCCAACGAAACCCTTTTGCTTTTTAAAAAACATTTTTTTACAACTTTCAGTATTCTCAGTATACCTAAAATGGCCATCCTAGATTTTTTCAGTTTTAATAAAATTAACATATTGAGTCTGTTTTATATATAGGTTTTTCAGGTGTAAGTGCTGGTTATGCCTGTGCAAAAAACATCGCTGTACCTTATCCCTTTACATTAAACATTTCCTTTACATTAAACATATCCTTTACATTAAACATATCCTTTACATTGAACATATCCTTTACATTGAACATTTCCTTTACATTGAACATATCCTTTACATTGAACATAACTTTTATATTGAACATATCCTTTACATTAAACATATCCTTTACATTGAACATATCCTTTACATTGAACATATCTTTTACATTGAACATATCCTTTACATTGAACATATCCTTTACATTAAACATATCCTTTACATTAAACATATCCTTTACTTTGAACATATCCTTTACATTGAACATATCCTTAACATTGAACATATCCTTTACATTGAACATATCCTTTACATTGAACATATCCTTTACATTGAAAATATCTTTTATATTGAACATATCCTTTACATTGAACATATCCTTTACATTGAACATTCCCTTTACATTGAACATATCCTTTACATTGAACATACACTTTACATTAAACATATCCTTTACATTAAACATACCCTTTACATTGAACATATCCTTTACATTGAACATATACTTTACATTGAACATATCCTTTACATTCCTAGGTTACATAATTTTATTCACAAAAACTAAGTATCTCCTTATGCAAAATCTTTAAGTTTTATTTAAAATTGAATATTCAACATCAGTGGGAGATTTCCATAGGCTCAGTTGTAAAGTAAAGTGTAAATGTTATAAATGAAGTTATTCAAAATCCATCCTATAAAACCAGGGACAGTAAAATTCCATCTCTTACATGAGTTCTGGAATAGCTGGTATGGTAGTCATACAATTCTAGTGATTCTAGCTTCTGTACCTTGCCTACGTCATAACCCGGTACAGGACACAGAGGATTGGACATGGGTCCAAGACCTGTCTAGGGATAAGGTCTGTTGTAGGTGAGTATACGCATCATTGTGATTTGTATTTCTCTGGTGGAGTCAAGTAGGTTGTCAATCTATTTACTATATTTACATTATAATAAAGTACTGTACACGACCAATCAACAAACATCTGTATTCAGGGATATTTAAGGATCCTTTGGATACGAAAGACAAATCTACAAAAAAAACTGATTCATAAATGCTATGTTTCATGTTAAAAATTGGAGTATTTCTTTAAAAGTATTATACTCCACAAGTGGCCGTGAGATGGCACTCTAAAAAACCTATAGTAAAAACGAAGCATGTTGTGCTGGGTCAACTTAGGCCTACGTAGCCCACACTGTGAAAGGATTTAAGCAGTCTGTGTAGTCTGTGACCTAGCCTGCGGGGAGCATTGTATATGTTTACATTTCTCCCAGAAACTGCAGTACACTTTATTTTATGGGATTTTCACACGGGGGATGATAGTTCTCTACCTGTGTGCTCGGTCAGCTGTACTGTACACCTACATCTGTTTACTAATAATGATATACTATAGGTGAGGCCAGAATCCCCCTATAATAAAGGATTAGAATACATCATCACTCTATACACTATAACCTCGTTGGATTTTTATGTTATATTCCTTGGAAATGCGCTTGTTTACATTTACATACAGCCGGTCTCACAAAAAAGTCACCTAAAATTAACTTACATCAATTTAGCCTGTTTAAATACTTAATTTTTGTAACCTATCATAAAAATGGATCAATAACACCCAGGCGTAAAAATCATTTCTACATTGAAAATATTCTTAATGAAAGTGATAATTTTGAAAAAAATTCTCGTAAATTCAGATTGTTTTATTTTTGTGCCTAGGTGGGTTAGATAAAGAAAGTTTTGTTGAAAAAAAGAGAGCTGAAGGATTGCACCAACTGATTTCAAAAAGAAAATTGAAAAAAATACGTTTGTGGTCTGGGCAAGGTTCGTACGAAGGTACCCATATCTTGCTCCAAAAGTAATGATCGCTGATCCAACATTTTGGTTAAAAAAGAAACCTTAGACTAAAAGCTTATGATTAAAAAAAATCAAAAATATTTTTTTTCATACTTTATGAACGAATGAAAATGAGACGTGAAGAATCAAAAATTTGAAAAATCCGGGAACTCGATTTTCGACTTACACTCAAAGAAGTGGTTCTAACAAAAAGAAAGAAAAAAATTACATCATGAAATAACTGAAAAATAGAGCTTTCATGCCACCTTGATGAGATAATAGCGCGATGTCTGCGCAACTCAAGCAGACAGACACTTTCGCCAAACAACTTTTTTTGGAATTATAAAAACATCGATTCTTTCCTTATCCTGTCGCATAAATTCTTATTTTTTTGAAAAATATTAAAAATAAATGCATCTTTGTTGTAAAATCAAGCATTTATAAATTATAAAAATTTGAAAGTGGAGATTTTGACCCTCAATCAAAAAAACTAAAAATACTTATTTGACACCCCTGACATATTTGTAGTTATTCCACAAATGAAATGTTTTATTTAAAGTACATTTAAGTATATTTAAAGTATAATTAAGGGAAATAACAATTACAAAAAATATATAGGCCATGGAACAACCACCTACTTTTTTCTCAACACTTGTAAATTATTAAATTAAAAACCAAAAAATCTTCAAAATATGATTGGCCCAACAATTTATGTCCTGTGAAGAATATGTATAAAAAAGGAACTAAAAAAATGGTGGCAGCAGTAGCCTGTAAAGTAACATTTAAAGTCTATTAATTGCTTGTTATGTCATAGAACTCTTTGGCAAGAAAAACTCTTGGCATGGCCGGAGGAGGGGGGGGGGGTACTCTGCCCTTCCTATAAATTGTCGACGCCTATCCAACACTACATGTTGTTTTATTTACTTACCTTCCTTTCTTTTCTTTCTGATGCAAAATCTCGACTCCATTAGCTTTCTAATATTCTCATATGTTTTATGCAGTTTAGTCTACTGGACCCTATCTACTCAGTACGGATATATACTTGTCCTGAACCTTGAGTAAATATTTGATCCGCACCCTAGTTTTCCTCTGTCTCAAGCTTAAACAGGCCCATGGATACGGTTGAATACAAGTTCAACTGACCAAGTATAAATTCTGGTCAATGTTAAGACATACCTAGATTTTCAGACCAGACTATATAAAAACAAAAATAACAAAGGTAATGCATATGTTTCAGCATTTTTGTTTATTATGTATGAAATAAGGCGTTGAACTTACCAAAGAGTACATCTATATTTATATATATGTATAAACACATATACAGGTTGCAAAGTAATGCCCGCGGCCCCCTTCCTTCTCTATCCTGTGTCAGGCGAGGGAAAGAAGGCAACCCCGGCTTGAGCCTTTTTCTACAAAGTTTGTTGTCATAAAATACAATATTTTTATACCGTTTTCTCACCAAAAAAGGAATATTATTTTTGGAAGGCTTGAAGGCTTTGAATTATGAAAGTACATATAAACAAATTCAGAAAACCTAACCATATATTCGGAGAGGAAACACTTTTTACACTTAAAATTATTCTTGAAAATGTAAAATGTTTTAAACCTTAGCAAGGGCGTAAACAGGAGTTTGTCCTTCGGGAGGGGGGGGGGAGGGGCTTAAACCAGTTTTTCTCTCCAAGGGGGGCCTGAAATCCACCTAAATAAATAGATTAATCGCTATTTCAGCACTCATAGCCCCCTCCTCCCTGTATACGCCTCTGATTACCTTAGCGAGTAACTTTTTGATGAATTCAATAAGTTAATCTCATCCTCTATCGTAGATAAAAATTAACGACTTGCATTTTGTCAAATTGGAATTTTGACCAATAAGAGATCGGATAATCGTCATACATACAGTGAATAGATAAACAAGTTTCCGATTCTTATGAGAAAATGTTCTTTACAATTTACATTTTTGGCTATTTGAATGTTACAACAGACTTTCATTTTTTGGGGGTTCTTGGTTTTTATTTCTAAAGTGTATTTGCCATTCCTCCCTCGGTAGACCGGACCCGCCAATGCGCCGCCGTCCCTACTCCTCGAATGTATATTATGGTTAGTGTGTGTGGTATAGTCTAGAGACAGTTCCGTTAGAAACCTGGCTCAAGGAATATATATTATGTAGGTAGAGGCGCACCTTCAAACTTCCTTATTCCTAGCAGCACACATGTACAGGGTACATATGTACAGTGAACATACGTACATACTGTACAATAATAAACTCTAAGGGAAATTGTGATTTAGTGAAAATAAGGATTTTACAGGTGATTCTTAATGATTATTAGTAAAACGTTTAATTTTTTCCTTCTGTCACACGGTTTAACATCAGATTACACAGAAAGGAAGGGTTGAATTAATTCATAATAAAAAAATCTTAAATTTTTTTTTAAATTTTGTTTTTAAGCTGACTGTTCTTATGAAGGTCATTTTGGTCAAGAAAATCCCTGAGAAACCTTTATCAAAATATATTGTTAATTTATGATATCCGTCAAATATTTCCAGCTGTAGTCGTAAGTCACGGGAATCAAGTCCTAGTTAAGGGATATATTTGAACTTGAATGAATGTAGAATACGAGTTTATGAATCGGTGAAAACGTCTGCTCCAAACTAATTGAAAAGGTGAGGGTATAGAGTAGTGTGAGGTCAGGTTACGCTCCGGGGTAAACAGGTTTCCCCTACACTCAACCTTACTCAACCTTATCCGAACCTAACATTCCTACGGGAAGGACAAACTAGGAGAACTGCAGTAGGGTGGGTGTGTGTATGGAAGGGGCTCCAGGGGTTCTTGGGCGTCTAGGAAACTAAGGAAGAATAATAACAAAAAACAGTGTCCAAAAGAATAAGAGGAATTTATACTGAAAAGGGATTAAAAGAGAACAGGAGTAAGGAATAAAAGAGACCAGGAGTAAGGAATAAAAGATAATATGAATAAGAGAACGTGAGTAAGAAATAAAAGTGAACAGGAGTAAGGAATAAAAAAGAACATGAGTAAGGAATAAAAGAGACCATGAGTAACGAATAAAAGAGACCTGGAGTAAGGAATAAAAGATAATATGAATAAGAGAACGTGAGTAAGAAATGAAAAAGAACAGGAATAAGGAATTAAAGAGAACATGAGTAAGAAATAAAAAAGAACATAAATAAGGAATAAAAGAGAACATGAGTAAGTAATAACAGAGAACAGGCGTAAGGAGTAAAAGATAATAAACTATAGCGGAAGAAAGAATAAAGAAAACCAAGAGGTTGGATAAAAGGAAACAGGATATCGGAATAATAAGAAAGTAGAGCTCAGGAAGGAAAAACAGAAATAGGAAAATCATTAAATAAAGAGGAGTGAGGAAGAAATAAAGATTTATCTTTTATTATCTTATTAATTGATTATTAACAGCCGTTAAAGCTCGTTATCAGATTTGTTTTATTAATAATTAGACAATATTATAGGATATAATAATCAAACCTGAAATGATACCATTAAAATCATACAATTCTCTTGGAAATACGTGTACACAGTCTTTTTATAAGAAGATATATTTAAGCTGGTTAATAAACTCCGGCCTGTATAGGGTGTAAACCACAAAATCTAATTCTAGAAAATAAGAAATCTATAAACGTATGTTGTTTAATCTCACAGTTAACAATACACACATCTATTATTATTTAGATATACGGGGTTACCCACAAAGGATGAGACTTCAAAGACGATTGTACAGAATTTATAATTTTATTTATGATTCCTTGCAGCTGTAAACTTGTTTTTTTGTCTAATCATTAAATAAGCCATAAATAATTATGTTCAAGGCAGCCAGGACTTTCAGGTAGATTTTACAGTCTCGTCTTTTGTGGGTTAACCCTGTATATACAATAAACATTCCTCGGTTGGTTATATTTTAAAGAATTGTATCTTAATCATGATCAAGGAGAATTGAATACAAGGAGGGGGCAATAGGGTTTCCGTACACTTTGCTGTGACGTTTTTGGACTGCTGGAGAACTAGTTTTTGCGTAACAACAGTAATAAAGATTGTAAACAATAAAACAAATGATAAACAGACATTTGGTGCATCTCTGGCGTTAGATGAAGATTCACCGTATACTAACTCATGTTTCTTACATTAGATCGGCTGCCTTTATTATTGTTGTTACGCAAAAACTAGTTCTCCAGCAGTCCAAAAACGTCACAGCAAAGTGTACGGAAACCCTATTGCCCCCTCCTTGTATTTAATTCCTCTTGATAATGACAAAGTTGGTTGATTAGAATATTAAATATTTTAAGATTTTTGTTGTTGTTGAATTGAACTTTTATTTTAATATTTAGTACTCGGAAGCAAATTAGAGAAAAGGGCGAGAACTTCCTTTTTCTTTCTAAAATGAATGTAATTATTAAGTATTTCCACGTTGAACCTTTAAGGTATAATGTTGGCATTGTTTAATGTGAATTGTTTGTCAGGATTTAAATACATATTAAAGGTCTGGTTAAGTTTTGTATTAAACATTGTTAGAACTCTTATCAATGTGGTTCAGTTCTCCTTGTTGAAGGGGAATCCGGGGATCTAGGATGAATGGTTCTCAGGGTTCTAAATTCTCCTTGTTGAAGAAGATTCCGGGGATCTAGGATGAATGGTTCCCAGGGTTCTAAATTCTCCTTGTTGAAGGGGAATCCGGGGATCTAGGATGAACGGTTCTCAGGGTTCTAAATTATCCTTGTTAAAAGAGATTACGGGCATCTAGGATGAATGGTTCTCAGGGTTCTAAATTCTCTTTGTTGAAAGAGATAACGGGGATCTAGGATGAATGTTTCTCAGGGTTCTAAATTCTCCTTGTTGAAGGGGAATCCGGGGATCTAGGATGAATGGTTCTCAGGGTTCTAAATTCTCCTTGTTGAAAGAGATTACGGGCATCAAGGATGAATGGTTCTCGGGGTTCTTATTTCTCCTTGTTTAAGTTTGGCGTTCGGTAATCTCTCTTTCATTAGAATTTCTAGATCTTTGTCAGACCTGTTTTATTCGGGTAAAATTACCTTCTGCAAGGTTTCAAGAAATTCACAAGATTCTTGGTTCTCTTATTCTTTCTTGTTCTTCCTCTCTTTTCTCAGTACCCCCCTGGCAACCTGGAGATTATGGTAAACTGATGCTTAAACAATTTTCTCTTTCTTCCACGCAGGCATGTTTATTTTTAAATGATTAGTTGGTTGAAATAAACCAAGCAGCATGTATTTTAGCTCCTTAGTCACGGCTAATGCTCCGAACTCTGGAAAGATGCATTTAATAAATGCATTTTAATCAAACCGTGTCCAGTGTTATCTCTACATAAGGTTAGTGAATCCCTAGGAGTTATTGTAATCCATGTTTAGGGATCAATGATCAGTAATATATCTGTGGGATAGTAGTGATCATCCTTAAAAAAATTCAATAGAAAAACTAAAATTTTTGTTCGCCGTGCAGTTTTTTTTTCGCAATTTGTTTCACAGTTTTGTCATTTTTTTTTAAAATCAGGCCTGGTATGAGATATAAACTAATTTTGGTTTGTTTCAGTCTCACATGATTGACTACATATCCTCTTAACCTTGGTACATATCTCCAGGATATATTAAACCCTCCTCCCTCACCTCTCCTTGTATTCCTTATCTATCCCTCCTATTCTACCATAGCTAAACTCAAACTCAACCCTTGATTTCTGCTAGATCGTCCTCAGATTTATAATCCTCTTGATTTCTGTTAGATCGTCCTCAGATTTATAATCCTCTTGATTTCTGTTAGATCGTCCTCAGATTTATAATCCTCTTGATTTCTGTTAGATCGTCCTCAGATTTATAATCCTCTTGATCTCCAACTTTTGGTTTTGTATCTGTACGATATTGTTGAGATGTATTTATATATAATTGTGTACATGCGATATTAACAATAAGCAGAATCAGAAGATATTAAACTTTCAATGCAATATTTTAATTCTTTTCTTAATAAAAGTAGATCAATCCCAAAAGAGGAGAGGGTAGTCACAGTTAAATTTATCTACACGAAAAAATGGCAATTTTGTTTATTGCTCTTCATATCAAAATACAGGATAATCGTGGACATTTTCCAAACCAAGTACAGTCTTAGGATCCGTTCCATTACTTGTTTTAATTTTCTCTGTCTATTTCTTTCTGTCTTCTCACCTAGTCCCAACCCTTCTCTCTTTTATCTTTACTGTGTAAGCAGGAATATACCCTTCGATCTTCCCCTTACCCTTTTCCTTCTGTCAGATATCCCTCCCTCACATATTTGTCTGTGTAAAGAAGTCTGTATATTATGGTTAAGCTTGAATAATGCTAAAATATTAGAATTCCTGGTTTCATGGATACAACAGCTTAGCACTGTGGTGTATCCTTCAAGGATTTGGGATGATGCAACTTTTATAGAAAACTACTCATTTTTTATTAAGAATCGTTGTTCATCTTCCCTATGGTTTGGAAATATAAAATAAAAGAAGTAAATTTAACGTGACAAGACTAAAAAATTCAATTTAGTTGCAATCTCCCATATGGTTAGTTCCGAGTTCCGACCTGGAGTAGTGTTCATATATCCTGCAGAGACGTATCAATCCATTTACTTAAGAACAATACGTCTGGTAACTCCAGACAAAACCTTTCATGTGAATATTCAATAATAAACCTTATTCCGTTCATGTCTCCAGTTATATCTCAACCCGGTCTAGATTCCCTTCTTATTCATACACAATATATATTATATATAATATATAATATATATATATATATATACGAGTTCTGGAAAATATACATTCCTGCCTAATCTGCAAGCTCGCGGGTCTTGTGTTCTTCCTGTGCGCATTCATCTTAGATCTACATAATGTAGTGACGTCATATATCCTTATACTTTAACACGGTCAAAATCCCTGTTCTTGGTTGAAACCGGATACAGGTCCATACCATCAACAGGGGCAGCATTCATTGTTTTAGTAGATGTTAATGCTTTATTAGGTTTGTTTAATCTTCTTATTTTAAATATAAAGATTTTTCACAGTGTATTATCATCAATATTCAAACTTACATCAATAAAGTGAAAAGATGTTCGTTAGCCAATTTACCATCAAGTGTTTTAGATCTTACTCCATTCTATCCTCTCCTTGTCCAACCCTTCATACTCAACTCAATTACTTCCTATCCTAGTCCGTACTGCTCAACCCTAACCCTTCTATTCTAGTTCATCCAGCTCAATTCTAACCATTCCTATCCTAGTTCATCCTGCTCAATTCTAACCATTCCTATCCTATCCACCCTGCTTAACCCTAACCCTTACTATCCTATTCCATCCTGCTCAACCCCAACCATCCAGTTCATCCACTCCTCCTTTATTTATTCAATCCTGTCCTACTTTTGACAACGCGATCTAATTCTACCCTGACATTCCGACCATTCCCAGTTATCGACCGTCCCCAATCCAGAAATGTTCTCTTTTTTACAAACTAAAAATGCCCATCCCCATCTTTCCATTTTGACAATACTTTGTTAATCCCAATTTAATTCTTTCTTGGTTTATACCATCCCGACGTATGCAGTCCTAACCTGTCTTTTCACATTCATAAATAATGATATACAGTGTTTAAACTTGCGCAATATGCTAGCCACAAGGATTCACAGAATTAAAACATGAACCAGTATTACAATTGTAGATAAATTCGTCTTTAGTTAGCCCAGAGAGTGCGGGTAAAATAGACAGAACAAATCCGTTATCGATGAATATATAATTTGAATGTTTTTATGGCTATCCTTTTCTCTGCATTTAAAGTACTTATATTCTGCACTAGGTTTCCTCCTGACCTCCATGTTCAGACAGATTACAATATCCTAGTTCATGATTGGTCTCTCAAGTGTTGATCTACGACCAATAACAGTCAAACATCTCGTTTGTATGCATGACACGAACTAGCAATGTTCTGGAAGTTTAAAAATCAGACATAGAGAATTTAACTTTATTCTTTAACCAGCTGAAGTGCCCGGCATTGCCCGTGGAATTTTAGAAACACTTGAAAAAAATCGACTTTTTAGCCTATGTTACCCCCGGGGTACTCAAGGGTTCCCATACAAAAATTCAGCCAATTTGGTTCAGTCGTTTGGTCAGCTATAGCTAAATATAAGAATATGTTATATATGTTATCTCAATTTCGTATATATTTTTCTTAATGTTATAAAGGGATTCACAAAAACTATCAAAGTTTATAGTAAACTGATGATTCCTTTATTCTCTAATCTATCGAAATTTATATTCTTATTTTAATCCAATCCTGAAACTTGTATTCTTATTTTAATCCAACTCTAAAACTTGTATTTTTATGTTAATCCAACCCTAAACTTGTGTTCTCATTTTAATCCAACCCTAAAACTTGTATTCTTATTTTAATCCAACCCTAAACTTGTATTCTTATTTTAATCCAACCCTGAACTTGTATTCTTATTTTAATCCAACCCTGAACTTGTATTCTTATTTTAATCCAACCCTGAACTTGTATTCTTATTTTAATCCAACCCTGAACTTGTATTCTTATTTTAATCCAACCCTGAACTTGTATTCTTATTTTAATCCAACCCTGAACTTGTATTCTTATTTTAATCCAACCCTGAACTTGTATTCTTATTTTAATCCAACCCTGAACTTGTATTCTTATTTTAATCCAACCCTGAACTTGTATTCTTATTTTAATCCAACCCTGAACTTGTATTCTTATTTTAATCCAACCCTGAACTTGTATTCTTATTTTAATCCAACCCTGAACTTGTATTCTTATTTTAATCCAACCCTGAACTTGTATTCTTATTTTAATCCAACCCTGAACTTGTATTCTTATTTTAATCCAACCCTGAACTTGTATTCTTATTTTAATCCAACCCTGAACTTGTATTCTTATTTTAATCCAACCCTAAACTTGTATTCTTATTTTAATCCAACCCTGAACTTGTATTCTTATTTTAATCCAACCCTAAACTTGTATTCTTATTTTAATCCAACCCTGAACTTGTATTCTTATTTTAATCCAACCCTGAACTTGTATTCTTATTTTAATCCAACCCTGAAACTTGTATTTATACTTTAATCCAATCCTAAAACTTGTATTCTTATTTTAATCCAATCCTGAAACTTGTATTCTTATTTTAATCCAACCCTGAACTCTGTATTCCTATTCTTTTATCCAACTCTAAAATCTGTATTCCTTTTATTTTATCCAACTCTAAAATCTGTATTCCTATTCTTTTATCTAACTCTAAAATCTGTATTCCTATTCTTTTATCCAACTCTAAAATCTGTATTCTTATTCTTTTATCCAACTCTAAAATCTGTATTCCTATTCTTTTGTCTTACAAAGTTGTCAAAAAGCACCATTAGTAAGTTTTGTTCAGTGGCACAATTTAATCCATCCTTGTCGTGTTGTAATTGGAACGTAATAAAAATAATTCTTGTTGACTGATCCTAGGGGTAGGATGGTTTTTATTTAAAGTCTATCTTGTTTTTTCATCCATGAAGTATAAGTGCACAAAAATAATTGTCATGATATCATTTGACGCGCAGTTTAAAATGTTTTCTTTGTAGATTCTGCGTATCCAGAGCATCTGAACCTATCTCTCAGTAACCCGGAGAACTTGAAGACGGACAGTTCTGCAGTATCTGGGGATACCCGGAGGTTGACAGATAAATCAGAAGAAGCACTCTAGAAAAGATTGTTTTCCAAGTGGGAACCAAACCTTAATAAAAAACCAGTATCAGAGAAAAACAGGGTGAGGTTAGAAAACCTCACCCAAAATTAAACTGAACCCAGAGAGCAATTATATCTAGAAAATGAAGAAAAAAGAGAACTTAGGATTTGCAGAGAACTTCTTTCTTTCAGGTTGGTTAACTTTTTTTATTTTCTAACCTCATTAATTTTCGTATAATTGATGTTCAATATATTCTAGGAACTGCTGCTGCCTTATCTAAGACCGGAGCTGCTCCGATAGAAAGAGTAAAGCTGCTGATCCAGAACCAGGGGGAGCTACTAAAGCAGGGAAGGCTTGACAAGGGGTTCTCAGGGGTACAGGAGTGTGTCACTAGAACCTTTAGGTATTGTCAACTATTAGTTTAAAACGAGGTCGAAGAGGAACAAATTTAATCTTTTTTGGGGCTGAAAATAGGATATTTAAAATGTTAAGAGAAATTGAGCTAATATTTAAAATGTTAAGAGTAATTGAGCTAATATTTAAAATGTTACGAGTAATTGAGCTAATATTTAAAATGTTCTTCAGATTCAATTACCCATTTAAAGAAGAAACTTTAAGGTATTAGAACTTAAATCCACAAATCTTTTCAAATCTTTATTAAAAATACATTGGCATTAGTTGGGATTATATTGAACTGCTCCAAATATTTATTTGGGATTATATTGAACTTTTCTTATAAAGTTGGGATTAAATTGAGCTTCTCTTAATATTTAGTTGGGATTAAATTGAACTGTTCCCAATGTTTAGTTGGGATCAAATTGAACTGTTTTTATAAAGTTGAGATTAAATTGAGGTGTTCTAATAAAGTTGGGATTAAATTGAACTGCTCTAAATATTTAGTTGGGATTGTATTGAACTGTTCCTAATATTTAGTTGGGATTAAATTGAACTGTTCTTTTAAAGTTGGGATTAAATTAAACTTTTTAATATTTAGTTATGATTATATTGAGCTATTTCTTATATTTAGTTGGGATTATATTGAACTGTTCCAAGAACCTAGTTGGGATTACTAGTATCTTGAATTATATTGATTTGTTCCTAGAATTTAATTGCAATTTTATTGAACAGTTCCACAAATTTATTTGGGATTGATTAAAATAGTCACTAAATCTTAGGAGTGATTATATTGTATATTTCCTTGAATTAACGTGGGGATGAGTTTTTTCTTTAGATTTTTTAAGTTTTCTTGTCATGTTTTCTTGTCATGGTTACTGCAGGATCTTGCCGGGAATTCAGAATATTTTTGCTGGTCAGAAAACCTTTTCACAGTTTAGTCATCTAAGCATTTTATTATTGAAAATTATGCCAGGATGGGCTAATTGGGAGGACTAACCCTCTCTTTACCTAAAGATATTAAAGTTACCCGGATACTCATTTTGACATGAAGGACCCATAAGGTGATCCTTCGAGTTAATAAGGAGTGTTTAACTATACTAACCAAGAAACAATTATACTAAAATTATGGATTCAATTCGAGGATTTTTACTGCATTGGCGAGAAAATTGCCGAGGTTTCGTCTCATTTCAGACCGAAATATCGTTCCTCTGATAATGATTCTAATTGGGTAAGTTAGGAATGGTTATCTTTAAGCTCAGGGTCACATGATTCAAGTGACTCCTCCCTGATAACTTCAAACATATTCTCTAAAAGAATATAAATTGTTACTTATACCTTAACATTACAAGATGGAAACTCAGCATTTTATTTCAACTAATAGAATCTTTATCAAATTCACAATAACTTTATATACCTGAAGTAACTGCAGAAATTAGAATTTAATGGAAACATTAAGAATAAAAATACTATTTTATGATTAGCTCCATTCACCAGCATCCCGCAGCTCTTCCCTCCATTATCCAGTATCCTGCAGCTCTTCCTTCCATTTTACAGCATCCTGTAGCTCCTCCTTCCAATTTCCAGCTCATCCAGCATTATGCAGCTCCTCTCTCCATTCTGCCGCTCCTCTAGTATTCTGCAGCTCCTCCCTCTATTTCCCAGCTACTCCAGCTTTATGCAGCTCCTTTCTCCATTCTCCCGCTTCTCCTGTATGTTGCAGCTTCTCCCTCCATTCTCCAGCTCCTCCCTCCATTCTTTACCTCCTCCCTCCATTCTCCATATTCTCCCTCCATTCTCCCACTACTTCTGCATGTTGGAGCTCCTCTAGTATCCTACAGCTCCTCTTTACACTCTCCCGCTACTCCTGCATGTTGCAGCTCCTCCCTCCATTCTCCCGCTACTCCTGCATGTTGCAGCTCCTCCCTCCATTCTCCCGCTACTCCTGCATGTTGCAGCTCCTCCCTCCATTCTCCCGCTACTCCGGCATGTTGCACCTTAACAGAGAAATATTATGCTTTTTTGTACTATCCTATACTCACTACATCAGCTAGAGTTACGGATAAATGATTTTATATTTATTAAATATATATATATATAAGTTACAGGGATGCATTTTTAATACATAAGAGGGAAGGGAGCCGGTGGTGAACTAAAACCTTGATTTGGTGAGAAATGTTGTCAAAAAGTATAAAATATTGACGAAAATGCACCAGTAAATTTAACGGATTGTTTCTATAAACTTTACACCTCGTAAAAAAAAAATAGAAAAATGTGGTTTTGAGTATTTAGTTTTATATTGTGTAATTAAATCATGTATCTCAGCTGAGCATATAATTTGTGCTACTTCATTAGTGCAATAAAATGCAGGTTTAAATCAACATTNATTCAAATCAAAATTTAAATCGAAAGCCGTCTTCGTCAAAAAAATTTCTCAGGATCAAAATTTGGCTTTGTGTAAGAAAAGCAAATGTTTAAAATAAACACTTTTGAAAGGAAATTGAGTCTTTGACACATAACTCCTGATTTTTTAATCCCTATATCTTTGCAACCTGATGTCTTAGACCTTAGACAACTCACAAACATTGTTCAGCTTTTGATTTTTCTTTCTAGAATCATGCATATCTCGGTAATTTTCTGTAAAAATCCATAAAAATTAGTTAGCAATTTTAATATCTCTCGTATTAAAGATGTCCACTATGGGAACCGGTCTTGGTTTTCTTAAAATCAAAAATTCTTTTATAGAACTGATCTATTTACATTATTACTGATACATACAGAGGTGTAAAGCAATCCTTTATATTATCTAGGTTGGGAGTAGACGCAAAGAACGGTGGGAAACGTCAGTTTAACGGTATTCTGGATGTTTACGTTAAAACCATCAGGTAATTAAACTCTTTATGGGACTGTCATCGAATTTCAAAGCGTTTCTCCAATTAGAATTGACAAAGATAGCCTTGAAACCTTAATCTGATCCATAATGTGGAAAATAGAATTGTTTTTCTGGCTTGAAATTCTGATAATATCTCTGTTATTTTTCTGGTTTGAAATTCTGATAATATCTCCACTGTTTTCTGGTTTGAAATTCTGATAATATCTTCATTGTTTTCTGGTTTGAAATTCTGATAATATATCCATTGTTTTCTGGGTTGAAATTCTGATATCACCATTGTTTTCTGGCTTGAAATTCTGATAATATCTCTGTTGTTTTTCTGGCTTGAAATTCTGATAATATCTCCACCATTGTTTTCAGGTTTGAAATTCTGATAATATCTATGTTGTTTTTCTGGCTTGAAATTCTGATAATATCTCTGTTATTTTCTGGTTTGAAATTCTGATAATATCTCTGTTATTTTTCTGGTTTGAAATTCTGATAATATTTCCATTAGTGAAGAGAAGCCACAATTGAAAATAATCAGTTTTCAAAAACAAAAGTATGGATTATTAATTCATACATAATTTGACAACCCTTTTGTGAATCAGTGAAAGGTTACTTGAAATTATCTTTACAGTCTCTTTTATAAATTATATTTTTCAACAATTATTTTACTTCAACTATCTGACTGTTTTGTCGAAAATACTTTTATCTGCAAGAATCTCCAATCGGAGCACAAAATAGAACCCAATTATAAATTGTACGTTATCGGAATTTGTCCAAAATTTGAAATCCATAGTCGAAAAATAAAACCGGGGGTTAAAGAATACAAAGAAAATTTAAGCTGAAAATACTGCCCAGTGGGGTTTAGTGTGTTTGTGTTAAATGTCATCGGTTGTAAAGGCTTGTCATGGAGTGATGAGCGTGATGATTCGGGAAAATTACTTCAATTTTTTATTTCTTGCAGGGCTGATGGTGTACTGGGGTTGTACCGTGGTTTCTGGGTCTCTTGTACATGTATATTTATCTACAGAGGATTATACTTTGGCCTCTTCGATAGCCTCAAACCTATAGGTAAGCCTCGGCACTTTTTATAGCGTTAGCAAAAATTTTATTCTTTTAATTGTTTTTTAATCGTAGTAAATAGATAAATGAACTGCTGACTTGCCTCAAACTTAAAATTTCTAATTCTTAAATCTTTGCAACCTGACGGTACAGACCTTTAATATTTCATACTATGAATTCTGCTACATCAAATTGTCAAAGTTTAAAATATCAAATTTAGAGATTTTAAAACTTATTTTATTTCATTTTGATTATCAAATTAAGTATTTTACAAGTTTTCGACCTCTAAAAAATTCTCCTCCCCAAAAATTATTAACACTCAAAAATTATCTTTTAATTAGTATTGAATGAGGGTAGCTACTGGTTGCATACATTTCTCCTGGGTTGGATAGTAACTATCACTTCTGGTTTAGCAGCTTATCCAATAGATACCGTTAAACGACGAATGATGATGACGGCCGGCCAGGAGGTAGCTTTTTAGACGCATTACGGGCGTACGCAGGGGTTAAAATTATATAATGCAGTGGTAGGCGATTAAACTAATACAACAAAGACGACTTTTTAATTACATTTTGATTGTTAACAAGCTTTTTTCGAATTACAAGTTTACAAGTAAATAAATAGAAGCTTTTTTAATTGACTATGTTTATATGTATGTTTATATGCTGTTTAACAGCTTGATTCAAATCAAAATTTAAATCGAAAGACAAATATAAACAATTCCATAATATCTGGGACCTGATATTCTTTCAAATATAAACAATTCCATAATATCTGGGACCTGATATTCTTACAAATATACCACATATATTTAAAACTAATAAAAAAGTGTTAGAGAAACTGTTTTTCCTTTGTTTAAATAATTGAATTATATATAATCTGGTAAAAGAGAAATCGTTTATAATATAATTAATGAAACATCATATAAACAGTGAATATAGTAAAATTTATATTTTTCTTTAAAAAATTTGCTTCAATTCTGGACTGAAAAGAAATAAGACCAAAATCCAATTTATCACAATTACTTGGTGTAGACATTAAACACTATAGTACAACAAAACCAATGAAAATTTAATTAAATTAGTTAAAAGTCCCCTCTAGCTATTCAACATTGTTTTTTATTATTAGTTTAAACACAGAACAATGGCATTTATGTGATTTTTATATATTTCTTTGCGGAAACATTTCCAATTAAGTAACGTTAATTCTTATCCTTTTTAAGATTGTGAATAGACAAGTTAAGTTCTAGTTTAATCTTTCTACTGTTTTATGACAATAAACATCTCATCTACTTAAACTTATTTTCTGTATAATCCTTCCAAGTTGTCATTCTTATAGTTGCAAGAGAAAATATCCATATTTAAAAATCTATAATATTCTCTTTACACCTCATCTATACCTGTACTCTAATCTATATATATTTGTCTAGGTGAAGTACACCTCGTCTATACTGTACTCTAATCTATATATATTTGTCTAGGTGAAGTACACCTCGTCTATACTGTACTCTAATCTATATATATTAGTCTAGGTGAAGTACACCTCGTCTATACTGTACTCTAATCTATATATATTTGTCTAGGTGAAGTACACCTCGTCTATCCTGTACTCTAATCAATATATATTTGTCTAGGTGAAGTACACCTCGTCTATCCTGTACTCTAATCTATGTATATTTGTCTGGGTGAAGTACACCTGATCTATCCTGTACTCTGATCTATATATATTTGTCTAGGGCAAGTACACCTGATCTATCCTGTACTCTATAATCTATATATATTTGTCTAGGTGAAGTACACCTCGTCTATCGCCTGCTTGAAGGAGGTTGTAGCTAGAGAAGGTTACTATGCTCTGTATCGTGGTGCTGGAGTAAATATAGTCCGTGGAGTAGCAGGAGCTGGAGTACTCACAGGATTTGATAAATTCAAACAAATCTATATTTCGAGACGGAAACATGTCTGCTAATATGTCATAGTTAACAGTAACAGGTCTATGTATAAGGACTAGAACGAAAAATGCATTTATTATAAACCAATGTTTGTTTAAAAAATTCAAACTTACCTTTGTTTTTGTGAATCTTGAACCCAATTTTGAAGAAGAAGTTTTATTTGCAACCCTGGACCATCACTCCATTCTTTCAACAGAAAAATTAAGATATTAAACTGAAGGAGAACCGAGTTTTGGAAATAGGCACGCATGCAAAATATATTACAGTTTGCATTTTTTACTTTTTATTTGCACAAACTTGCTAAATATTGAAGTAACAATTATTTCTCTACTGAATACTGAACAATACAAATACAACGAGGTTTCGTAGTTCTTCTCCTCCCTTGGATTCGTCCCACTCCTCCCTTGGATCCGTCCCACTCACCCCTTGGTTCCGTCCTGTTCTTCCCTTGGATCTTTCCCACTCCTTCCTTGGATTCGCCCCAATCTTCTCCTCCCTTGGATCCTCCCCACTCTTCCCTTGAATCCGTCCCACTTCTCCCTTGGTTCCATCTCAATCTTCTCTTCCCTTGGATCCGTCCAATTCTTAACCTCGCGCTCAAACCTCAACAAAATTTCTTGTTAATTCATGTTTTTTAAATGTCTATTTTTATAATTATATTTTATAGATATCATATAATTTTTTATAAGACTATCCTTAATATCAAAATATAGATGTTGTCTTCCGATCATATTCTACTCTACAGTCTACACCAGTAACCTTAATCATTTAGAGATATTAGAATAAACAAATATATTTATCATTCTCAATAAAACTTTTTTATTCGGTTTGAAGCAAGTTCTGTTCGATGTTCTCAAATGTTGTCATTTCATGTTTAAATGAAGTTCATAAACCAAAAATAAGTGTTATATTTTTCACCCCAAATTTTTACAAATATAAACAATTCCATAATATCTGGGACCTGATATTCTTGCAAATATAAACAATTCCATAATATCTGGTACCTGATATTCTTTCAAATATAAATAATTCCATAATATCTGGGACCTGATATTCTTTCAGATATAATCAATTCCATAATATCTGGTAACTCCTATTCTTGCAAATATAAACAGTTTCATAATATCTGGGAACTCCTATTCTTACAAATATAAACAATTCCAGAATATCTGGGACCTGATATTCTTAGTAACTCCTATTCTTTCAAATATAAATAATTCGGGACCTCCTGTTCTTACAAATATAAACAGTTTCATAATATATGGTAACTCCTATTCTTACAAATATAAACAGTTTCATAGTATATGGTAACTCCTATTCTTACAAATATAAACAATTACATAATATCTGGTAACTCCTATTCTTACAAATGTAAACAGTTTCATAATATATGGCAACTCCTATTCATACATACAAATATAACAAGGTTCATAATATATGGTAACTCCTATTCATACAAATATAAACAGTTTCATAATATATGGTACAGGGTTAGAGTCTATTATAGATGAGAATGTGCTAGAACTCTTATAGCTAGTGGCTGATATTAGGAATCTGGCATAATGTTGGATGTCCGTTGAAGTGGTTTAACTTCATCTTCTTTAAACGAACCTTTTCTTTAACAATCATCTGGTTTATAATGCCACAAAAATCCGGGAAAAGAACCAAAATCAGAGCAAATATAGAACCCTACTGTCTACAAGCTTTCTCTAGACATGACTTAGTATTATTCATTTCAAGTGTGGAAGGAGGACACCCTGAGAGTCTGATTTGATTTGACAAAGGATAAGAGTTAAATGACTTATATAATTTTGATTTTTTTTTTTAAATAATTTTCTATGGCGCTGGATTTTCGAACATTCCTGGAAAATATGAAAATAAAAATGAAACAGGAAATTTTTTTTCAAAAGTAACTTAGATCATGAAAAATACAAAATATTATGAAATATCAATTATTTAAGAATGCGTAGAAAAATAATCGATGACATTGTTTGTAATATCTGAATGAATTGTTTGGAATTAAATAGATTTGTTTACGATCCAAGTTGAATGTTGCATCTTTCTGAATTTGTATGGACACTACGTTCTCCGGTGTGAGTCGTTTTTAGCAATTTTCTCCTTATAATATTAGTAGCGATCAAAATCGCTTTTTTATCGCATTGAGCCTATTTTTCGCGAACACTCCCTTTAATGTGTGCTGTAGTACTAATTGTTAAACCCTCAAAAACTTTATTACTTTTAAGACAGGGTAATAAAACCGATTTTTTGTAAAAATGTCAATTTATGAATATATAGGGTAGAGTAGAGGGTGGTCTGTGTCTCAAAAAATTAGAGGTCTAAATTTTCAAAAAATGTATAAAAACCCAACGACATTTTTAAGGAAAGAAATATACAACAGAATAAAGCGTACAAATGAAAATAAGTAAAGTATACATATACTCTATGTAATTTGAGTTGTCTTTCTATTTAGTGGTTTTTGGGTTATCTACAATTTTTTACGTATTCCTACAAAGACAATATTTATCTAAGTTGAATCTTGGACAACATGTCGTCTTTCTTTTTACATTTGATACTTGTGACGTTGTGCGCAGTTGGTCGATTTTACTATCATAGTTGTAATGTAGTTTTAGTTTATAAGTACTATATTTTGAACCACAGTGTGATTTTGGACTTGTATCAAAATTGATTAGACTAACCTTGTAAATTAGAAATAAATACATAATTATGCTTTATTCTTTTAAGACTTAGGGAAAATAGCTTGAGAGAAAACTTAGAAAATTAAGTCTTAGAAAGTTTAGTAAACCATAATGCAAATCATTTGATATCTGTTTATGAATATTTCATTTCCCAAGGAATCCCATCTTCTTAACTTCCATCTCCAGCATAAAGAACAAGGTCCGCTTCCACATGTACATGATAAGATTAGATTAACTGCAGTTAACTAAGTTAAGGCAAAGTCTTGTCAATTGAATTTTCACTGAACCAAGGTCTTAGCTTAAGCCATAATAAATAATCAACGAATAAAGTCCCGCGTGGCATTTAACATCAAGGCGACGTTGATTAAATATAAGTAAATAAAATGTCTTAGATTTAATAGAAACAAAGTTTATATTAAAGGTATAATTTATTAAGGTCTAATATAGATATCTTTTCATCAGCTTGAAGCGTCTTCTCAAGGATTCGTCCTAAACAGAAGGAGTTATTAAATAGGAATAGTCATTTGGTAGTAATGTGGTAGTAATTATGTTGAAGTTCTAGCTAGCAGAACAAAAGGTACTCAACAATAGCACAGGGTTACCCACAAAGGATGAGACTGTAAAGTTGACCTAAAACTGGTTTGATGTAACGATCCCTAGGTTAAATTAAGTCTTCTGTCTTACCTATAATCTTTTAATGGCTTATTTAATAATCTGGCAAAGAAAGAAAAAAGTTTACAGTTGCGGTGAATCGTATGTAAAAGGAAACAGACAGTTTAAATTCTGTACAGTCGTCACTGAAGTTTCACAGGCTTACGTTCCCTCTGAACAAGAAGACAAATTATGGCTTAATGCTTTAAAACTCGAAGAGACAACGAAAATAGGAGATAACCGAGTTTGTGCTCTACATTTGATTTTCAATAAATGATTAAAACACTTTTGTATTTTATTGGGTTTTTTGTTGTTGTTTTGAATGATGCTTTAAAGGGAGTGTTCGCGAAACATGAAAGGGGGTATAGGCTTAATGCGATAAAAAGAGCTTTTGATCGCTACTAATCATAATTCTATCTGAATTGCGTCTATAAGGAGAAAATTGTTAAAAACGACTCACACCAAAGAACGCAGCGTCCATACAAATTCGGAAAGATGCAACATTCAACTCGGATCGTAAACAANGATCAAACTGTTTTTGGTCATATGTTGAGTAAGTGTAAACCTCTTAAAAACCTCAAATTTGTCAGTGTGTGAAAGAGAGAGAGAAATGTATTAAAGATGTTCTATGGTTAAAAAGTATACAGAAAACACAGAAATGTAAACAATTCAATATATTGATAATAATATAATAATATATTATAAAGTAACAATAATATATTCAATATGTAAACATGTATCAAGAGAAACCTGGGCTAGGTTCAACTTTGTTTGGCTCCGAGCTCATATATTGACCTGGAGTAAAGTTTGAAGATCGAACCCATCTGCTCACTTAGTTATATTAATTTCAGACTTTAGGTACAGGTTGTCCCAATAAAAGTGAATGAATATTCACTATGGTCCCAATAAACGTGGGAATTAAGTGACGACTTCTAGATCGTCTTCGATCCATGTGGCATTTTTTCATGAACACAATAATTGCAGTTTACCTTCAATATCGAAAACACCTTGTCTTGAAAATTTTCTTAATATCTAATATCTTCGATAATTTTTAAGACACGAGAAAAGTATATATTCTCAGTAGACCACTTTATTGAAAGCTCATAAGACTATACAGCCTCAGTTTTATACTTTCTTTGTCATGCATTAAATATCAGAAATAAAAGACGACTTTCAATTCGTATCTCAATTCCCATGTTTATTGGGACGCATTGTAGATTAAATCAATTAAAGAGACTGTATGCTCAATTTCAAGTGACTCTCCATTTAAAAAGTATCACGTCAGATTCACAACGTTGTCTGATCAAGAAAGAATGAGCTATCCACGTTTATCTTTAAAAAAATTACCATTTTCAATTATGGCTTCTCTGTAAAAGTGACTTGCAGATTTCTGCTTACGAAAACAATGGAGTTAATTGTCGGAATTATACACTTTTAAAGCAAGAAAAATTCTTCAATATTGTTAATTGGGTCATGCTTCTCTTTTCTAAATGGAGGTTCACTTGAAATCACAACGAACATATTGAAAGGAAAGTAGAACAATTAAAGAAAAAAAAACTAAAAACCTAGAATCAAAGTGAAGATGGCATAGAAACCAACTTAAAGGAAACCAAGCTTGTCTGAGTCACTAGTCAGGGAGTAAGGAATAGAAGGGAGATATAACTGACGCGGTTCGCCCTACCATATTATTATACATGCTTTGCAGACGAGTACTTCATTTGTATATGAAATGTTCAGAATAGGTTATTGTATACGCAGTAAATGTACATCAGACAAATACTTCTTATACAAATGGAGTACTCGTCTGCAAAGCATGTATAATCATATGGTAGGGCGAACCGCGTCAGTTGTATCTCCCTTCTATTCCTTACTCCCTGGTCTGAGTTCCATTCTTCTCTTTTTTGCGCTTCTCAACTATAAGTTTCAATAAATACAACTATACAAGAGAACTCATTATTTAGATAAATCAATTATCATAATCTTATCTTTGCTAGAAATTATTGTATAGTGGATCTCTGGAACAAAGCATGATTTCCTCTTTATGTTAATCTGCAGATTAATTTAATCTTTTTTGATATCCAGGAAAGTGTATAAAATTCAACCAATCAGAGTGTCGTTTGCAGAAACCGAACAGCCAATTAGAAGCCAGAAGTTTTATGCGCAATCAATTATAGAACTCAGAACTCAGCAAAAGAGAGGATTAAGCAGAAAATCAAAAGTGTCCACATTGGATATCGAGATAAAGCGAACAGGATTAACGGCAACCAACATAAGAGTTTCCAGCTCTGGTTGACGAAATAAACTGGAAAAAAGTCCCTCTTACATTAAAAGTCTTTGTACGCTATTATAGTGTCTATAGCTTTTGTTTTGTTTTTGCATACAAAGTTATACGAAATTCTACTTCGCAACCATTGAATAACCGTTGAATAAATGAAGGGATCTTATAGACGCAGCAGATAGAAGTAATATTAGTAGTGATTAAAAGCGCTTATTTTTCGCCAAGAAACCTATACCCCCTTTTTTTCGCGAACATTCTGTTTAAGGTACCATAAAAGATCAAATTTTATCCTTAAAAAACTGAAAATTTTAGATTTCGATAGAAATAATTTATTTACACATTTTTGTTTTTTAAACTTTTGAAAACTACAAATTTTCAAAAAATATTGAAAAAACACCATTAGAGAGAGTTGCACAAAAAAGGTACAATTTTTCAGCAGGCGCCGCAAATCACATTTTTTTTACTCACCCTGTATATAAAGTAGTAATCTCTGTTTGTTTGCTTGTATGTACTATCACAACTTATCAACCCCTTAAACGATTTGTCTCAAATGTTGTAGAACCATTGGAATGTTCTTAGTATTGTTTAATAGTTCCAAGTGGTTGACTTTTACAGGCTAAAATGGGTTCCCAAGCCAGTATTTAAGTAAAACTATTAACATTCGGTAAACATTTGAATCATATTGTTCCAGTAACTTTTGAAATCACTTTTACCGCCTTTTGCCCAACATTACCGACCTATGATTCTCCCAACAAAGGGAGTTTATGTTACTTAACGTCCCTTGGGACAGAGCATTTTCATCTCAAAAACCGTTGTTTGAAACTACTTTTTCGGGAAATAAAACTTTTCACTTAACCACAGGTTTTGTCTACAAAACATCACTCGCTGTGCTATAGATGTTTTGTAGGTAAAATTGGTCTTTGGATCCCTTGGTAAAGAAAAATTCCCTTAACTTCCTTGAAAAGTAGTTGTAAAATAATTATAACAACCTTTAAGTCTTCAATTTAAATTGGTCTGTTCAAATTAAGTAAAGTTAGAATGTAAAAATACCTGAATAGGATTAAGCAAACCTTGCTCCTAATTCCCGGGATATTACAGCAATAATAATCCATGATTCTTACTTTTCCAAGTAAAGTTAGAATGTAAAAATACCAGTAGCTCCGGCTCATTGAACCTGGATAGGATTAAGCGAACCTTGCTCCTGATTACGGGGATATTACAGCAATAATAATCCATGATTCGTCTTACTGATATAATTGTATATATTAGAGATTGTACTCTCCTCTACATGTACAGTGAAATTAAAATATTATTTAAAATATTTTCCAATAAAATCTATTTCCTGAGTACAAATCTACTGATATGCTTATGAATTAAAAAAGTTATTTTAAAGAAATAAACATGATTTATTATCTTTAATTTGTATATCATTTAAATATATAACTTTAAGATATTTTTACAAGAAACTATATTTGAAGTTAAAAAGTTTCATGTTTTTTCGTACCAACTGTATCTATACAAATATAAATATATATAAATATATGAAGGATGGATGGGGGTACGAATAGAGATCTCTCATTTCTATTGACAGTAATATATTCAGTAAGAGCGCTATTATTTGTGAAAAACCTGGATCTGGCATCTGTACAAAGATATCAGTCAACCAGGAGTAATTTATCCTAGTAACCAGCCCACACAGGGAGAAGAACACTATTCAATCCATTCATATCTCACCCTGTAGTAGAGATTTTTACCCTGTACTGGAGATATTCACCCTGTAGTGGAGATATTCACCCTTTAGTAGAGATATTCACCCTGTAGTAGAGATATTCACCCTGTAGTAGAGGAATTCACCCTGCAGTGGATATATTCACCCTGTATTAGAAATATTCACACTGTAGCGGAGATATTCACCCTGTAGTGGAGATATACACCCTGTAGTGGAGATATTGACTCTGTATTGTAGATATTCACCTTGTAGTAGATGTATTAAACCTGTAGTGGAGGTATTCACCCTGTAGTGAAGATAATCACCCTGTAGTAGAGATTTTTACCCTGTACTGGAGATATTCAACCTGTAGTGGAGATATTCAACCTGTAGTGGAGATATTTACACTGTAGTTGAGATATTAACCCTGTAGTAGAGGAATTCACCCTGCAGTGGATATATTCACCCTGTATTAGAAATATTCACACTGTAGCGGAGATATTCACCCTGTAGTGGAGATATACACCCTGTAGTGGAGATATTGACTCTGTATTGTAGATATTCACCTTGTAGTAGATGTATTAAACCTGTAGTGGAGGTATTCACCCTGTAGTGAAGATAATCACCCTGTAGTAGAGATATTCACCCTGTAGTAGAGATATTCACCCTGTAGTAGAGATATTCACCCAGTAGTGGAGATATTTACATTGTAGTAGAGATATTCACCCAGTAGTGGAGATATTCAACTGTACTGGAATTATTCATCCTGTAGTGGAGATATTCACCCTTCAGTAGAGATATTCAACCAGTAGTGGAAATATTCACCCAGTAGAAGAGATATTCCCCCTATAGTGGAGATATTCAACATGTAGTGGAGATATTAACCCTGTAGTACAGATATTCACCCTGTAGTGGAGATATTCACCCTATAGTAGAGATATTCACCCTGTAGTAGAGATATTCACCCTGTAGTAGAGATATTCACCCTGTAGTAGAGATATTCGCCCTGTAGTAGAGATATTCACCCTGTAGTTGAGATATTCACCCTGTAGTAGAGATATTCACCCTGTAGTGGAGATATTCACCCTGTAGTAGAGATATCACCCTACATGGAGATATTCACCCTGTAGTGGAGATATTCACCCTAAAGTGGAGATTTTCGTCCTGAAGTAGATATATTCACCCTGTAGTAGAGATATTCATCCTGTAGTAGAGATATTCATCCTGTAGTGGAGATATTCACCCTGTAGTAGAGATATTCACCCTGTAGTGGAGATATTCACCCTGTAGTAGAGATATTCACCCTGTAGTAGAGATATTCACCCTGTAGTAGAGATATTCACACTGTAGTAGAGATATTCACCCTGTAGTGGGAATATTCACCATCCGGTCTAAACTGTTCCCTCAAAAGAGTTATGATTTATTTAAGTTAAAAGATCTACTATAAAACAGAAAAGCTCGAGAAATCTTGAAAAAGTGTTGGACTAGAAAAATAATGCCACTGCTCAATGTTTTATATCAAACAAGAATATTATTTGTTTACTCTAGGACTAGATCTGATGATGATCAGAGCAGTTTCAACACAATTTATGGGCCCTCATTTCCTTCACTATGGTCTTATATTGCAAAATATTTGTGCAAAATATATAACCGGACCATTTCTGCATCAGAACCTTACTTTCCAGACAGTGTAAATAAAGTCAAATATGTTTCTAAATTATGGATTTCTTAAATCGATATTAATTGTTTCATTACTAGTAGGCTTTCCTATTTCTGTTAAAATTTTATTTTCAGATTCTTGCTTTTCAAGTCGCCATTTTTCATCGAATTAAAAAAAAGAAATTTTCGCCGATTTTTCGGCATTTGCCATTTTATGTTGCGTGCGCATGCCCCGTAAAATTCCAAAACAAAGAGAGGGGGATTGAATTTTGTAGATCCAGAAAAACAATATCTGTGGGATGCCTGCGTTGAGACTGGCAGCTGGTGGGGTCTTAAATGTAAGACATGTGGACGCAGCGCTCGGCCCCATAGCCTGTCCTAGCCGCAGCGCTCGGCTCCCTAGCCTGTCCTAGTCGCAGCGCTCGGCACAGAACGTGTCTTAGCCTAACCTAACCCTAAATAAATACTAATTTCTGGATCTACAAAATTCAATCCCCCTCTCTCTGTTTTGTAATTTTACGGGGCATGCGCGCGCAACATAGAATGGCAAATCCCCAATTTTCTTTTAAATCTTGTAGATTTTCAATAAACAAAAGAGGTTGATAATGTTTTCACCACAAAATTTTTTAATTTTATTCAGCCATAAATACTGCTTGGGTTCATGTGAGTTACCACAAAATTGTGCAATTTTTTTCAAAATTGTAAAAAAAAAATATTGGTTTATCTCCGTTTGAATATTTTCTGAAGGTTTCTATTGAAAATTTTCTCCGAAAATAAAATTGAATATTTCACAGCGGACAAATTTCCCAGATATATAAAATGAAAATTTCATAAAACATATATTTTTGACAGGTTTGAATTTATTTCCAGTGCATATATTCTTTTCTTTTTATTTCAAGTCTTACACAAGATTATTCATGTTTCATGTTGGAAATGGAATAGAATAAAAGATTGACTGGAGAATATTTTTTGAAAAAATAAAGCTACTGAACTTAAAATTCAATTAAACTTTAAGGATGTCAGCTAAACTTAAAAAGGAGAGAAACTTTTTTTAAGCTTTGATTCCCATGGCATAAACATTTCAATTTAATTTATTTCTGTACATTTAAAACGACAATTCTGAAAAATGGCAGAATTTCTTATTTCAATCGTGGTGTATTTTCCAATTGGAAAAAATCAGAATTTTTTGTTGTAATATTTTTCAATCCAGACTTGCTACAAACTATGCTGCGAGGAGTATGTAATATCCAACAACAATTTGTAACGTTCTGTTGTTTGTTCCTTTGAATAATATTGTTGGTTGAGCCAGGATTCTTAAACCTGGTGGCTACCTCCTCCTCACTATGCGAGATGGTATTGCAGAAACCAGTCCCAGGTAAAATACCCCTCCCTGTTTTTCAAACGGTGATTTAAACGTGAAAAAGCGTAATTTTATTTTTCGAAAAACGTAATTTTATTTGCAAAAACTAATTTACCATAATTTTCGTCATAAGCACGTTATCACACTACCTTTCAGAAACCTCGTAATTAGTTTAAATATCTCATAATAATTACGAAAATTACCTCCTCTTTACTATGAGACGAGGGCATAAAGGTACTGTAAGCCTTCGAGTGACCCTTCATGCAAAGACGGCAACGCTGGATTCACAACAGTACCCTTGAAGCATTTATCTGCTTAATGATTAGAAGATATTGTTCTTCAGGTTTAAAAGTTTCGATTCCCGGAAGTAAGAATTCTAAAGTCACTTTTGTAGAGAAACCTCAATTGAAAATAAACAGATTTCAAAATTATAAACATTCATTTTTAATTTATACTTCCCTTTTATAGGTACTAAAGGGTACTATTGTGAATCGGACATTGTCAGTCCTTTTAAGGATGTCACCGGTTTGGTACACCAAAGGGGCGTAATCTTTTAGGTTGATTAAAAAAATGTATGTCATTGACCTCTAGGAACAATAATATTCCATATTTTGAACAGTGCCTAGTGCCTATAAATACATTGTTTAAACTAATTGCTGCAGTAGTCCATTGATGTAATTAATAAGACTTAAGTACGATCCTTTATTGACAACTGTGTGAATATTTTTATTTGTTTTCCTTGTTTATTTTCTTATTATTCAATTTTTGTGTAGGAAAATACTTCTATTTTTCCCTCTCAAGCTAAGCTAAAATAAATTACATGTTATGAAAAGTTACTTTGATTAAATAATGTTCAGAGGGGAAACACTGCATCTCCCATGGGAGTAGTAGAAGTGGTTGTTAATAAACGATTTGTATTGTGTTATGTTGGGTAAACATGCACTTCAGGATTAATTTAGTAACTTTATAACTTACAGAGGTTAAACAGTTCTCAGGACTGTGAAACATTACGTCAATGTACACTGCGTTTCAAGTTATTTTGAAAGTACGTTTTTTTCCCCCCAACTCAACTAATTATTTTTCAATTTCTTCATTTTACAAAAGTTTTCAGGTTTTTAAATATGTATTCAAATTTGTGTGTACCTGAGTTGTACACAGTACACACAAAGTGTAAAATTGTTCTTTTATGGGGGATCAAATTATTATGCAAATGGAAACTTGGTTATTTAAATCACAGAATAATGGTAGTTAAAGGTGATCTGGAGTGAAGGGTGAAAACAAAAAACTTGAGTAACTTGCTGCCTGTACAGTGTATATATATATACATTGAAAATTTTGAAGATTTAAAACTGAGATCAATTAACAGTCCATTCTTTTTTAAAGACTTTATAAGAATGGTACAAACTTTTCATTAAGATGACTTAACGAAGAAAGCAAAAAAATTCACAAAATTGAGAATCAAGTTCAGCCTAACACCCCAGGTTACCAGTTTAAACACTGTTTTAGGTCATTATTTTGAAAATTACGTACAGGGTGGGAAAGGGAATCATTTTCTGGATGGGATCATCAGGGAAGAGATCATTGGACCAATCAAGGTTGAGGATGGTGTCAAGTTTTGGTCCAAGGTTTTTTGTGGGTTCCTGAAGAACCATTTTATGCTTTGGTAGAGAAATCTGAACTCTGTGGTTCATAAAAAGTTCTAACAAGACAATGCCCTTTGGTTGGGCAAGAGGTTTTAAAAAAAAATGGAAGAGTCTGTTAACGAGCGGCAAAAACCATTAATTTTTAGATGGTTAATGAAAGGGATTAGCTGTTTTTGAAAAAAAATGATAGTTAAAACCAAAACGAATCTGACTTTTTTTAAACGCAGATTTTTTTTTATATGTTAAACTTGTAACAATTTCAATAACTATAAGGAAAAAAAATTTGGCTTTGTGTTTAGGCCGTTAATACTGTAATAGACCATTAATGACGTATACTAATGGCTGTGCTGGTAACGATTACATTAACTGTTAACAGATTTTGCCACTTTACGTCTTTAATGCCATTGATTCTGTACTATATAATATGTTATCTTACTATATAATATGTTATTTTTACTATATAATATGTTATCTTACTATATAATATGTTATTTTTACTATATAATATGTTATCTGTACTATATAATATGTTATCTTACTATATAATATGTTATCTTTTCTCTGGAGCTGCTGTTTTATCTATACTTGAATAGATAATGATGTTCTTTAATTTTAATTTCACACAAAAGAGAACTCTACTCAGCACTACTATAACTCTTGTTAATCCCGTAGTCCAAAATTCTTGAAAAAGTTTTCTTTTCTCTGTTAAGAAAATGAATGTAATATGAATTTTGGAAAGAAAAAATGATAAAATGTATCCGTAAACTAAAAGATTTTTTTCTAACTAATATACAAATGTATTAGCATGCCACTATCATAAAACAGTTTGTTGTAGAAATACTATAAATAATTTTGTATATTTGATGTAATCTCGATACGGAGAAAATAAATATCTAGATCTTAAAAAAGATTCTGTAATAATGGTACCATTAACGGTTGTCAAAAATATTTCATTAACGCTTTTAATAAAAATGAGATCATTAACTCACGGTAATTCTTAACAAAACAAAAAATACCATATTTTGTTCTTACCCTCTAAAACAAACAGCTTGCTGAGATTTGATCTTAGTAAGAGTTGCAACTAACTGTTAACAAAACGGCTTGAAAAAGTTGGAACTTGTCCAGCCCTACCCCTGGCATGCATCTAGGGAGAACATGGGTTGACTTGATAATCAAGGATTCAGTGACCAAAAAAATAATGTATAAAAGGCAAAATGCCCTGTCCTAAAGAAGAAAATTTACCACTCTGGTAGGCAATATATAGCTTATAGAGAGAAAAAACTATTTTTTTAAATTTTCTTCCTTTCCCTTTGAACCTTTGAATGATAACTTGAAACACAGAGTGGTATGGTTGGAATTTCAAGCAACCTTTTTTACATGGATGGACATTAGACAATGAACATGTCTGATATGTACACAATACCCATTTTACCTTAAAAAGATCAATAATGTGGAAGATATTGACACTTGAAGCTTAAAAGATGTTAAATACTAAAGTTCCTAATCCGTATAAAAGCAGAAATAGAGAAATTGCAATTGAACAAAATATTTTTCAAAATTATAGATATCTCATGCCTTCCTGATCAGAAAAACCTTTTATGGATACTGTTGTACATTGGACATGTCCATATTAAATAAAAATGGGAGTCACTTGAAATCCCCTTTAACAAAAATAGATTTTATAAATAGTCCTGGTAAGAACTTTTAAAAAAGGGAATGTAACCGTAATTTTATGTTACTCTCCAATCTCCATACAAAGATATCAATAACCAATTTACATCGTTATCCTTGAGCCCTTCATCTGATACAAATAGATATTTTCATTTTTCTAAATTTAAAATTGTTTAATTCTAATAATTCCTGTGTTTTCCTGCTGCAGAAAATCGCAGGTCACTTCTTTAGAGAAAGCCCTATTAAAAATAACCAGTTTTTAAATTTATTAACATGGATATCTAATTCATACTTGATCAGACAAAGCTTTAAAGGGCACCTTTTAATCAGGCATTGCCAGTCTTGCATGAAGGCCTAATGGTCACTTGAAATTGCGCCCTCAGTCCCTTTAATACTTAATTCAGAATTTATATAGGCTCCACAAATTTGAGAATGCTTAAATATTTAGTTTAATCAAATTTAGCGTTAAGAAACGAATGGGAAAGGTGATAATGTCTTTAACAGTTAGTTTTTGTTCTGATGGAAAGTATAATTAAGTTTCTAAGCTATTAGAACTATTTACAACAATCACAGTCTAGACACCAGGGGTATATACTATTCACAAGATTTTCTTTCCCCTGGTAACAAAAAGTTTACTTTTCTTCCATTTACTATTTTCATGAGGTACTTGAGAGCACTTAGGGGTACAGGGGGTAGTTCAGAGTATACTTAGGGGTACAGGGGGTAGTTGGAAGTATACTTAGGAATACAGGGGGTAGTTGGGAGTACTTTATACAGGGGGTAGTTTGTCGAGTACTTGAAAGATACATGGTGTAGGTGGGAGAAAGGAATTCACGGTGTAGGTGGGAGAACTTAGGGATTCTTGGTGTAGTTGGGGTAGTTGGTAGTATTAAGGGGTACAGGGGTTAGTTGGGAATACTAAAGCATACATGGTGTAGGTCGTAGAACTTAGGGATACCATGGGTAGTTGGGAGTAAACTTGGGAATACAGGGGGTAGTTTGGAGGATTTTGAGATGGTTTTTACGAGAACTTAACCTTATTATTTTCTCCATTTTGGGCAATGAAATATGCGGGAATTCCTTTATTATGTCATCCGTACAAAATGTGAAACCGCAATTGATCAAGGGGAAAGAAATATTTTTTTCTGATAATCTTATTTAATACAATTGTTAAGGTAGGAAATAATGTTCAATTGCAAAGATCTTTTATGTTTACAAAGCTGTAGCTATTTTAACTTGTAAGCAGTGCTAAGGATCCAATCAATATTGATAGTGACCTGGATCCATGCTGGAAAAAAATTAAAAAATTTTCTAAGAATTACTGATATTTTGAACAGAGTAAGAATTTTCAAAATAATTTTCTTCTTTTTTTCGTTTTTTTATGCTAACACGTGATAAATCATTTAGGGATTACGAATTTAGAACAAACTCTCTTTTTGTTCAACAGTTCAGATTTGGGTTCTAAAAGCAAAAAAACTCTTTTGGTTGATATTTGAGGGAGACCAAATAAAAAAGTAAGAATACATACAGCTGCGAGACATTAAATTTTGTACCGATCTTACTGACTGTAGTTAAGTGGTTTGGGGGGTAAAATAATTGTTTTACTTTTGCATGATCTAGTTTTGTTCAATAAAAAAAAACATCTTTTGACAAGAATATTTTGAATGGTTTATTGTAAGATATTTGTGAACTGTTAAGTGTATACTGTATATGATGGGATAATATATCCTGAAGATGGTGAATATTATGGATTAAAGATGAATAATCTCCCCCATTTAAGAATATTATGCAGCATAATTTAGTAAAGGGGATGAAGTAGGGGGGTGGGGGGATATTTTCTCATTGAGTAAGAAAGAAACAAACATTGAAACACCTTACCCCTATGAAAGAAAAGATTAACTGCTTTATCATCATTAGCATAATTATGAATACGAGCATATGAGGATAAGTAATCCACTAAAATTGACCAATCACATCCTTCGTAATTCTAAGTCACCTTCCAAGTTAAGATGGCGATTCATTATAGTAGTCACAAAGTGTTTAATTCTGATAATTGCTATGTATTTTGATGCAAGTCACTTTTGTTGAGAAACCACAAGAAAATTTTCAGGTTATGGTATTATAAACATTGATATCTATTTGGCTTCGCTCAATAACAACAAAGTTTCTAGTAAAGAAATACTTTATTGACTATATTATTATTATTATTAGTAGTAGTATTAAAAGACAAACCTTCACTCAATGAGGTTGGGGTCTGCGCTCCTCTCCGACCTAACGTATCCAAGGGTAGTATTTCCACCACCCCGGTAGGAAGCTTACTGCTGGGCGGTCCACCCAGAGCAGAATCATTTCTGATTCTTTATTGAGCTATTCATGTATTTTCAGGAGCCATGCCTCTATCACAATAGCCATTCTCCTTCCTCTTTCCAGTAGGACCATTTTTGAAGTGCCATCACCTCCCAAGTAAGCTCTGAGGACAGACTGAGGTGTTCTTTGTCCATTGGTCACAGCCTTTGCCTTGTAGGCAGACATCTTTAGGCTTCTTGTAGCTGTGCAACAGCTGGACAGCAAAAAAGTATGTGAGACTCTCTCAGAGCCACTCTCTTACCATGGACAACTTCACAGTGTGGGTACCACTCGTACGCCTTGCCATAGCGGTTCTTAAACCTGTTCCCTAACAGAGTATTCCTGCCTCTGACGCAACATAATGCCCTACTAGCAGCAGAGTCGTCAACATGATCCTGAAGGGCAAACCACTTATCTGGTTATGGGACCACTCTCATTGTGGTGTGCTCCGCCTTGACCTGGAGCACATAGTCTACTGATACATTAGTCAGTGCTTTGCTTAGGGACTGGTGTGTCGGAAAGTCAGTTAGTATTCCTACTTCCTTTGGATTGCCATCCAGGCCTTGGTGTATGGGTCCGTGGGTTGTTCCAGCTGGAACTTAAGCACAGCCTGTATCAATGGATTGCTTCTCTTGCATATTAAAGTCCAGATGTAGTTTGCTCGTCGGATCATGATGTGGTCCTTCGTTGGCATCAGCCCAGCATCCATCCATGCTAAAGTGCGTGAAGTTGTACTAGGAACTTGTAAGATGAACCGGCCTACCATGTTTGTATACGCTCCAGTTCCCTCACAGTGGTCTTGGATAGCACCATGGCCTCCGTGCAGTACAGGATTCCTGGAATGGGGCAGTGTATCCACAATTTTCTTGCAATTAGGGCCCTGTCTAGTCCACTTCTTGTTAAGTTCATAATTGACATGGCCTAGCTTTTTGCCCGTTTAAGATTAGTTGCTTCGTAGTTGCCTACCATGCGTCCGTTGATCTGGATATCCACACCTAGGTACTTTGCTACCAGAACCTCCTCTATGGTTGCATCCTCTACCATCTAATTGAAAACATGTATATCTGGTGACGTGGCCTTGAACTTGAATTTCTTTGCCGCGTCTGGAATTCTGCTTAGCTTGGAATTGTCTTCCGTCACATCTATATCATACTTGATCAGACGAAGCTTTTAATGATATCTTTGTTTATCGGGCAGAGTCATCTTTGCATGAACTTATGCGCACAGAGCAGAAAACTTAAGAATGAGATATCCTTAATCCCAATGACTTAATCTGAGTAGCCAATGGACACACTTCTTCTTAAACCGTTCTTTCTTGGATATAGTAGAGAAAAATAAAAAACCATTTCTTTCAATTTAGAGAGTCCCTCCTGTTTCTGTACAAAATCTTAAATGGTCCGCAAAATTTCCAATTTATCGGCTTTATATATGCGACTCTGATTGGTTGAATTTTATACACTTTTCATAATACAAGTACAAGATTAGGTTCGTCTCTATATTAAGAAAAAGAGAGGATCAAGCATTAATCTCAGTATCCACCATTCTAAAATTTTCAGCTCAGTCCATTTGATATTACAACCCTAAAGATTAGTTATAATAATAAAACCATCTAATGATATAAAGGTAGACTTGACAAATGAAAAGATTATTTCTGCTAAGTCAATAATTAGACTGACCAGTGAGTTTTTTGTGTGTATTCTTAAGACATCGAAAATTATGTTTGTAGGTTTGGATTGATGGAGAATGATCTACGCCTGCTGGAAAAGAATGAGAAGTGTGAGGTAAAATTCTAGAATAAATTGCCTGGCATAATCATCAATAATATTATATGAACTAGACTTTTATGTTTATCAATCCCTTCTCTATTCGCAATTTTAGCATTTAAAAGTCTCCATTTTCCCCCCCCCCCCCAAAAAAAAAACATCTAATAAACATTTTATTGCTTAAAGTATACTGTACTATTGCAGGTTATAAATATATGTCAAAATATTTGTTATATTTTTACATTATTAACATTATTAATACAGTATGCATTCCTGTAGAATAGAATTATCTGTTCAAATCAGTACTTAGGATCCATTTTTCTTTTGATCCGGATCCTAGATCCGCCCAGCAAAAAAAAATTTTGAACAAAAGAAGAATTATTTTTCTTATTTTTTTTGCTTACTTTTGCAATAAAACTTGATGAACCATTAAGAAAAAAAGAAAATTTTAATAATCTCTCTTTTTTTCAACAGTTCAGATTATTTGTTTACAGTTTATGTTATTATTTTGTCCCTTGGATCCGAATCCGTGGATCCAGGAAGCCAAAATTCAGCGCTAGGAACTTATACTATATACATTATAAGGGATTAATGAAAATACATTCTCACCAAGTGATAGATTACCCGTCTGGCTTTCCATATTCTCAAATTTTAAGTTTATCTCCTTAAAGAGAAGGATTGAGTTTAATTAAATCCATTTTTTTCTATTTTCAATTTCAATATTTCTTAAATTATTAATTATTCAGGTGACCCTGGGCCCGGTACAGTTCGATAATTTTGTTCTGGATCATCCTGGTATTTTCTACATGATTAGGAACTTTAATCAATATCCACCAATCCAACTTAAATCCTTTTCTCATAATCCTTACTTAACCTGTATCAACTAATCTTTCCTTTAATCCTTATCCATTAACCTTCACTTTAATCCGCAACCACAAATCTACATTTTAATCTGTAACCATCAGTATCCACTTAAATCTTGATTAATTAATTTATACTTCTTATCCATTAATCTCTACTTTAATCCTTATCCATTAACCTTCACTTTAATCCGCAATCCTTATTCTTCAATTTAATCTGTGACCATTAATTTCTACTTAATAGTATCCAATATCTTCATTTTAATCCGTATTTATAAATCTCTACTTAAATCCTATTAACCTTTACAATTTAATCCATATTCAAATTTGTATTCCATACATGATCTTTAGTACATAATTCAAATCCATTAGTTCTCCCTTCATTCCTTATCCATAAATCTTAATCCGTATCTATCAATTTCTAATTTAATCCGTATTCATTAATTACTACTTTAATCCTTATTCATTAATCTCTACTTTAATCAGTAACCATTAGTTTCTACTTAAATCTTAATTCATTAATTTATACTTGAATCCTGTTCCATAAATTTCTACTTTAATCCTTATCCATTGATCTCTACTTTAAGCCTTACCCACTTATCTTTACTTTAATCCTTCTCCATTAATATCTACTTAAATACTTACTCATTAACATGTTCTTTGATACTTACACATTAATCTCCTATACCCTTAGTATACATGCCTTGCCCTAAGCCAACTCTTGCAAAAAAACGAGTTCTAAATTGTTATTTGGGAAAGTTGCAACATTTGGGTGGGAAAAGGATGGAAAAAGAATTTCATTTAGGGTGGAAATTACTAAAAAACCATACCCCCTTTCCCCCACATTTGGATCGAATTTGGGATTTAGTTACGGGAGGGGAAAGGAAGTACATTTTGGAGAAAACAACCGTACAACCCCCCCCCCCCCATCCTTCGTGAAGGATTAAGATTACTGCTTAATACAGGAAGGACCCCAACCTGCACCTGGCGTACATGGATACTCAACCCTAGACCACTGTACAGCTGTACATCAATATGTACACAGTGTACACCATAACCTTGCTGTACACCCAGTGTACTCTCTAGTGTACTGCTATTATGTACATTCCCATCTATATTTTTGGCTTCCATTTAATTTTCACAGTTTTCTCTGTGCCCGTTTTCACGAAAATTATGATCAAAATAGTTTTCCAATTTACTAAAAATCTGAATTACTGAAAAAAGAAATACTGTACGAATTACTGTGAAGAAAAACTGAACGAAAACTTTTTAAATTTAAACAATGTGATTGTACTAAGAAATATTATCATTACATGTATTACATTTTCATATTGGCAATAAAAACAACGTAAATTTTATATGATCTATAACGCATTTGAAAGAGACTGTAAGCGTAATTTCAAGTGACCCTCCATGCAAAGATACCAATGCCTGATTTACAACAGTATCCTTGAAACCTTAATCTGACAAAAACAAAATGTGGTTGATAACGTAGTCGAAAAATGTCTAATTTTGGTTATTTCTCCATTGTTCCTTACACACAAGAAACCAGAAATGAAAATAAACAAAAACATTCTCAATCTCATCATTCTCATTCCGTTTCTTGTTCATTCTCATTCCGTTTCTTGTTCATTCTCATTCCGTTTCTCGTTCACGATCATTCCGTTTCTTGTTCATGATCATTCCGTTTCTTGTTCATGATAATTATCCTTATATTCATTATTTCCTTCATCTCATGATCATTTTCCCAAATTCCTTTATTTCTCTCTAACACGTGACTTTTCCTTTTAAATCATGATCACATCCTTCATCTTATGATCTTTAATTTCAGGATCACATCCTTCATGTCATGATCTTTTATTTCATGATCACATCCTTATCTCATGATCAGAACTCTTTTTTTTTAAGTTATGTTTTTGTTTTTATTAATTTCCTCAGTAAATCTAACTGTTTACTTTTTACCATTTTCTGAAATTATATCAACCTTGAACCAAGTTTTATTAAACTGCATTTAATCATGAAAGAATTCTTATTGCAGTTGAACTGCATTCCCCACTGCACTAGATCTTATACACTGAGCTTATACAAAGTTGTAATCTCTGGTTGTATTTTTGTTTGTCCGGTCAGGAACTCCTGGACCGATTTGCCTCAAATTTTGATTTGGGAAGTTGAGATTCTAAAGTGCGTGGGTCGACTATTAAAGCAAAAATTTTGTTTCCCTGTAAAAATAGAAGATTTGCGGGTAAACGGCGGAAATAACTATGAGCACCCTGTAAGTGCAGTTCAGCTTCAGAGAATGTATTTCATTTCCAATCAAACTTTTTCAATCTATTTCACCTTTAGTCCTATATAGAATATATTCCACCTTTAGTCCTATATAGAATATACTCCACCTTTAGTCCTATATAGAATATACTCCACCTTTAGTCCTATATAGAATATACTCCACCTTTAGTCCTATATAGAATATACTCCACCTTTAGTCCTATATAGAATATACTCCACCTTTAGTCCTATATAGAATATACTCCACCTTTAGTCCTATATAGAATATACTCCACCTTTAGTCCTATATAGAATATACTCCACCTTTAGTCCTATATAGAATATACTCCACCTTTAGTCCTATATAGAATATACTCCACCTTTAGTCCTATCACCTTTAGTCCTATATAGAATCAGAAAGTTAGAAGGATAGAAGATGGATATATGTATAGTTAGGGCTGTTAATCGTTTTTGAAAACAATTGTTTTGAACTTTTAGAAAACTAATAATGATCGTTTTCATAAAAAGATCAGCGATCGTTTATTATACGATTGTTTTTAAAAACTTTCGTTTTTGAATTTTTTTTATGGATAAATATGTAAACGAACATTAACGAAGGGTCGACGAACTTTATAAAAACTGTCGTTTTTGAGAAAAAAAATTACATGCAACTTTATCGAATGTCGTCTTATATGAAGGTAAAAAGTTGTGTGGGAGCTAAAATTTCTTGATATTTTCTGTAAAACTGCTCAATGATAAGTACCGATGCCCTTTAGGGTGGTTTCCTCTCTTCGTTAACGATATTTAACAAAGGGACGTCGTTAACGAAATGACGAGCTTTATAAAAACGATTGTTTCGCAAACGACCGTTCTTAAAAAACGAACTTTATTGTTGTCGTTTTCATAACGAAACGATCGTTTTTCCTAAAAATTAAAACGTTAACATCCCTACAGGAAACCCATGCTAAACCAGGGGAAACCCCATCCTTAACCAAGAGGAAACCCATCCTAAACCATGGGAAACCCCATCCTTAACTAAGAGGAAACCCACCCTAAACCTGGAGGAAATCCATCCTAAACCAGGAGAAACCCATCCTAAACCAAGTGGAAACCCATCCTGAACCAGGAGGAAACCCATCCTAAACCAAGCGGAAACCCATCCTAAACCAAGTGGAAACCCATCCTAAACCAGGAGAAACCCATCCTAAACCAAGTGGAAACCCATCTTAACCAGGCGGAAACCCATCCTAAACCTGGAGGAAACCCATCCTAAACCTGGAGTAAACCCATCCTAAACCAGGAGGAAACCCATCCTAAACCAGGAGGAAACCCATCCTAAACCAGGAGGAAATCCATCCTAAACCAAGTGGAAACCCATCCTAAACCAGTAGGAAAGCCATCCTAAACCATGAGAAACCCATCATAAACCTGGCTTAACCATTCTGAACCATTAAAAACTAGGATGCAAAAACGCCATTCTTAATTTTGTAAATTGAAATTGTAACCCCATATTATACCCCCTCCCCTTCTTTCTACTAAGTTGTTTTTAAGTTCTTCACCCCCTTCCNCTCTCTTCACTATGTTTGAGGCTAAAGACCCCCCACCTCCCTTTAAAGTGGCTCTAAAACGGTCTTAAAGCCGTTCAGCTTTGTATATTCAATGCTTCTCTTCATGTTGAGACCATTATGCTAATCCAACTTTAATTGAAAATCCAGGACAGGGATAGGGAGAAGGAAGGACAGAGATAGGGAGAAGGAAGGACAAGGATATGGGGGTAGGCCAGAGAAAAGGACATGGATATAGAAAGAAGGACAGGTATAAAAGAAGAGATGGAATAAAAAGAGGAGAGAAGGACATGAATAGAGAAAGAATGACATTGATAGGGGGAGAGAAGGACAGGGATAGGGGGAGAGAAGAACAGTTTATAGAAAGACAGGAATAGGGGGGAAGAAGGACAGGGATAATGGATAGCGAAGGACATGGATAGGGCAGAGAAGGACAGGAACAGATGAACAGAGTAAATGGATGAGTGTAATGGAAATAAATGGGAATTCTGTAAAACTACTTCTTTATTTATAAAAACATACATATTAAAAATGAAAGGAATAAATTATACATTTTCTTATGATTTCATCAAAAGTTTAGCAAAATAAAATCCTGTCCAGACAAAACCTTTGCTTTCAGTCCTTTCATGATTCTCATGTTTTTGGACACGATTTGTAAATTGTATAATTCATGAGGATGTTGATCTGTTTTTTTGATTGAATAATAAATTGAGTAAACTATCATACTATGTTTATTCTATTTTATTTGTCCAGCATAGTACTATATGGTTGTAAGATAAAGAATTTTATCCTAAAAAGAAAAAAGAAAATGTTCAAAAATAAAAATTGAATTCTCACAATAAACTAGAAATTGCACATTTGGCGGTAAGCATATTTGCATAATGGATCTAGGAAGGCCTTATATTGCAACTTTGCAATTTTCTTAGATATTCAAATTTTCAACTACAACAACAGAATATTCAACAAAAAGAGGATTAAAACATTTTCAACAGATATTTCTTTTTAAAAGTAGACTGTGTGTAAGTAGACTGTGTATAAGTAGACTATGTGTAAGTAGACTGTGTGTAAAGAAGGTTTTCTAACGATGAGTTCAATTTTAGAGGGAACTTAAAAATCTTCAAACTTAAC